CTTATGGAGGTAACAGCTTAGTAGATTGTCTGTTAGTTGTATTTTATTAGTATTGTAACAAGTATTGAGCACTGCAAATGGACGCGATCGCGACGAGTTCAACAAACGAAGAATAGCAGTAGGCATATCTAGGGTACTGAGCTTGAATGTTCGAACCGTTGCATGAGATCTCAGGGTTGCTCGGCATGAACTGATCTGGGCGGTCGGATTTTGTTAGTATCCCCAACTGCACGAACTTGCCGCTCGGGACTGTAACGCACATTGGAGGCTCCATCTTGAATTTGTGGCGATTATTCCTCAACCAGACAACGGCGTCAGCATAATCATGGTCCCGCTGCCTCAAGCTATATGAACGAATGAGTGCACTATTCGGTGTGGCTAAAAGAGATACACTCACTTCCGTAACTGCAAATCGACAGTCGCTTTGATTTTGGACTTCTGCTTCCCTTGCACGTCAAGCAGTTCATGGGTTCAGCTTTGCACGCTCCGCCAAAACACGTTTCTTTCTAAGATGCTCAGCATCAGCGGTCTCTCGTCCGCCTCCAAGATCACCCTCCTAAACGCAAAGTACATGGCACACCATCTCTCCGGACACTACAACCTTCAATTCAAGAACGACAATGGTCATGTGGCACACAGGTTGCTTATCGACCCGGCCAAGTTCGACAAGGCTGCCGGAACCAAGGTGACCGACTTTGCTAAGCGGCTGCAAGTGCGTACGATATTTCTAAGAGAGTTTTATTTTGTGGACTGATAGATGACTCCTTGTAGGATTGACGTTCTTGGCCTATCTCAACCGTGCTATGAGCATAACCTAAGAGAACAAGGTTCTGAAGAACCACCATATGCGTCCTCGATGGAGGACGTGAAAGAGAAACTATTGTGGCCCGATGACGCATTTTGAGATCAGCCACTTCAGGGCAGGGTGGCGCCGAGTCACGGGATTAGATGAGTCACGGGGTTTGGACACCACTGTAGGGCAGGCTGGCACTGAGGCACGGGATATAGACGCAGCGTGGCACTTCGGTTCTCTTCTTTTCTTACTTTCATCTTCTCGTCCCCCCCCCTGTAGGTAGACTAGATTAGTTGTCGCTAATTAGCTATTGAAGTTCGTGTAACGGGTCCCCAGAATCGATAGATTCCAAACGGACCCTTGCACGGTCGCGAAAGTGAGACATCGGCGCATCTCCGTGTAGTGCCTCCCGCCTCAAGCCTGTGCGGAGCGAGTTTTCTCACGTGTATCCCTTCGTGTTAATGTGCACACAGGCACGTTAGTCCTTCGAACAAGTGGTATAAATATCAAATACTCTTGTTGCAGATGGCGCAGGCGAGTACGAGTTTCTAACAATGTGAACATGCACTGACAGTGGCTTGTGACAATAGGAATTGGCCAGACGATATCTGGATCTCGAAGCGGCAGTTGATAACGAGGTAGAGACGGATGAAGAAAGTGAAAAATATCGAAGGCAAGTTTAAGCGTACTTTCTTGCATTACAGCGACAGGGACATTCATGCCACCACAGATCTCATCGACGATGAGACAGCTACCACAGCAAGCGACGTTCACCCCCAGCTTCTGCAAACGATCTATCCCAGAGCAGATGATGACGGTGCGCAAGCTCTCGCGCAACACTACCAAGAGCTGGCCCGCAGGGAGAGAACCGTGATCGACGTTAAACACGCTGCAGAACTTCTTCTCTCATCAGAGACAGATTCGAAACCCATCACGCCAGGTACTTGGGTGAGGATCCAACGTAGGCGTGGTCGATATGCTCGTGCCCTTGCCTACGTGGAACGCGTACATGAGGATAGGTTGATCATATGGGCAAAAGTTCAGCTGACAGGTGCCTCCTCGACTTCACACGTTCATCTGCCTTCCGGTCTCGTTGCTGTCCAGAGTACAATTGATGGCAAGATTTCTGGATCATGAAAGAAGGATATCGCACTTCTGGTCCGGAAGGGCATCATTAAAGATGGGCTGATACGCCTTCGATCTGAAGCTCACTTCGTGATATCACTTACAGACACCCCTCATGAAGACGAGCTCGCACCGTTCATTGAGATACCGTGGATCCCGTCCGAAGCGAGGAAGGAGATCATAAGCAGGGCATACATAGCCACTTTGGCTGTGGATGATCGTGTACGAGTGGTGTCTGGGCAACTGGTCGGGCTGGAGGGGAGCATCCAGAGCATCCAGGACAGTATCGCTGAGATAGCCGTCGACATTCGTCCGATAGGAGCGGCGACTGTGAAGCTGGCCGCTCTCTGGAGACTCCACATGCTGGGCGACAAAGTCGAAGTTGTGAGAGGCGCACATCGTGGTAGCCGAGGGTTCATCCTGTCCATACAGATGAACGAACTGAATCTATGCTTGCACGGCAGCAATCAGCAGGTGAGCATTGCACTACACTTAATATATCCCTGACTAGTTCTTGGGCAGATCACGGTGGAGTGTTTCAATGTCATCATGGACTACAAGCCCACAGCCCGCAATCCGATCCCTATTTCGTACAATCAGACATCACAGGTAGTCATAAACCCGATGGAGATCGAATCACACGAAAGCCAGTCCATTAGGGTTTCTCGTCAAGAACGGAACCCATACATAGCTCAGCAGGTGATTGTGATATCCGGTGCCTGGAAAGGACACAGGGGCCTGCTGAAGTTCGTGTATAACCAGCACCATCAGGTGCAGCTGGAGGCTCCTCAAGGGCGCGTTGAACTTTATGTTGCGAAGGAACTAGCTTTGTACAGGTATGCTGCATCATCTACAGCAATATGAAATGCCCACTCATAATGCAACCAGAGATAGTGGTCGTATTATCCCACTAGTGAACGATCAAAATGGAACTGTGGAACCCGACTGGCCATTGGAACCAGAAATGGAAACGCCAGCTCTCGATGACGGCTCGTCGACTCCTCTCCCCATTCCTGAACCATCAGACGATACACATTATGAGCCTGCATGGGACCCAGCGTCGACCGAAGCGGATGTAGAATTCGCGGCCCTTCAGAGGAGGCTGACAGCGGATCTGGCAGCCCTTCAGCCACCAGTTACAACTGATGACGTGCCTCATGAACCTATACACGTCACGACTGGTAAGTCCGCATCTCCTATCAACAAACGTCGAGAGAATCTGATAGTCCTGGTAGAACTCGGCGCCATCCTGCTCAACCCGGCCTTACGTGAAGTGTTCCCGATACTACGGGAGATTCCTCTCCGCATGACTCGACAAGAATACCGCAACGTCTATCAGAGCGTCTACCTTCACATGAATGATCTCGTTGTCGATGAAAATGCCCAGGAACTCAGGGTGTCAGTATATTTCAGTGGATCAAGGAGGGACATTACGGTTCTATCAAAGGACGTGGAGCCGGTGCGTCTACACGTCGGTGACACTGCTATGGTGACAGCTGGCCAGAATACAGGGTTTGTAGGCTGGGTGAAGGATGCGAACGACGACCTGTACTTCCTGCAACCACGTCAGAGCACCAGACCGAAGAAGAGGTCCAGGGCAAAGTCTGCACAGAAATCTGCCCCTTTGGTTGCAGAGCCGGTTGGAAACATTATTATGGTCCTCGTAAAGAAGGAATTCCAGTAGCATAACGTGTTAGCATCTGAACGTGGGACGTGCTTTGGATTTCACTATGTTTCGCCCTCTTCAAGCTGTGAAAGCTAGAAAACAAGGATGCAGATTATATTTCGTACCACTGAATAGTGTGTCAGAGTGTAGATCCGATATATATATATATATATATATATTGACAGCGCGAGCGGCATATCCACTTCGACGACAAGGATATAGTAACTGGCCCTTTGTGGCTGCCCGCAGGTCCGTCTCAAGCCATTCGCATCAATGATGGGGATGAGAGCCTTGACTATGCGAGTCACGGAGTTAACGGGGTTTAGACGCCACTGTAGGGCAGGCTGGCACTGAGGCATGGGTTATAGATGCACCACGGCGCTTTCGCTCTCTTCTTTTCTTACTTTCGTCTTCTCGTCCCTCCCTTGTAGGTAGATTAGAACAGTCATTGATACCGTGTAATGGGACCCGCCGGGTCACTCTGGCGGGTCCCAGAGTCAATTCATTCCAAACAAACGATGGGACGGTGCACTATTGGCGCATCCCTGCCTATAGTACCTAGGATGCAAGTAAAATATCGAGGTCCTGCATTACTACTGGATCGGCGCATCCCCGCCTAGTATCTACCACCTCAAGGATGCAAGCAACGAAAATCGAGGTCCGCTGCATTACTCCACTGGTCGGCGCATCCCCGCCTAGTGCCTCTTGCCACAAGGATGCCAGCAACGATCATTGAGGTCCCGCTGAATTACTCCACTGATCAGCGCATCCCCGCCTAGTGTTGTCGAGGTCCGCTTCACAATCATGCCTGACATTCTTGATCCGCATTAATACTGATCCGCGATCCGCGAAGCAAGAATCCTCGCTTCTGGTATGACGCATCGAACCACATGTCCATCATCACCTCAAGGACTAGAGATCAGCCTTCGTTCTCGAGTCTGCATGAAATGCACCACACGCAATATGTAAGTCCCGGTTCTCCTTGTGTTCCACCTAACTTGCAGTAGCACCTATTCTGGAAGGTTTCTGCTGATGCTCATTTTGAGATTCTAATGCGATGGCAGGCCGGTACAAGAGTTTTTTTTTTGCCCACCGTGATGACTCTCTTGCTTAAGATGCCCCCGTCGCATACTAAAATCAGTAAGTATATAAACGCTTCCTTGTTGCTCCCAATTATCTGCCTACCTAGCATCATGTCTCTTACCCATCGCCAGCATCGTGTACAGCGCATCTATCCACCAGTCGTCATGCACCACTGCTTTGATGCAGAGCGTCTGTTGACCCTTTCCATCTCTCCTTTGCGACATGAATACAGTCTTCGGGCTGCCATTCCGGTGCCCTCCATCACTTTCACCAGCCCATCTGCAGATCCGACACCTATCAATCCACAGCTCATCATTCGCAAGCCAAAAGGGGAAGTCACTCGCCTCTCTCGTGAGGGATACAATCTCAGAGATGCTCTGGGATGGACGGAGGCTGTGTACTTACATGTACAGGTGAGAGTACCCGTAAATGATCGTAGTACAGAACTCTGGACATCTACATCTACAGACTGCGATACATAAGCTGGCAGGCAACCATCTTACGCCTGTACCGTTCTTGAAGCAGAAAGCTGTTGACCTTCAGAAAGTCTATGATCTGGTTGGTAATTGCACTTGATTGATGTACGTTCACAGACTCTAACTACTGGATGCAGGCTGCTGACACTTATCCAATCCTCCGCCAATACGAAAATAATTGGGTCACATCTGATTTCCTTCGCGTATTTTTGAAGAACAAGTCTGCAGCGATCAAGAGGAAGACCGCAGTATCATCTTAAATGGGCCGCTGTTTCTAATTTTTCTTTGCCGCCTCGTCAGAGCATGTTAGTCTTTACTATACTTAAAAAATCACGTATCGCTTACAAGGTGGACTATGTTGAGTGAAATAGACTGTCACAGAAGCGAGCAAGCCAAGGCGTGATGCCAGCAAGCACAATTCGTGAGACGATCCCGAAGCACGCCTTCTCAGCAGGTGACGTCGCTAGGACCACTATATCTTACAGGCAAGGCAGACATCAAAATACGGAGAGAGCCGCTGATGCCTCGGACGAAAGACTCCATATTCTACTGCGATTGCCGGACGTTCTTGTGCAAGAAGAAACCCGTCAGTGAGAAAGTGTTCAGATCGCATAAGTCATACGACGAGCAGCAGAAGAGGATTCAGGAGGTAAATCCCGTGCAATCTATCAAGAACTGCCTCTTAATTTTTCTATATAGAAAAGAGCCAACGAGCCACGCACAGCAGTGAGGAAGCAGGAGAGGATTCAAGAGGTGAGGCCTGCACGATTTATGGGAACTACCCCTGATGATTTCTGTTAGGAAAGAGTCGACAATTTGTGCACAGCAGGGAGGAATAATGAACAGGCAAGGGCCGATTCAGATAGCGAGAGCGCACTCGCATCGCTAGTCTTCACTGCAATGTTAGGAGAGACTTCGTCATCTACGGGGTTCTCAAACGGCTTGTGGACGCGTGAGAAGACCGACGTTGACAGAAGCACAGTTGCTCGAGAATCACAGAATGCCTCGCACGGCACCAGTGCACAGAGACCTCCTATGGCGACAGTACAAACCGTTCCCACAGTACTGTCTGTTCCTGCAGAGAAGACCAACATTGACCGAAGCACAGTTGCCCAAGAATCACGGAATGTCTCGCACAGCTCCAGCGCACAGACACCTGAACTTGTGTTCAACAAGTTCTATCTCATGGATATGGAGCTGGAGTTGCGCACGCGACACTGTAACGATCTCTATAACAAGGCTATAGATACTCCAGAACGGAGTCCGGAAGCGTGCAATGTGGTGAATCAGTTGCAGGAGGAGGAGATCTGGGCTGAGCGTGCTGAGAAGGAGATTCGAGACACCGAAGTTGGGAGGCATCATCCTGCAATGAAGGCGCTGAGGAACACATTGCTGGAAAACATCGAGAAGCACCGCAGGCGTCTGCAAAAGCAGATGTCATGGGTTGGAGGTCGCATACCCAATCCTGTCATGAAACTCTCGGGCAAGATTGTCGACACTAGTGCGTAGCTTCATTACTCACTTTCAAAAAACTGCTCACTCATTTTGATCAGGTAAACACTTCGATCGCCCTCTTGATCACATGAACCCTCTCCTAATCCTGTCGATCTTTGCCGCGTTAGTGCTGAACTTGTTGGGTGGAGTCACTCGCCGATCCTGCAATTTTGCCCTTCATATGTTCAAAATTGTTGTTGCGTGTGCCATGCAGGAAGATGGTCGACCAACCTCCAAGGAAGAAGAAGCCCTGAAAGACTTTCCCTCTGACATTCGGAGTGTCCAAAAGTTTTTCGACCTTGAACCGGCTGTGACTGTCTTTGCAGCCTGTCCAAATTGTTCATCGACATACGAGCCCTCATTTAGATCTGGCATCCCAATCTATCCCGCCCGCTGTCAATCTCGGAGATGGAAGGAGAGCGCACCATGCAACACAAGGCTGACAATCCATGGCGTGCGCGATAATCAAAGCATACATCTACCGCGACGACCATTCGTCATGCAGGATTTCGATGAATTTGTAGGGAGATTGCTCTGCAGACCAGGAATGGAGGAAGCACTGGCAATAGACACGCGAACTACACTGACTGGCCAATTGTACGACATCAAAGACAGCTCCATGATGAGCAAGTTGATAGGCGAGGACGGAAAGCCTTTCGTTGATGCTCCCAAGGACGAGCTACGTCTACTCTGGGGCCTCTCTGTGGACTGGTTCAATCCCTATCTCAATAAGGTAGCGGGTAGAACCGTCTTGGAGGGCTCAATCGTCATGAGTTGTCTCTCCCTGCCTCATAGTCTATGATACAATGCGGAGAACTTGTATCTCGTGGGGATTATCCCAGGGCCGAACGAGCCATCTTTGGAGGAAGTCGATCATTTCATACGACCATTGATCGACAAACTTCTTGTCTCGTGGAAGGAAGGAGTCTGGTACAATCGGACGTGCCGGTATCCTTGAGGGAGACTCGCGCGTTCTGCGCTGGCATTTTTGTGCTGTGACCTACCTGGAGCAAGAAAGGTTTCTGGCATGGCCGGCCATGGAGCAATGTGTTTTTGTGCCTTATGCTTCCTGACCTTGCGAGAAATTAACAACATCGACGTAACCAGCTGGACGCTGAAGACACATCAAGACATCGTCAGATTTGCCGAGGAATGGCGTTCCGCGAAGACAAAAACTCAACAGCGTGCCGCTTACTGACGAAACGGGGTGCGCTGGTCTGAGCTGATGAGACTGCCGTACTGGGATCCAACTCGCAGTGTTGTCGTGGATGCGATGCACAACCTTTTTCTGGGGCTTGTTCAGTATCACATTCACACCATTATAGGCATGGACATGCTGAATGATGACGACTATCGTGATGAATTTGATGCTGCAGAGGACCCGGACAAGCTGAAGAATGATGTACAAAAGCAAGCGGACAAAATCAGAAAGCTTTTGCAATCCGATCCCACAGCGAAGCAACTTGGCCGTTACACAAGGCATGCTCTACGAGTAGTGTGCCGTGAGATGGGTGTTGAATCGAAGTCATGGAGATCTACAAGGAAACTGAAGAAGAAGTGGTTGATTGACACGTTGCTGGTACGCATGATATTCGCAACACAAGGGTTATCGAACTGATTGTAGCAGAGCTTACGCACTTTGGAATTCGCACATTCGCCGACATCCGATTCAAGATCTCTGTTACCTGGCGAAACAATTATTGGAGATGAGCTCATCAACGAATGCGCACATCCTAATATAAATCACACATCGACTCACGATGATCAACCGGCTATCGTCTTCTCTCTCAAAGATCTGGATCATCTGCGCGATGATATCACTCAAACGACTCGCCCAACCTATTCGAGTGGTCCACCACGCAACATGGGCACAAAAGCACGCGGAAAGCTCAAAGCTGACCATTGGAAAGCTTTGATCGAATTTGAGCTTCCTGTCTCCATGATGAAGAGATGGAATTCCTCCCCGGCTCGTATCCAACCAGACAACAATGTGCGACGTGAATTGATCCAATTGACGATGTTACTTGCTTGCGCAGTTCGGTGCGCCACATCCTACACTACCTCTGTGGAGCATCGCGACAAGTACACGGGACACATGCACGCCTACTTATCACGTTTACTACGGCTGCGTCCTGGAATAACACTGAGAAGAAACCATCACAACGCGATGCACTTAGGAGATTTCTTATTACGGTTTGGGCCGGTACAAGGCTGGTGGATGTTCCCATTTGAGAGGATTATAGGGATTTTGCAGCAAACGACAATGAATGGCAAACTTGGTCAGCATTGTTCGCAATTGATCGACAAAGGCTTACGTATTATTCCAGGGCAAATGGAAAGGACCATGTTGGAGTCATTCTGCGCAGCGGCCAATATCAAAGTGTTCCTGAAGCGTGCCGAATGCCCGACTGTCCTCCAGAGATGTGTGTCCGTCGTTGAGAGTTGTTACCAGCATGACAGCCATGGAACGTTGATGACAGACATACATAAGTATCTCAATGTGACAGGCAGCAAAGCTACAGCGAAAACCGCAATACATTGGAAAGATTGGAAAGACATTACAAGCAATGTCTACGACGCATTGTCATCAATGACGGATGCATTATCCATGGAACTCCAGAGTTGGCGGCTCATACCAAGGGCAATCCATCACCGTCTCTTTAAGATACGTGGTGTTCAGTATTCCGTGTATCACGCAGGAGAAGCCAACAGCATCGTATTCTTTCAGCCTGCCATTGGTATGGCTATGGTGCCAGGAATCATTCGTGATATATTATCTGTCCCAACAGCGGACTACACGGAAAAAAACCAGGAGGCACACGTCCTCCTTGTCGTGCACCGGTATTGCCCCAAATCTGCTGACATAACTGACCCATTCAATGACTACCCAGACTTCGGCGCGTCAATCTGGTCAAAGACACTTGCAGAAAACATCGAAATCGTTCCACAAAGCCATCAGCTATATCACGCACTTCGACAGGAATGGGATTCTACCACTTACGTCTTCAAACCTCTTGTAAATCAATGTATATAGTACACAGAATACAGACTCAATCGAAAAAACTGCGTGCACATCGTAGTTGGAACGGACCTGCTTGTCTCGGTGGTCTTGTCACCACTAACATGACCGTTGTTAGATACATGCCTATGAGTGGCACTGGAGTATGGCGAAGGATAGTCTCGATCTAGAAGCACCGTCAAATATCATAACCTGTGAGGATTTTTTTTTTCTTTCTCATTGTGTCCTTGCTCACAGTACACCCAGACATGCATGCCGGTTCTGATCCCGACGTGCAGTGCCATCGACTCCATCATCGACATGTCCAAGCACAATTATTCCTGGCGTGATTGGCATGGCGATGATCGTCGTCAGAGCAGCTACCCAGCACGTTGGCGATGTCTTTAAATAACGCATCCATGGCTTGATATGAGCTTTGCTAGCTTGACGAAGATAGATTGTACGAGTACGAGCTGGTTCCTACCGGACTCGACGTCCCACTGCACAGCCAGACGCTCGGCTCTTCCCACCGCTACGATGCCCCATACGACCATCTGGACCTTTCCATCTTCACGGCTTCCTCCCCGAGTCAAAGATGAAGAAATGAATGATTTGGCTTACATAGTCATCAGATGGGAGACTGAGGCTCCTGCGTCATTCCTGGCTCCCTGCTCTTCACGGTGTTCCCGATCTGAAGCCAGCTTGGATGACGATGAAGCAGAAGAATACCAGTAGGCGCACCTACGCAACTGGATGGGCCTTCAGTTCGGCAGCTACACGAATATCGAAGAAAATGCGAAAGCACGCTGCGTCATTCAAAACGAGCACCCGATGTTAACATATGAACTTCTAAGCATGATTACTACTGGGTTTGATACGGAAGCGATGTCATATCTCCGGATCTCGTCAACCCACCGCTTGAGCTCGCAGATCCTAGCTTCTCTCTCAGACGCCACCGTTCGTTCAAAAAGGACAGTCATGCTACACTCATGGAGATGAACGGTGTGTGTAAATAAGTTGGGTACTCCTTATAGACGATAATTGACCCGACAGGCTAATGCAACATTGAGCTGCTTGCTTGGACTGATCCTTTCGGTGCTAAGCAGCGTAAGCCACACTAGTATTGCCCAAGACATTGCTTGAGCAATTTACCTATCACTCGCAAGTAATCGTCTCTCATCAAGCTATGTATGTCATCGCGGTCCAGGATTCCTTCCATGTATGTGTAGAAAGGCTTGAAATTAGTGGGGTCGATAATCTGGGCCCCGGCAATGGCATAATCAATGGGTCAGTGTACCATGGTATCAGGAATGAACAAACCTGACAAGGACCTCGAATACCTAAATGTGCGCTCAATGCATGAAGATCCAAATTGCCATTAGGAAGGCATCGAAAGCCAGCCTCTTTGACGCAAGTCCAGTCTTTTGCATGTTGGTATAACCGGATTCGGAGCTGCCGTGGTTGATGAGGCTTGCTGGCCTTTGTCGAAGCAGCTGTTGGCAGATTTACAGAGGGCAGAACAATATTGAGCTTCTCACTGAACATCTTCGTCATACCTTCCGTGTCGACATTGATGGACTTCAGCATATCATGTCCGCTGTTCCTGTCATAAAAGCGAATCCGCTTTCTGGAGTCATTGACTTCAGATATGTTATCAGTGCGCGGATGCTTCGTCTGAATGACAGAAGGTGAGGCGACCTCTGACTCCGCCTAGCCCTCAACATTGTAAATATGAATGCGCGTGTTGCAAACATACTGCCTTACCGAATGTGGACGGCTCGAGATCAAATACTGCGACGTGCGACTTTGAGATGGTGCATTGGTGGTGACATGGATTCCTAGACGAGAACGCTTGGTGACAGAGCCAGGTATGTCGCCTGTTGCATGTCGCTTTCTCGTGGGTGGTGCACCAGACTCCTCTGGTAGCGATGACAAAGCAGTTGTCTGCTATACAGCTCACTAATGCATGGCTAGCGTTTGTTGTTGTAGGTACTTACATTCGCAATGAGAGCCCGGACGTAATCATCCTTCAAACAATGACATTTCTGAGTTTTGCTGGATCGCCTTCCAGTCGGAAGAACGGGCACATCGGCGTCTTGCACAACTCACGTAGGATAGCAATTGTGAAGCCTTGAAGTGATGCAGCCTCAACTTTTTCTTGCCGAAGTATTGAAGACATCAATGCGAATTTCAGGACGAGATGGGGGTGTTCGCAAGCAAAGAAATTCACGTCGCATGCGCGGAGGAGAGATGAGCAGATTGCCATATCAAATATGAGTGGAGATGTACTAGCATGCCCATTCGTGAAGCTATCGATGCGGGGTTGATGGCGGAGAGGACTTGTCCGCCGACAGGTGCTAGTGTGACCTTTGCGCAATCACAATTCTTCGTCCGCTGACAGGTGCGAGTGCGGGCCCACCTCCTCGGATCCTCAAACGTGTCTGCTATCGGAGACTGATCTAAAATACGACTGGATCCACTTTTCTGAGTTCAAAACCCCAATCATATGCGTCCTCGTTGTAGGACGCGAAAGAGAAATTATTGTGGCCCGATGACGCGTTTTGAGATCAGCCACTGTAGGGCAGGCTGGCGCTGAGTCACGGGGCTTAGACGCCACTGTAGGGCAGGCTGGCACTGAGGCACGGATTATAGACGCACCACGGCGCTTTCGCTCTCTTCTTTTCTTACTTTCATCTTCTCGTCCCTCCCTTGTAGGTAGATTAGAACAGTCATTGATACCGTGTAATGGGACCCGCCGGGTCACTCTGGCGGGTCCCAGAGTCAATTCATTCCAAACAAACGATGGGACGGCGCACTATTGGCGCATCCCCGCCTATAGTACCTAGGATGCAAGTAAAATATCGAGGTCCTGCATTACTACTGGATCGGCGCATCCCCGCCTAGTATCTACCGCCTCAAGGATGCAAGCAACGAAAATCGAGGTCCGCTGCATTACTCCACTGGTCGGCGCATCCCCGCCTAGTGCCTCTTGCCGCAAGGATGCCAGCAACAATCATTGAGGTCCCGCTGCATTACTCCACTGATCAGCGCATCCCCGCCTAGTGTTGTCGAGGTCCGCTTCACAATCGTGCCTGACATTCTTGATCTGCATTAATACTGATCCGCGATCCGCGAAGCAAGAATCCTCGCTTCTGGTATGACGCATCGAACCACATGTCCATCATACAATCTCCGCAACGTGCCATGGATGTTCCCGATCGCATGGACAATTGAGCATGATTTCACGTTTGGAGCGCTTTTCTGAGTGCGATGATAGTTTCTGAGTGCGGTCTTGGCCTTTGGGGATCAGATTCACATCAGAGGTGCATGGGAGATGCGATAGGTCACTGATTTTTAAAGTGGGTCAGAATTGCGACCTCATAACTTTGGAAAGACACTGCCGAGTATTAATACAGAGCCTTTGAAGTTGTGCGACACCCATTCACGATGGGCAACTTTCTGAGCACCAACTCCTGTTGCTGTGGACGACGACGACGGCGCATGATATCATCGATAGATGCTGGACCCATAAAGCATGTAGTATGTCTAGGCTCTCGTTTGCTTTCCTCAAAACACTGATCTAGTCGCACAGCGCATCGACGATAGTGCTAGTCTGGCCTTTGAGCGTGAGGGGGCTGTCTTTGCTACAGGTGCAGAGCGGAGCGACAGGAATGTCTTTGCGTATAGTGTTCAGGTTGGCATCTACTGGAGCACTCGTATTATCTACGTTACGAGCTAATTTGTTCTTTCCTAGGCCACCTCTGATGTCGAAGGCATAGATACGCCAGTATGTCCCCAATTCCTACACCTTTCACATACTGCCTCACTTCAAGGCATGCCACTGGTGAGTCAGGAAATCCAATCATTTTCGGTGTTGCCTTGACAATATGCCGGCAGTCATCTGATGTTGGACCAGAGTTCCATCATCTATCCCTCACGATATTGGATCTCCCGAACGAGCTCCTTATCAACATCGTGGGCCTCCTGCCAACAGAAGATCTCTTCAGCATCATCATCCTTTCTCGCCGTCTCCACTGCTTGGCAATTACATTGCTACTGTCTCGATACGATCTTCATTCTCCTGAAAAAGGAGGCTCGTTATACGTTTCAAAGCATAAGGCGATCCTCGCACTCAATCTCTGGCGAAGGTCCTTAGTGTTTGAATGTCCACGGCTCCTCTCCATTCATTTGCAGGTGGATGATACGAAGGCTTGCCGACTACTCTCTCGATTCTTCACCTCTTTGCAGGGCATGAACGGAATTCATTCTATCGAAGTCCGTTTGGATGAGATACCAGATCCTGCATTTGTTGACGTTCTTGACGCTCTGTGCGTCACTAACGTCGTCAGCCTCACTATTGATCGTCGCAGCAACAATATCTGCAAAACAGTGATGCCCTCCAAGATCAAGCGACGCCCAACCTTACTCCCTAACCTTAGAGCTTTTCAGCCTCATGCCGCCCTGCTGTTCAATATGCCATACGCTCGGTGGACACTAGAAACGATTAACTGCTCCAAGATTTCAGAGCTGTCGCTTGTAACCCCTGGCCTCATATCCCCATCCTGGAACAATGTACTTGGACGGTTGAATGTCCCCAGCCTCCATATCCTTCGTGTAGAGGGTGAACTCTCGCAGGCGGTCCTGAATCGATTCCTCTTTCGACATCGCGAGCTACAGGAGCTGCACATCGGCTACCACTCAGATTGCCGTACGGTCACTCAACTCCAGTGCCCCCCTCCGGAACTCCCGTGCCTGCACACCCTGAGTGCACCTATCCCCTATCTTCTTCGTCTTCTCGGCGACTCGCGGTCCAAGATCATTACCCTTGCGAAGCTCACGGTTCTGCCGGACGTCCAACATGATGATCCGGCTCATTTCCTCTGCAATCTCTCCAGAATATTAGCAGCCGTCGTCGACTGCGAGTATCTTTGGTCCCTGAAATTAACGGTTCCTCCGCAACTTGCTGCTGCAAGCGAGGACTTCATATACGGAGGCTTCGGAATTATGCAGGATCCAGGTGTTCGCCTCATGGAGGTGAGGGCCGTTATTCTGGAACAGGCTTCTCAAACAAGAGCACTCCGGGAAGATGCGTTCAGCCCGTCGTTATTGGTGGGTCTGACTGCATTGATATCATTTTCTTGCTCATCCGCGCTCGACAGAAGAGTCTTCCTTACTGGCTTCAGCAATTTCCCATGCTGAACGCTCTGCAACTATGGGAGGATGCTGCTATGGACCGAAGTGAAGACTTGTCACGTGTCCGTTCGAGTTGCAAGACGTTGAGTGAAATATTCATTTGGTCGGGCAGAAGCGAGTTGTGCTGGACAGCCAACGTAGAGGAGGTTGTCTGAACTGCGATGGCGATAGCTTATTGCATTGGCCCACTTGGCGGGGTACTCGGCGGGGCGATTTAGATCCCTGCACTTTTGTGCTGTACGAAATTTTGTTATATTGCGACTTTTTTTGGACACGTTCTATGCACAATGCAGATTTTATAAATTGAACCGGTTCTCAAATCTTGATTTGCCAGGTATCTCAAAATCTTACGGAATGATGTACCTAAATGTCACCGCAAAGGCTAACTCTATGAAGTTATTTACGGCCGTGCTGTATGCCGACACGTGTTTGGACTATGCGACCGTGACTGATTTCTTCCCAAATCTGGCATGCATACTTCCAAATTTGGAAAGGTAACGTCCCCTAGTCTATGGTTTACAATTTGCGATGGCCATCTACTCAGTTATGATCGTAAATTTGTGGTTTGCCATGTCATGACATTGAACACTGCAGCTATAGGTCACCATTTGCGGTGACGTTTAGTAAGCATTTACCACGGGGCGAAACGGTCGCATGTCTGCGGTGTCAGGGACAGCCTGACCAAGACAAATAAACCTTGGTTCTCCGGTATCAATTAATGCTTAGTTGAAGACGAGCATTCACGGGCCCAGATTCCAGACAGAGATATCATTACAACCCTGGCAGCTGTCCCGAAGCCAGGTTCGTGTCTCATCATATCCGATAAGGAGGCAACGTCCCCCGTATGTACGTGCTCACAAACTTGAGCCTTATACGCGAGAATGCGTTCACGGAAAAAAATGAACATGTACGCTCAAATCGAGCACCGTTACAGCTACGCCTTCATGCATTGCGCTGGTGACAATTACGGTAGATGATATGTATCTCAGGCGTCTACCGTTAACGTCCATATCAGAAAGCGAGAAGAAGAAGCAAACTCGGACATATCAATTACATTGATGACACAAAACCAGATCTATCTGTATCACTGTCGCAGCTGTACGAATGCAGGAAGAGGGCCCTTCTGTATCACGAAGTAATCGCGGACATCGGCATCCCACTGCTCTGGATTGTATCCTGTGGCCAGACCGAAGTCGAAGGTACGTAGGAGGTTTACGATGACCAGGCGCATTTCGAGCAGCGCCAGGGGCTTCCCGATGCAATTCATCGCCCCGGCCGAGAATGGGATATAAGCGTTGGTATTGAGAACTATATTCTCGTCCTTGCCCGCCATCAGCCAACGATCCGGGTTGAACTCGTCTGGGTTGGGAGAAAAGTATCGAGGATCGCGATGAAGCACGTATGGTGGCACGAGCACGGCCGAATGTTCTGGAATAAAGAATCTGCAAGGAGCATAACGTCGTATTGCGCGCAATCTTTATCAAGTATCGCGCTTACTTGGTGCCAATCATGTGGCCGCCACTGCCAGCTGTGGGGCCACGTTGCAAGCAGGTAATGACAGACGGATAGAGACGAAGGGCCTCGTTTCTACCGTGCACGGCCCGTCATTGATGTGATGTAGTAGAGTCAATGTGTTCGGACGTACATGACAGCGTTGAGATAAGCCATATTGGCCAGCTTCGCTGAATCGTTTGCGAGGCCTTCTCCTGCGGGGAACGCCGCGTCTATTTCGTCGCGTAGACGAGCATAGCACTCAGGGCGAGAGAGCATGAAATAGAATACATTGCTCAGTGCGGTGGCAGTTGTATCGGAGCCTGCTACGATAGCGGTAACCGCATTGGAGACAAGCGTAGGGAATGGAAGCGGCTCAAAGTCATCTACATGACCTTCATTCATCTGTACCAATATCCTCTCAGTGATTTGGAGGCATGAACTCGAAGAAACCCTACAAGGTGGTAAAACAAATCCTTGTGAGGCGAGCCTTCCTCCCGTCGGCGGGCGACCTGCTTGTAAGCCAACTTTCCCAGAGTTTTCATTTGCTTGCCGATAAATGGCAGGTACATGACGATTTTCGTCGTCCATGGGATCTGCTCTGTCAGCGCCGGCGGACTTGAACGTCACCATTCAAATCGGTGAGCAGACGTCTCAGCCAGAAGGCAGATTATCTCACTAGAGAGCCGACTCCAGCAGGTGCCACAAGCCGCTCTTGTCGCCGTCTTGTAGCAAATTGAATGAAGTGCTAAAACTAAGAATGATGGGATAAGAGAATCGTTCGTTGTGACCGATAGAAGACTTACACCATTTCTCCCATGAAGTCAAAGCTTCAACAGATGTTTGAACAACACCGTTGGAACATCAAGGAGGATACTCACGCGAACCAGCTCAATAATTGCGCAACATCGGCTTGTTTACCTTCTGCTGCAGCTTCTTTGAGTCGGTCCATCAGTTCCTCCAAGCAATGGATGATGATAGGTTCGTATGCCTTGACGGAGGCCGGGGTGAACGCGCGATTCCACACTCGCCTGGCCTCAGCATGAACCCGCTTATCCCGAGCAGCGATCATGTTGCCGCGAGCATCCTTCGTGCCGAGCCTTCCTGCAATACGGCGCCCATCCCAAACTGACGCAAAGGCAACATTATGTCAAATCCGTATAGTGCGCGATTGGTGACGTACGAGGGCCCTTCGGCATGCCATCGGGTCCCAAAATATACGGAATCAATTCGACATCGACGACAGATATCTCATTAGGTCCTAATCACATAGTGAGCAGTCATATCTGGACAAATCATTAGGAAGGCATACCGATGCGGACAATAGGCCCATATGTCTCATGCAATTGACGTAGATAAATGTGTAATTTGCCTCGAGTTACGATATAGGTCAGCCAGATCTTGGAAATCTTACACATGATTGGACCGGGGTGTTTTGCCATTGGATGCCGAGGAGACAAGCGATACATGACCGTCGATGTCAATAAGGCCGCATAATAGTATAGATATGCAACCAGCGACGTCCAGGTGATCGACGTGTGAGAATCGCGCAGCATATATGCTGATATGGCAGGTACCACTCCCAACAACGCAGTGAGGGGCACTAACCCCGCTGGCTCGAACTTCTTGAAGACAACGTGGGCAACCTATGTGATTCGTAAATAATCGTCTGTGGAGATGACAACAGACAAAATGTGATACGAAACTATGCCCAGAACTATCGGAAGCAGCATGCCGCTGCCTAGATCGAAGTTGTTGAAAGCAGCAGACATCAGAGCCATCTTGACTGCTTGACTGTCGCTAGTAAGGTATAGTCGAGGATGTCTGGGTGCTGATACTGGCGCAAGCAATGGCACCTTGCTTTCGTTTATATATGCGGCCAACCCATCTAACCGTACAGAATGGCACGGCATCAAACTTAGAATCCACCTGCTGAACGATCCAGAGGGGACAAAGTTCAGTTATCAAAGCGCCCGGTGTTCTCAAATATGTACAAAAGCGGCGCTGGCGCGTTCAGCTGATCGTCCGTTTGATACGTAATCAGAGAGTTCAGCGTTCCTTATGCCCAAATCGCATTGATATCCAGCTTGTATGGTGTAGCGGCTACCGGGTGCAGAACGCCACGGGAGAAGCGTACATCGAATGGATTCGCCATGCCCATAGTACCATCCCCGTGGGCGACAACGGCGATCAATGCATAGCGTCGCCACAATAATGTTAGCACATTCTCCAGGATGAGTGGTATCTAAGAACACTTGCGAAGATCGGCATGTGTAATGCGGTCCGTCTTGGGCGACGGTGGCGACGGTGTCACTTGCACAAGCCCGAGACATTCGGCCCCATCGAAGACGAGACGAGTATGAAGAAACATGGTATCCACCCGCACTTATACGCTCCTTGCAGGAAACAGTATGGCGCTGAGGAAGCACTAAGCTATGATTTAGCTGGGAGCCGCCAGAACGAGCGATAGACACATCAGAGGAACAGCCGATAAAAATTGTCATTTCACTCTTCAACGTCCTACTATTTTCTCAGCTTGAGATGTCATAAAACGGCAGCATAGATGGAGACAGAGCGACACAACTGACCGTAAGCGAACGTTGCATCAACGAATTCAAAGTCCGCCACGCGCCGTCGCTCTCATCGCCTCGCTGTAATATGCTGCCACTACTCCACCTTGGCCTTGTCCTCCATCCTTCACGCTCTCGATCACGATAATCAACCAGATCTCTACACCTTTCATATCTAACGCTTAACGATGGCGGAGAGCAGCAACTTTGACTATCTCTTCAAGGTGCGTGCGAGCAGGCTGCTGTGGTACAGCATGGGTTGACATTGGAGCTGTGCGTGTCAGGTCGTCCTCATTGGCGACTCTGGTGTCGGGAAGTCGTACGTATATCGTCTCTTCTGTTTCAATACTTGCTTGTTCATGCTGATACCCTGCGTACAGCAATCGTACGTTGTCGTTTATGGTCTGGAAAATGGTCGATAACGACCTCTGCTATGGCAATAGTTCTCTCGCGTTTCACACGTAACGAGTTCAACCTCGAGACTAAGTCAACGATTGGTGTCGAGTTCGCAACACGATCAATAACGGTGGATGGAAAGACTCTGAAGGCGCAGATTTGGGACACTGGTGAGTTAACTCCCACTTGCATGTGGCTGTCAGTGACCGCCGGATTTGGTCCGGGCGGTATTGCGAGTGAGGCCTTCATGGCATAACTGGAGCCGGAATCTGTGGAGTAGGATCGCATAGGTGGGACTGGTGCTAATTGCGCGACTTGTAACAGCCGGCCAAGAACGGTATCGTGCCATTACAGCCGCGTGAGTAGTAGCCTCTCCAACTTGCCTTGACGGACTGTCACTGACCTTTGCTACAGATATTATCGGGGTGCCGTCGGTGCTCTACTCGTTTATGATATTGCCAAACACGCAACATACGTCAACGTGACACGATGGCTGAAGGAACTCCGTGACCATGCTGACTCCAACATCGTCATCATGCTCGTTGGGAACAAGAGTGATCTCAAGCACTTGCGGGCAGTGCCAACGGAGGAGGCGAAGACATTCGCTGGTGTGTATGACATCAATGCGCCTGCATACTCACACTAAAGTTGCTTTCAGCTGAGAACAATCTCTCCTTCATTGAGACGTCAGCGCTGGACGCTTCGAACGTCGAGTCCGCCTTCCAAACTATTTTGACTGGTATGTCATTTGTATTTGTCGTGCTCCGTGCGTTGTTGCGATCAATGCGGCCTCAGATATATATCGTATCGTGTCCAGCAAATCGCTCGAACAATCAGCAGACCCGATCAAGCCACCGACAGGTGACTCTATCACCGTCAGCCCAAGTGTAGATGCCAACACCATGCAGAGCGGAAAGTGCTGTTAGACATGGACGATGGCAGTGAGATGGTGTTCATACTTGGGTGCGGGCGCAGATGTTCTGGATATTGACTTGGGCTTCTCCACTTTACATGCATCTTCTTGTAATTACATTCGCTTTCCCTATGTGGCGGGTGTCATATGCTGTATGGCCCTTATTTATGGACTTTATGATGTAGAAAAGCATGAAGGATGTGCGAAGCAAAAGGTTTCTAACGAGTACGGCTCGTCCACGCGAACAGATGGCATGCCCTTGTCTCCCAAGACTAACTTGGCGCGTCTTGCAGGTTGTCGAATTGCTTTCGTGGCACGTGGCATAATCTCACAAAGTACTTCTGTTCTCTGCAAACGTGTTTCGTGCCGTGTGCCGTGCCATGCGGGACGCCGCCGACAGCGATGAAAGGCCTCCGCGGCTCTCGCTTAGGGTCCCCGAGGGTCATATCAGACGTCTTACTACCTCGGAATACAAAGGGGACCTGCGTTGTCTAACTCTGTAACACTCGACAGGATGCTGTACTTTCTCCTTACCCCCTTCGTCGAGGTGTACAGGTATGCCCTGGAACCCGTCGCACCATTTACTTGGTTCGGGCTCCCATTCTGCTTGCTGGACGTTGCGGCAGCGCTCCGGACGTGTATTGCCCTTCGCCAGCTCAGAGAGCAATTCCACGCACAACACGTCGCGAAAGTAGAAGCCTCTGGAGGCAAGGCCGTTACTAAGGAGGTTCAGGAGAGATCGTTCCTGAGGGATGCTAGTGCCACTCTCCTCGTCGTGTTTGGTGGAGAAGCTATAACAGGTCCGTGGCAAATCTCGCATCGAGTCAGTAAGCGCACAGTGACTGAACGGCATTTAATAGCACCTGCTCTCGGGATACCGTGCTCGTTCATGATATCGGGCGCAGGACCAGCGTTGTACTCAGCTATTCAGGCTGTGGTAAACTGGCTACCATCGGTCCCCCAGCAGGCACTGCAGGGTGAACTTCCTGTCTCGGTTCTAGACGGCTTTACACGTGCATTTCTCCTTTGCGACCTCATACCGCCGATGATTGTTGGCCACTCGGTGCAGAAGGTGTCCAATTCTCCGTGGTCGTTGCTCATGGCATCTCTGGTCAGTAACATGCCATCTTTTCACATACATATGCTAACTTTCTGTAACATTCTCTTCTAGATCACCGCAAATGGCGGTTGGTTTTTCGTGAACCTCTTCTCGTTCCTCCAACCGTACGCTCTGACAGTCACCACGCCACCCGACCTGATGCCTTTCGGGTGGACCACCACCGACCTCTGGTGTGCTCCTGTCATCACTGGATTATACGCACTCCTCACCCACGCTCAGCCCTTTTGGGCGGACGCACACGCTGTAGCCATGGGGTGGCTTGGTGCAGCGATGACTGAGGAAGAGAAGGTACAGCCGGTGGACCCAGAATATGCCCGTGCTGCTTGCGCCGCGCTGTTGGCCATCATGTTTTCGACGCGCACGCTGAGGAACTTCCGTGCCGCGGCTCACGCGAGGCTAGCGACCTCACCTAAGATCAAGGTTCAGTAGAGCATTGTGCGGTGAATGACTATACGTTGCACAAGGCTGGATGAACTAGCTTTGGTTACCTACGGTTCGGTTTATGGATCAAGACTTGTCGGTATAAGGAACTGCCCTCAAGCTAGATTGTTATGACAATGATATGGCCGTGCATTCTACTACGAATGTGAGCGTATGGTTGATAGATTGTATCTCGTATACTTGTAACGTTCGGATTTAAAGTCAATGGGCGAACACAACATTGTATGGTCTAATGTTCAAGTCCCAGAGTGAAATCAACGGTCCCAGGTTAGCTAGTAAGCATCTCCCAACAAGCCAGGACGTCAAATCGTCGCCCTTCTCTTTATCCTCTGCTCCTCCGCGTAGCCCTCCAGCTTCATCGATGGTCTGTCAGAGTCGATGCAAGGCAATGATGTCGCACGCGTCATGTCTGCAGCCATTTCATCCATCCACTCTTCATGCACCTTCTTCCAGTCGACCGACTTCCTGCGGAGACATTCGGGGAGTGCCACGGGATGAACGAGACTGATGTCGATAGCCATGACCTCGTCATAGAAATTGCGATCAAAGCCCCGATTCTCCAGAAGAACAGTCGTCAATTCGCGCCCTCCCGCATCGTACGCTTTCTTCATCTCCTCTCGTGGGACTTCCGGATCGAAGACCTCGTGCAGGTTCAGAACGGAAGTCTTTTCCTGTTCCATGCGTTTCATTATAAGATGTGCATGGATCGGCAACAAGGTACCTACCTGCAGAGCGAGTCGTTGCCATTCGACATTATTAAGCGGTCGCTGTCCCTCTCTGGCGGTGTAGATACCATAGTATCGCGCCTTTTCGAGGGTATTGCCTGGTGGCTCCAAGCGTACGAAAAGGTGGAATGTCGATAGTTGACAGACTTTCTCGAACGTCGGAGATGCCGTGTATACACATCCATGCACGTTTGGAACAAGCTCTTCGCAGCATACTGCATTCAAGGGAGACAGCAGGACGATAGGAATATGATCCTGCTCGTCCCGTGGTTGTGATGTGACCTTCGTCGGCTGAAGGATTTTCTTGTCAAGGCGCGTGAATATGGACATAGTTTCTAGTGACATACTTTGGTGAAACGAGTAAGATCCAGTATGGTTTGTCGCCTACGATACTGCAACCCTCTTCGCTGTGCATATTCTGCCAGAGCCCGTAACGTGACTCCAGCAGTCCGTATCCTCGTTTTTTCCGACCGCTGCTTGAGCAAATGGGAATCGCCAATGCGACGGTGTCGATGATCTGAGAGTAATTCTCGGGTCGATCGTCTGACCAAGAAAGGTGGGTCCTGGGACATGCGCCGTAGCTTGGGCGGATTCAGATATGGCTGCTGCGACCGGGGCATACTTGGCTGAAGCTGAGGATATGGAAGAGTTTAGAGCATATTGTTGTTGTGAGAAGAGGGTTTAAGAGGCTGACAAGCAGGATGCAGCGAAGGACATTCTCATATTGTGATCTTGACTGGTCAGCCTCAGTAAGGCTGACATGAACGTCTGTTATGAAGATTGCACACATTGCTGTAGCTTGGAGAAAATGCAGGGAGTTGGAATACGGGCACTCACTGCGCAACACATCTTATAGCCATCGAGGAGGACCATGGGAGACCAAGAAGCACACCGCCCAGTACCGAATGCTCGCACAGCCACATCCAGACAGCTTGATAGAAAGATGACACCGAAGACGTGCAGGGCAATGCCACTTGGTATGAAGCAATGTGGCCAGCCACTCACAAGAGGTGAGCATGGGCCACCGTTGCATGTACAGCGTTCTTGCCTTGCCACAGCCTGACCATAACGCTTATCGGCGTTGAAGCAGCATGACTGAATGCGTTAAAGCTCTGTGAATGTGCGTCACTGCGATTTCAGAGAGGTTGTCCCTCCTTGACAGTAGTCGGGGACCGTGGACGAGGCTGGCGGCTCTGCTGGATGGATTCGCGCTTCTGGTCGAGTAAATCGTAGGCCAAGCAAATAACATAATTCAGATAGTATGGATGAGCATTACATGATATAAAGCGTGCAGAGAGCGGGTGTTTGAGCACACAAGGACGCAGGAGAAACGCGTCCGAGTCGGAGTTGAGCGTGTCCGCGTCTGGCGCCTATCTCATGCGTATACAGGCGCTTTGACTTGAGGACTTGCTCAGTTGCGTGCCCTAATGCTGCTCTAATTCTAACCTTGTCCGCAGTCTTTGAGTACAATCACTCGGAGCAACCGTCATTTGCGGTGGTTCTTCACGACGTTGCCTCGTGGCTCGCAGGCTCAACTTCGTCTTGCGATCAGCACCTGCGGCCTACTTTCCACTGCAGTCAAGCAATGGTCTTCCTCCGCGGCAGTGAATCGCGACCAGGGCTATCTGTTGCTCTCTTGCTGCTTGCTTGGATTGCCACTCCTGCTCAAGCTATCTGGCCATTCTCGCCCAAACGTTTCAGTGGCAATGCTTTGCTAAGTGCGGGCACCCTAGGAGTTGACGGTGAAGGAGGCGTCATAGCATTCGGAGATTTCAACGGCGACCAGTTGTGAGCATCGTTTGTGAGTTCCGCGGTGCAAAACTCAGGCCAATCTAAGCTTGGACTTGCTCGCTTTGGGACCTGATCGACAAACGTTGTCAGTGTATTTGTGGCACCATGGTGAGCCTCTGAAGTACTATGCAGTTTAAAGTAATTGATAATCTCGTAGACGAATATACGTTCCGCAAATCTGCTTCATTCCGGCACCCTCAGAAAGTCATCAATGTTGTGCCAGGAGACTTCACACAGAACGGGAAACTGGACCTGCTGGTCATGAGTCAAGCAAGTGCTGCTAGTCAGCTATCCTTGCAGGTATATACTGCAATCCCCGGAGGAGGGTTTGGTAGGTCGGCATGTCATGCCTACTACACATCGTCTTGTCATAGCTGACCCGTCTATCAGCACTCCACCCAATCTTAGCACCACCGTCTGTGCAAGCGCAGCCCATTCCGATGGACATAACTGGAGAGTTAAAAGTTGACCTTCTGGGCATCCCGTCACCTGCACCCTCGAGCTCTCCGTTCAGGATGTGGAAAAATGTTTGGAACTCATCAGACCCTGATTCTGCTATGTTCAACTTGTAAGCCCGCTCTGTGCTCGTCACATATTATCTTGCATAATAACTGATCTGCATTTTCAGAACTGAACCTAATTTCAACGGTGCTCGGTGCACGCTATCCAATCCGCATAGCAATGCAGCCATTGATCTGAATGGTGACTGTTTAGCGGGTTCGTGTGGTATATTGCTTGTAGTGTCTATCTGACCAGGAGTCATAGACCTGTTCTTGGTATGCGATGAGGGCAGGGGTGGATCAAAATATTTTCAGATATGGATGAACAACAAGGATAGTGGTTTCGTTCTAGTGCAGATCGGCCGTCTCCCTCAAGGGACGCAGTCAATATCTTTCGCCGATATGGGTATGTTGGACAGTCTGTCTCGTACCTGTAGTATTCTCTGATATCTGCCTATACAGACCGAGACGGGACTGTCGACATGGTTTTCGCCACGTGTTCCTCAGTATCGTCAAGCTCGGGTGTGGGTTCCGACTGTTACATCAACATCGCGTTCAATAAGCAGCTGCCTCTATGCTCGTCCCCGACCTCCTCTGGAGTGAAAGATGGTCGACGGATTTGTCGTCCTCCAGACCAGCTTTGCACAGCAGATCTTGAGTTTAGATTCGACCTCAACGATTCAAGCGACAATGATGTACGCGTTTTATTTTTACTGAAGCGGCAAACACGGGCTTACAGATGAGACAGGCATTCGTGCGTATACCGGTATTCGAGGTCTTCCCTCCAGCCCGCGGGACCTCGCTCCCGCCATCTCTGCTCGTCCTCGATACTACTAGCCAGCCCGCCGTCCCCGTACCGCTGAGATTGGGCGATGTCAACCAAGATGGCTTCCCGGATATCCTTACTATCGTTGTCACAGGCTCAGGTTCGAAGCGGACACAGACGCCTCAGCTGGCACTATCAGTGCCGTGCGCTTCAGGGGTTCCTGGATGCAGCGCCGAGCATGCTCGTCGAGGGTGGAGTGTTGTGAAGAAGGGCGCCGACGCTTTGCGGAATATCCAGGATGCGCGGTCCGCTGCATTCTTGGATGTGGACGAGGATGTGAGCAGATTATTCGTGAGCTGGGTAAGTTTGCTGATGGCCAACACAGGGCACGTTGGATTTCATGGTGCAGCGCACGGGCAAGCAGGGCGAAGGAAACGTACTCTTTGTGCAGAACAATTTCTATTACGACGCGTTCTTCCTCAAGGCTATAGGTTTGTCTCAGTCTGACTGAGCATAGTGGTCGTGATCTTATTGGCTTTTTCAGTGCTTAATGGAGCGTGCGGTGGTGGTGTTTGCAAATCACCGAATGGAACCTACTACGTGAGCCCTCGCACTACTTGTGATCTTTCGACGGACTGACCGTCTATAGCCATTCGGAGTGAGTTATCCAGGAGCAACGTTCAAATACACTGTTCTCGATACTTCAGGGAAACGGTCGGCTGCCGCAGGTGTGTATCATAATGTTTATGAACGTCGTCTTGTCCGATGTTCACTCCTTTGCCAGTCGGCCAACTACCACAAACGGCATATAATGCTCTTCTGACACCCTATTCCTACTTCGGCCTCGGCCGCACCAACAATTATATCGAAAATCTGTTTGTCGGCTCGACAAAACATTCCGACAAACACTATATCAACATCGAGGGCGTGATTCCCAATTCGAAGGTCGTGATCAGCCCTCCGATCGGAGAGGACGATGTATGGAAACGGGAGTTGTACCTACGACCGGGAGAATGGATCCCGTGGGTGACGTTGACTGTTGTTGCTGCGGCAGCCATCCTCGCATTGATCGTATTCATCTTACATCTGAACGAAAAGGTGAGCGTCCTTGTCATTGACCGGGTGTGGAGGCTAATATATAGCGCAACCCACAGAGGGAAGATGAGCTGGAGAGACGAAGAGCTTCGCATCATATCAATTTCGACGCATTGTAACTGACTGGATATACCCGCTTCCTTCCATGTACTGAGGATGAATACGAAGTCTGAGGCTACGACTGCCACATACACCGGGTAGAGCTAGCGTATGAATTCCCATTCTGTATGTTCGCCTTTTCCGCTCTTAAACTGCACGCGGCCCTCGCCTTCCAGCTTGCGCAAATGCATATCAACACTCCTAGCGGCGGCCTCCCACAGCTCCCGTGGATAGTCCGCGTATATGGTCTTAACCAATGTCCATGTCGTCCAGTACTCGTTTGGCGGAGCAGACTTCTTCATCACATCGAGGATCTGCTCCTCTCGAGTGGTCCGATGCCTCAGGTACATGTTGACGTGCTTCAGCCCATCCACCACGACATGCCCGTGCCCTGGATACACGCGTCCGTACTTCGATCCTTCTACCCCGAAGTCGATCATCTTGCGCAAGCTGGACATGTACTTGCCAAGGTCCTCGAAGACGGAACTGCCATGGCCGAGGACCGTGTCCGCAGTGAACAAAGCGCGATCCTCCGGATAGTACAGACAGAGAGAGTCATCAGTGTGGCCGGGGGTATGCAGCACGCACAAAACGGAACTCGTCGCGTCAGCGGAGGAAGTTGTAACCTGGAAGACCTGCGAGTCCTGAAGTTGGTGGACGGGATCTCCGGAGGGCGAAGGTACATAGTAGTCTGGAGGCAGCGATGATACCGACTCGAGGACGGACTGGAACATCGAGCCGGGAGCGGGCAACGGGAACTTGTGAATGCGAGGAGGTGGGTATGGGAGGGACGAAGTGCTCGGATTCTCTGACCATAGTTGGCGTAGCATGGTCAGGACCGAAGGTAAGCCGTAGACGTGATCGTGGTGCTTGTGCGTCAAGATGATATCCGAGATATCTGACTCGCCTGAGCGATGCGTACGAGAGGGATCCTGCAAGGCTTCTCGGAGGTGCGGTATGTAATCATCTAGGCCTTGGCCGGTGTCAACCAGGATGTATGGGTTGTGCTCTCCGACGAGATAGGTGTTCGTTCCTGCGATCATAAGCCGTGAGTCAACGTAAAACATATCAGCAGACAGACATACCCTGCAAAGTGTACTGCCCCGGGTTCTACGAAAGTAGGCAGAACGTCTCTGTCAACCCTGATTCATAGGATCTGGGATACTGGAGATTACCTGTCCCAGAATCCTCACTACGGTGTTACTGAGCTAGCGATACGTTCAATCTTGGCTAGATTGAACAGATTTTGAGTACATACTCTGGTAATTGACGGAATCGCCTTCAAGCCCTCAATGCCAGACATCCTCGGAGCAGTGCTATTGGATAACCCTTAGCGTCCCATGAAAGAGCAAGGCCCGCGAGATAAGCGGGTCTATTTACTATTAGTAGTGTCAGTCATTTGCGTCACGTTCAGCACATGGAGCTTTTGGATGCTACGTCCGGATAAGACTGAATGGCGAGCTTATTGCAAACAGGGCCTCGCGATGGCGCAATGAACAGACTGTAGAGGCGATTGGAATGCAGTGGACTTGGGTAATAAAAGGTAATAAAGCCTCAGCTGTGGTTCAAAGAGTTGCTGACAAATACTCCCAAATATGATGAGGCTCGGCGTTTGAGCGCTTATTTACCGGACTGCAGTGAACGACCACCGCCAAACATCGACAACGATGGCAACAGCAATGACTATGTCCCCGACTGCTCCTGCTGATGGCTCATATCCAAAGCGGAAGAGGTGCGTGCTATTTTTGTTTGCATATAGTTGCATGTTGATTGTTGTCTGCAGGTCGCAGTCGCGCACTTCAGAAAATGAGCAGCCTCCAGCGACACGACGCAGGTCCGCGTCGCCTCCACCGCCAGCACGCATTGTGGACATGCCAAAGGTCAGCGACGTAGACCCTGTACGGCGGGCAGAACGAGAGCGACAGCTAGCTGCGCGTATGGCTGCGACTGAGCTCGAGAAATTGGAGAAGGAGAAAGAGAAGGAAAAGAAGAAGGAGCCCGGGTTCGATGCCAAAGCTGAGTTTGCCAAGCTTACCGGCACTCGTTCTGGTGGTGTCTACCTGCCGCCAGCGCGTCTTCGTGCCATGCAGGAGGCGGCATCAAAGGACAAAGCCAGTGCCGAGTATCAACGACTCTCATGGGATGCGCTGCGCAAGTCTATCACCGGTATCGTTAACCGAGTAAACGTCGCCAACATTAAGCACATTATTCCGGAACTGTTCCAGGAGAACCTTATTCGTGGACGGGGACTGTTTGCGCGGAGTGTTATGAAGGCGCAAGCAGCCAGTTTGCCGTTCACCCCGGTATTCGCAGCGCTCGTGGCTATCATCAACACTAAGTTGCCCCAGGTCGGAGAGCTGGTCCTCACGCGCTTGATCAGTCAATTCCGCAGAGCTTTCAAGCGCAATGACAAAGTAAGATTTCCTCGCTGTATATTTGTGATACATTCCTAACCACGATTTCGCAGATTGTGTGCCATTCCACGACCACCTTCATCGCGCATCTCGTCAATCAAGGAGTTGCACACGAGATCATCGCGCTGCAGATCCTAGTCTTATTGCTTGAACGTCCGACTGACGACTCCATTGAAATTGCAGTCGGATTCATGCGCGAGGTCGGCGCCTTTCTTGCCGAGAACTCACCAAAAGCGAATGCGACCGTTTTCGAACGCTTCAGGGCTGTGCTCAACGAGGGCACTATCAGCCAGCGTGTTCAGTATATGATTGAGGTGCTCATGCAGGTCCGGAAGGACAAGTATAAGGACAACCCGATTATCCCTGAGGGCCTGGATTTAGTGGAAGAAGATGACCAGATCACACACCAAATCCAGCTGGAGGAAGAACTTCAGGTGCAGGAAGGCCTAAGTGAGTTGATATCGTGGGTATTGTATTTGTAGACATGTTGATTGGCCATATAGATATCTTCAAATATGACCCGAACTACCTCGAGATTGAGGAGAGGTATAAGTCTATCAAGACTGAGATTCTCGGAGAGGGATCGGAAGAGGAAGAGAGCGGTTCGGAGGAATCATCTGATGAAGACGAGGAAGAAGGTATGTCCCACAGATCCTATCGGACCTCGCAGTTGACTCGACGATTTGGCAGTCGAAGAAAAGCAAGGCATTGAGGACCGAACGGAAACAAATCTGCTCAATTTGCGCCGTGTCATCTACTTGACCATTATGAATGCTCTGAACTATGAAGAAGCCGTTCACAAGTTACTCAAGGTGCAAATTAAGGAAGGACAGGAGGTACGTTGTCCATTGATTGATCTGACAATTCGTAGTACTTACATCTTCTGCAGATCGAAATGTGCAACATGATCATTGAGTGTTGTTCTCAAGAGCGGTCTTACTCGACGTTCTATGGGCTCATCGGCGAGCGGTTCTGCAAGCTCAACCGAGTCTGGAATGACTGTTTCGAGCAAGCGTTCGGCAACTATTATACCACAATCCATCGCTACGAGACGAACCGTCTCCGCAACATTGCTCGTTTCTTCGGTCACCTGTTTGCGACCGACTCAATATCATGGGCGGCACTTGAATGTATCAAGCTCACCGAGGATGATACCACGTCGAGTAGCCGCATCTTCATCAAGATCATGATGAATGAGGTTACCGAATCGATGGGACTGAAGAACGTGGTGGAGAGGTTCGAGGACAATGAGGTGAAGGCGTGCTGCCGAGGCATGTTCCCCATGGACAACCCGAAGGACACTCGTTTCGCCATCAACTACTTCACGAGCATCGGTTTGGGCGCTGTCACGGAAGAGATGCGCGAGCACCTGAAGGTATGTCTACGTCAGATTGATGGAATGTATATCATCTGACTTTCGTTTCCGTAGAACGCACCCAGGATCATCATGGAACAGCGGCGAGCGATGCTGGAAGCTGAGACATCGTCGTCGGATTCTTCGTCAGACTCGGATTCCGATGAGGCCTCTTCCGAATCCGACTCTGAGCCCACCTCATCAGAGAGCGAGTCAGACTCCTCGCCCCGAAGGCGGCGGACTGTCACTCCTCCACGGAGAGACCGTCGCGAGTACTCACGCACCCCGCCTCGTCGGGAGAGCGGCCGAGGACGTGGTGATCAGCTCTCTCCTCCACGCCGCGATCGACGTCCCTCTCCGTCGCCTCCCCCTCAATACCGGGACGAGCGCGACAGATACAGGTCGCGCCGTGAGTCGCCACCTCTACGTCGCAGGGACTACACCCCGGACAGACGTGGCCACGATCGCGCCCGCACGCCTCCACGGTCTCCATCACCGCCGCCTCGCCGGCGGTATGACAGCCCAAGGCGCCAATCTCGCTCGCGCTCGCTGCCTCGGCGCGATGTGGACAAGGATGCGAGACGATTGAGAGATGACTACGATAGGAGACGGGATGATTTGCAGGACCGTGCTGGACGACGAAACGATTCAAGGGATAGATACGGACGGGAATCGAGGCGGTGAATCAGGAATTGCATAATCTTGTACCGTGTTCTTTCTGGATAGTGCTGTGTATTTTATATAGTTCGCTCCACTCTCACATGAAGATATTTATGTTCCTACATAACAAAGCTAAAGTCAAGCAAGCGTCCCGAGATTGAACAGAAATTCGAAGTCATGCTTAGCCATCATCATATATAGGACATGAACGATTTATTCTTTGTGTAGCACCCTACTTCTACGTTCGAATCGGCGCTCAAGGAATTCGCCAACGAACATTCCTCCGAGAGGCATACCAGATGAAATGTCATCAGACCAGCGGATCCCACACACGACCCGTATCTCACAATCCGTGGCTCTCAGCTGGGGCACGAAATGCAACACGTCGTCCACCGCGTCGGAAGCCCACTCATCGACATTATCAGAGCTGTGATCGAGGATATTGCATGTGAATGTCAATTCGGAATCCTTGCGTGCTAACTTGGTTAAAACATCGTCAATTCGACGCCACACTCTAGTTGCGGTAAGTCTGCCCCCGTGTGGTCCATGAGAGTCGATACTCTCGAAAATGAACTCCTCCCTAGCAAGGCTGACAGTGAGGTGCTGTATAGGACAGTTGTTTGCGTGCACGTTCTGCAAGACCAGCATAATGTTCCGTAACATGTACAGGGTAGTGTGAGCCGTTGAAGGATCAACGTTGGCGGACCTGATGTGAACTGAGACGAGACAGGGATTTCGTTCAAGATTCAGTTGTCGAGTGGAGGTCGGTACCAGAAAGGCGAAGGGCACGCTGTCAAGCACGAGGCAGAGCTCCTCGAGCGATGTCCCCGCCGCGCGGAGGAACCCATGCGTGATCCGCATGATTTGGCTGTTGGGTGCCCACAGGCATTGCAATCGGCGAAGACCAGCAAGCAGCGGGCTGCGCATCAGCCAAGCGGCAACGTGTTCTTGACATTGAGAATAACAGAGTGCCTCGAGAGGAACCGTTCTCGAGGGCATGCTCGCAGCTACCGCAGGCGGGAGGGGACCATCAGGATGCAATGTGGGAAGGGTGATGAACTCCTCAGGAGGGTCAAGCCACCAGATGGAGTCGAGGTACAGGACAGAGAGCTCGGAGCAAGCGCAGAGGAGGCGCGGGAAGTCGGGCTTCCATGGCCTCCATGCGTGCACGCCCTGCAGACGGAGGGTCTTGATGTGAGAAAAGTACTTTGGCAGATCTTGCACAACTTCTTCAGGCAGCTCCGACGCGGACCACTGGCTCACGGAAAGGTCTTCCAATCTAGAAAGCTTCGACAGGATCGTCGGCCATTCGCGATCCACGTTGGTGCGTCTGAGTTGGGACCCTTTGATGATGGAGAGGTGTACAATTGCATATGCGATATCTTGGTTGGCATTGCTAAGGTGGGCAAGACGGTCGTAGCCAGCTACGTCCATTGCAACAACGCGACGAAATATGTGAAATCGGGCTCTCGGAAGCCATGCACGGCATGCCAGCGCACATGCGAAAAGCGAGGGATAGTCATCCCGTAGGTGATCTATAACGGAGTCGGTAATCTCAACAGGGAGTAATGATTCTGCATGACCCCCGTAATCCATGATTATTGCAATAGCACAGCTGCGGATGGCGGAATAACCTAGCTGGAATTACAATGCAGGACGATACCACGCTTTCCTTGGTGAGACATAGAGGGAGGATATTAGTGCAGTGCAACGATACTGAGCTCTGAAAGCAAGCCTACCTGAAGTAACCACATGGACGTGAACCACGACGGTGCTCTGCTCGCCCGATGCGTTCAATCAAGGCTCAAAGACATCGTCGAGGCAGCGTCTTTGACTCGGAATCCGTCGTCAACCTGCTGAGCTTGATCACGGAGGACGCGCACACGAGCGCTCACCTGGTTTCTGGCGTGCAAGCGATTTTATTATTTTATTATTTTAAGTGATCATAAAATACGTTTTACTCACGTGATTTGTCCTACGCCACCGACGCGTCTCGACACGATACGTCAGCTGGGGACGAGCTGTCGGGCGCGCACGCGGTCGTCATGGGACAAGCCCCCCGTCGGCCTCAGCCACACGCCCCTTTCCATCATTCCCCCGATAAATAAGTGATTCCCCGCCCCATATTTTCCCTTCCCACTTTCCCGCCGCATTCGACCCGCATCTTATCCCCCTTTCCCACTGACAATCACCATGGCAGGTGAGCGCGATGGCCAGGCAGCACTCGGGTGTTCTTATTCGTATACGACCGTAGGAACGAAACGCGCTGCGGAGGGCGAAGCAACGGGACCCACAACCCGCTCCGCGAAGGCGCCAAAGACCGAACACACGCACTCGAGGTCGCGCAAAGGCGGAAAGAAAGGGCCCAAGGTGCGTTTCAACACTACTTCGCAGCGATATTTTCTCATGCGAAGCTTGCCTGCCTGCAGGTAAACATCGCTGCGTCCGAGTTCAAAGCGCGCGCGGCGCCCCTGCATGTCAATTTTACGCACACACCACCCGTCCTCCCCGATGCTCAGGGCAAAGAAGGCGTATTTGATCCCTCCACTGATGCAGGCTATATCGGCACAGCAACCCTCCTTCCTTCCACATTTGCCACTGGCAGCTACGGCTGGAAGGGAAGCAAGCGCTTTACCGTCGAGCTGCAGAACAGCGAGGGCGAGGAGAAAGAGAAGGTCCATGTCATGGTCACGTGAGTCGCAGGCTTTGTTCGAGAACACGAACGGGGTGTTGACGTGCTATGGATATCGCACAGGATAAACGCCACTGTAATGGGAAGCAAGGGAGCGAAGGAAGAGGGTGGCGAAGAGGTCGCGGAGGAACACGTAGAAGGTCAGTCGGCAGAGGAACATGCCGAGGAGAAGGCCGAGAACGGGACGGAAGCCAAGGAAGAAGCCGTGCACAAAGAAGAGGCCATCCAGAAAGCAGAGACCGAGCAAGTCGAGGCAGATATCACCGAAGCGACGGAGGAACACAAGGAACCAATCGTCGAGCCAGAGGCGGCAGCGGCGGCGGCATAAACTCATTACTTCGCTAAGGGCTGATAGTACTTGACTGGATGTATGTATCTGTACATAATTGATGACGTTCCAGACGACAGATTCGTGGGTGATCAAGGTATTGTACTGTGCTCGGCCTACATAAATACCAGCAAGACGCAAGGGCCCTAACTCAAGGCAGATATCGCAGATCCGTCGTATTTTCATTCACACCGACTACAATGTCCCTACCTACGCATGAGCAAAAGTAATGCCCCTGCCGACGTATGAGTAGAAGTACGCATCAATTCTGTGCATTTGATATGAGCATTGTAAAGGCCAATGATTAATGACGTCGCAACACTCACCACCCCTCTGCCCGCAGTACCTCATATCCCCTCTGCCTGCAGTTCCGCAACGATCTTGCCCAAGGCATCCCGCCTCATCGGAATCCACAGCGCCTCTCCCCCGCCTCCCGCTCCTCCTCCAGCAGCAGCAACACTCACCACCAACCCATGGTCCCTAAACTCCCCCAAGAGCGCACGCAACGCCGTATCACTCGTCGCCACAAACTCATCCCGCGCCGCCGCAAACAGCCTATCATAGTCATACGCCGCGGAGGCCGCCCCCTCAACGCCGCCCGCGCCGGGCGCCTCCATGAGCTCGAGCTGCTTCCCGCCGAGGAGGACGAACAACTTGCGCGCCTTCTGCGTGACGCTCGCTAGGACGTGCCGCGCTGCGCTTTCTGTGACGATCTGTGCGCGAGAGGCACCAGGGGCGCCGGGTGCGGTGGGCTGGGTGCGCCGCGAGGAGGAGGAGAAGAAGGAGGCGCCGGAGAGTGAGGAGGGGTCGGCGGAGGCGAGCTCGAGGTCGTATGGTGCGAGGGTCGTGAGGTCGTGCCAGAGCCATGCGAACCCTCTCCTAGGTATCGTAGGATGTGAACCGGATGTGGGCAGGTCGTTTCCATCGGTATTTTGTCGTCTTGTGTCCTTGGCTTTTCCTTTTCCTTTCCCCTTCACGTTGCTTGATGACGCCTGTGGCCGGGCACGGAACGGCAGGTCCTTGCGTGCAAACAGCTCCGAGAGTGTCCATCGTGTGGGGGCCGCGATATGGTCGACCGACGCGACGATATGGATGCGCGACGCCAGCGCGAGCAATGCGAGCGCCGCCTTCGCCTTCGCGCCCCTCAGCCCCGGGCCATCAATGTTATGTATAACGAGGAGCAAGCGCTCCTCTTTGCCCTCTCTCGAAAAGACGTCGTACACGCGCTGCGTCTGCGCCTCCACGCTCGTCCCCTTCCCAGCACCAGCGCCCACCTCCTCCAGCGCCTCTTCCAACGCCGGGATCGCCTCGACGGCGCCCAACAAATCCTTCAGCGCAAACCCAGGCTGAAACCCATTACACACCAGCACATGCGTCCTCCCCCGTCCTCCCCTCTCCCTCTGCCCTCCCACACGCGGCCCCACCCTCACCCTCCCCCTCGCGACCTCGGTCCCAAACACATTCAACACCCTCCTCTTCGATCCATACCCATAAAACAGCAAATTGAACCCCTCGCCGAGCTCCACCGCCCACCGCGCAAACACCTTCCTCTGCACCCCGACCGGGCCATTCTCCCACAGCGGCCCACAGTTCGAGAGTGCGTCTGACGCGGGGGCGCGGGCGCGGGCGAGCGCGGCGGCGTACTCGGCAGGCGTGAGCGGCGCGAGGAGCTGCGAGAACACGGTGGCGGACGTGCGTGCGGGCCGGGACGCGTGCTCAAAGTAGGCGTCGAACGCGGTGCGCGCGGAGAACCCGAACGGCACGTCGGCGGGGGCGGCACCGGGTGCATCGTCGTAGTCGTCGTCTGCGGGAGGCTCAGGGCGGCGGCGGGAAGCGTAGTGGCTGGAGCGTGCGGGGGACGGGGCGGGTGCGGGGGCAGGCGACGCGTCGTCCTCGAGATCCTCGTCGGCTTCAGTGTCGATGCCCGTCGCGTACGACCTCGTACTGGACATGTATGAGAGCTCAGACTCGCTCGCGTATACGCTCATTCTGTCGTGGAGAGCACGTAGGCCACCCGAGGCTGAGCTCGACTTGTAGGCAAAGACGTGTGAGTGGCTACAGAAAACAGACGCGACGCCAAGCGCCCGAGGCGCCCACTTCATTCGGATTTGGCCACAACCCGCGCATGATCATGGTAGTTGCGTAGCGGGCATCACGCACGCGTCTTCATTTCACACCGAGATGCCACGTAAGAGATACATGAGGCAACACGATCAGGGAACACACACAGAAACTATAACTACGTCGTGAAAAAAAAAACAGCAAGCTCACGAGAGAGAAAAAAAACATGCCGAGATCCCAAATGTACGCAGAATGTAGTATGCAACCACGCCGCAGCGATTACCGAAAGACCATACCTCGCCTTTGCCCGATCGCGCCTCGTCTCCCCGCGCGCGCACTCGGTCCTCATCTAGCAGCCCGAAATCCAAGCAACCAGACAAGACACCGCGCCGCCACCGCCACCCTCACCAATTCACGAGCGCAAGGATCCGCTCATAATCCTCCCGCACAGTCCTAAACGTTTCCTCCAGCTTCTCCTGCCGATCCTTCTTATCCAACTGCGCCAAAATCTCCTAACACCCGCACCCCCATCAGATCGATAAAAACATAACGAAAAAAGAACGCACATAATTAAACCGGAACAACCGCTCCTTCACCTGCAACCTATACGCCCTCTGTCCGCGCACGTCCGACGGGTCCAGATACCTCAACTGCAGCATCTCCACGAGCCGATGAAACTGGCGCTACCAATCCACATCAGCGTCCCTCGCCAAACTACTGACATGTAAGGATCGGAACCGCACTCACCGACGCAATCTTCAGCTCAACCCTCCACTTTTCCACCCACGCCTTATCCGCCGGCGGGCCCAGCCGTCCCCTTTTCCTCGCCGCCCCTACACCATTCACCTTCTCCCCCTCACCACCCTTCTCCAGCCCCCGTTCCCGCTCTCCAAACCCATTCGTCCATCCCCGCTCCCCAGGATGGTGCACCCTCCCGCCCCTCGTCCGCCCGACCCGCCCGAACCCAGAGACCGCACCGAAGCCACCAGCCTCGCCGAGCGCCTCGCGCATGAACCGCTCATTCCCAAGCAGCAGCTTCAAATCGTTCCGATCGCGCAGGTCCTCAAACGCCTCCGCGGGGTCCTCAACCGTCAGCTCAGCGATCAGCGGCGACGCAAGCACGTGGTGGTAAACCGCCGTATACAGCGCGGCTGCGCGATGCGGCGGGAAAATGATATACGATCGTCAGCACACGTGCGCAGAATCAATAACGTCCACTTACAGCCATGCCCCTCCTGCTGGTACGGCGGCAGAATCACAAACTGGCTACACGCGCAGATCGCCATCAACGCTCCCGCTCAGGATCGGGAAAATCAGCGCTCGCACCTGATTCGCATGCGGACCTTCTCCGGGAAGCAGTAAAAAGGGTACAGCGTCGCGTACCCCACAAAATGGTACGTCTCCACGGTAGGGTCACTTCGGCGCTTCCGCTTCTCGTACCTGCGGGAATGGGTCACCGGGAAGGGAAAGTACGTTTGCGAGATAGGGCAGGTTGGCAGATGCCGACGCGTCACGAGAGAGTTGTCAGCGGATCATTCGCTGACTTTGCTTGGCAAAGCACGCACAGAACAACAAATTCCCAGCTGCCCTCGTCTTCGCGGATGTACGAGCCCGCCTCGATATAGAGGAGGATAAAGAGTTGCATCCGTCGATGGTATTCCCGGAAGCCGGGCGTGTCCCATGTGCTCTGTGGGTGGACGGGTTAGCGTTCACGGCAGGTCATTGGGCGGCAAGGGGAAAGTAATTCAAAAATGATGGGCAGAGGGTCGGTTGACAGCGAGAATGAAGAGCGTGGCGACCGAAATGATTATCGGGTATATACGGAGCGGGACGCGTCAGCAGGTGAAGGAAGCACACAGCAGGAACGCGATCTCCAGGGCAGAGGAGGGCTTAGCGGACAAAATGACACGGCATGACCTCCGCGCGGCGCAGGAAGAGGGGAAGGATGACGGCGCGCTGCAGGCGAGAAGGGGGCGATGAAGGGACGCGTGGCGAAGGCGCCGAATGAGAGCGAGGCGTGCCAGAGAGTGACGCGTCAAGAGATGGGATTACGTACATGATAGGCCTCGAAATCGACAGTTTCCTCATCCTCGGGGCTGAGGACCTGGGGGATGGCGACGTGCTTGCCCTTGCGGGAGAGGGTGCTGGCGGGGCGGGTGTAGGAGAAGATGCGTGTGCCGGGCGGGGTGAAGGAGGTCGCGTCCTGCTCGACGCGGGCGAGAAACTCTGTCTCGTCGGTATAGTAGCCTGCGCGACCGGGTTAGCGCGGACGGCCACGTAGGCACGCCGTCTCGGCCGACAGGGCACGGCGAAGGGGACATGCACACACACCTGGTGGAATAAATTTGCTGAGGGTGCCTTGGATGTCGTCGACGGCGGAAGAAGCGGGGAGCTTGTCGGAGAAGCGGACGCGAAGAAGCTGGGCGAGGGAGCCGGAAGCAAATTTGAGCTGTATGGGGTGGGCGGCGGAGAGGAGGTGAGCAGTTGGGGAGTAGGCGAGGGAGGGGGTAGGGGGACGCACGTCGATGGAGAGGTCGCGGTAGCCGTATATCTTTTCGTCTTCGCCGAAGATCTGGGGAGAGTGGGTCAGTGGCACGGGGGAGTGCTAATAGAACGCGACGCACGGGATAGGTGAATGTCGGGTGGAAGCCTTCGTAGGCCTCGCGTGCGTGGAGGGACGCCTTGTCCTCCTTTGCACGGACTGTGGGGGGGTCAGCTACAGCGACGGACGGAGATGGCGGAGGACGTGCCGAGGGAGAGACAGAGGGCCTCATTGGCGTCGGCAGTCCAGGCGGTGGGCAGAGGAGCGGGGGACACGGCGGGAGGCGCCATGACGGTCATCATCGGGAGGCTGTGGCGCGGGGAGACAGAGTACAAGCAGAGAGACACTCGAGAGGAGAGACGACCGCGCCGCTGCTCGCCAGATCCATCCCCGATCGCGCCCAGGCCGCAGTCCAGACCCCACACGTCACCAGCCGTCCTCCTGGGCCCCACCTGCCTTCTCCGGCCCTGCCCAGATCCTCGACGATCCTCTCTCCCGCCGCCTGCCCGCCCGGTGCTCCAGCGTCGTCGGCGCACTCCCGCGGTGGCGCAAAGGGAAGGAGGAGTGCCGGATCGGGAAAGGGAGCATCAGCATTGGGAGGCGAGGCCAGGCGAGACGCGTGTTGGCCTTTCCCCGCGCGCATCCGTCATCTCGCTGACAGCCGCTTCTGCCTCCGAACTCTTCTCGCGCACGGACCATCCTGCGGTCCAGCCCTTACACGTAAACCAGGGTCTCGCCCCGCTAGCCTCTCTCATCCTCACCCTCTGCCCTCCCTCTACCTGGGCTAACTAACCTCCCCAACACGCATACCTTGGGATCCGCGCCAATCCATCAGGTATCTTTGCGCATGCCGCGCTCGACCGTCCAATCCTGTCCGAGGTGTTCGCTTTGTTACGCAGACATGCCTGCCTCAGGTGCAGGAAGATGTCTTTGGTTGCCATATTCTCCACCTTAGGCAGGCTTGTCTGGCCAACCCTCTCAGAGCAAGTCTTTCGATCATGAGCATGATTTTGAGCATCAAGGTGTAATTAATCTCCCTACCATCAAGTAGCAGCATCCTACCCTGAATGCATCTTTCGTCCACCATCCCGAATGCACACTGCGACCGCGGACACAAGCGGGAACTGTTGTTCTGCAGGTGCCCCAAAGCACGCAAGACGTGAGATCCTCTACATTCACAAGCTCGGTGCCGCTCGGTTGGCGCGTATAAGGCGGGGCGGCGGTAATTTCCTCGCAGATGACACGAGAAAGGAGAACCCGTGCATTCGCAATCGGATTTGTCCAACAGCGGTAGACAGCAGAAGTATTCGTTATGTTATTTCCTCCACTGCACACGGGATGTATCTTCCTTCGGTCGGCGCGTCCCCGCTTCCTCAGAGGCTCCGTGGCCTAGGCACGAGATCTATCTCTCGCAAAGAGCTGATGGTCCGATGTGGGACAATGAATGCCACGATGGCCTGTGTTGTAATCTGTGTCGGGCACGAGGCTCAACACTGACATATCAAGGTAAATGCTTCGCACCATGCAGGGAACCCGCGCTTATCTCCGACAATTTACAGCCAGGACTGATGCGCGATGGCGGCGTTTTCGTCGAATCGTCGCAGCACACGCGTCGCAGAGTGTCTTCGCTTCGAGATGCGCTTCGCGGGTTCATAGTGCCCTGCGAGCCCGCGCCGCGTGGTGATCAAGGGTGTGTGCGTGTGCACGCTTGGTATTTTGTGATCCGTGCGTGTGCGAGAGCGGACTTTAACATACGGACAAATTGATTCGTAGGTCCGCTCGATGGAATTTCATACTGGTACTGGTGCGTTTGGTCGCGGGCCGCGTTCGTGTTCCGTGTGCGCGTTTGATTTCTTCTTGAGGCGTGGTGCAGTGACTTTGGTCGTGTGCTCGGGGCGAGGCGACCGCAAAGTTAAAGTGTATGTACCAACGGGTAGTCACCAGGCAATGTGCATGATAAAGTCTATGTGTTTCGTGCCGGAATATGCTCTGGCCAGCGCGACATCAGCTGCAGTTCATAACATCAACTCCAGCGACATAAAAGAATTAACTCAATATTCGAACACGAGCCAGCTACCGCATACTATGGCGCCCATACGTTGCTCGAGTCTCGTCCTTTGCATCGTGCACGCTTTGGGAAGTTGAATCGCCATGTATGGCAAGTCTCGGATATCCTGAGGCACTCGTCAGTCCAAATCGCAACGGCTCGGATATCGCGACGGACTGAATCGACGGACACACATCCGAGCTGGCACGGATGCACATAACCGTACGCCGTCATCCGTGCACACGATGTGCATAAAAGCAGGCCCGCACTGTGCATCGAGCAGCACAACTTCTCATCCTCCGTCGTACTCATCATAACTCTCATCCTTCATCACACCCATTACCACCACTCTCCCCATCACTTCCAAATCTCGACCGTCGTCCATCAATGGAGCACGCCGACGCTCGAAGTTCCTCCCTGCAAAGGGGGTTCGTTCAGCGACCCGGTGTTGCGGCACATCCGGCGGTGGGCCGCTCTCAGCCATCATGCGCTCACCAAGCGCTGAAGCGCTGACGAGTGGCCCGAGATCTCCCTACCCTACCCTCCCCCTCCCCATCATCTGCGCGGCGCTGCACTCCGAGTCGTCATCTCATCGACACGCGAGACATCTCGATGCGCCTCTCCCGGCGAGGGCATTCGGAGTCTTGGTGGGTTCGGTGGATACGCGGTGCGGTGCCCGTGAGTCTTCCCCCTCCCTCCCCCCTTCGATGCCCATCATCTCTGCGAACACTGAGTCCTGCGGTGCATTCGTGATGCCCTCATGCCGGAGGGGGCGTCCGAACCGCACGTATGGATCGGTCAGTAGCATAGAATCCCCCCCCCCCCCAAACAGCTCGAGCCCCGCTCGCTGATGATAGACACTGGCACCTACCCATCCCCACTCTCCGGATGCGTCGTCCACGCTTCTTAGTGCGGTTGGTCAGCTTGAGCCTCTGCTCGCTGATCATCGTCTCCTCATTCTAAAAGATAAAGAAAAGAAAAAAATCAAAAAAGAAAAGAAAGAAGCAAAAAAGAGAAAAGATAAAGATAAAAGAGAAGAAATGCGGCTGACAAAAAAGACGATAGAGCTCCACGGTCGAGGAAAAACGAAAATAAGAAAAAAACCACGGAGCCGTCAGCGTAAAATAAAACAAAAGACGCAGTAAAAAAAACGAGATGAGTGGTAGATGGAGTTGCGCCATCTATAGCGTCATTATACGCCCTTCACAAAAAGAAAAGACAGACAGGAGGAAGATGACAAACTTGAAGAGGCATTGAGAATATAAAAAGCCATGATAGCAGGGGGGGAACAGACGCGGGGGGGGGGAGGGGGGTCACAAGAGCCGTACGGCCAAAGGGGGATGTAAAGAGCCAGAGAGCCACTGACTACGATTACAAAAAGCGCGGGAGAGGGACGCCACGAAAAAAAGAAAAAAAGAAAACACGCAGAAGAACGCAGACATTCGAAAAGATCAGACATAGAAAAAGATGACGCGCCATGAATATGCTCTTCGAGCTTTCGTCGTGTACTGATTCCTGTGGTGTGTGCGCTTTGTATTCTCGAGGGCGGGCTGTCTCTCCAAGCAGAAACGTCCGGGCGCGGACCTCTTCGTGGTCCTCGGGATAAGTACCTCTCCAAGTCGTCTTCGACAGTGGAGAGGGAAACTAACTCGCGCCGAATCAAGTCTCTAAAGGTCAGCATATCGTCTTTGCAATTTTGATCACAGGACATACAGATGCGTTCCCGCGTTGTGTTATATCGAACCATTCGGGATCGACGCTCATCATGAACGGTACGTTTTCTGCGTAGTGGCATTCAAGTTGTCGTTAACGCGTTAATAACAAGACAACATGCGCAACTCACCGCTGACACCGTCAACATGCTCAAACCGGGCCGAAGACGTCGTTACAACTGTGCAAGTTTCGACGACGGCAACAGAAGCAACTGCAAGACGTTAGAATTGACGATCAAGAAACGGCTTCCCCATGGACTGCGGTCGATCCGAGCTGAAAATCACGTCAATCGCTCACTCAGCGTCATCCAGCGCGTGTATGCAACGAGCATCATCGGCGACAGAGCACTCATTTCCAGATATGTTGCTGATCAGGAACCACCTCTAAGCCCGACGAAACGCCGACGCGTGGTGTTGCTGTGATCTATGTCAGCATGTTCTTAAGATATTAAGGAGTAAGAACGCCCCCTGCTGCTCACCTGGGATATCAACTCTATTGATTATCCGCATGGCTCACGGACTTCCTCTTCATCGCCTTTGGTAATCCGGAGCCAATCATGCGGATATTGTACATTGCAAGTTGTCATTCATATTACTCTGCGAACATCCCAGCCTGCTCCATACACAGTCCATAACGTGGAACGAAAATCTACGATCGGCTTCGACCAAAAGACCAGCTCAACCGTTGCCATGAACTAATCACCGCAGCGTCACCAACTCTGCACAATCATACAAGTCAGCGACAGAGAAACGTCCCACACAATGCGGCTTACCCTCGCCTGACGTGGGATGAATAGCCACGGTGTCATCGAGATCCTTCTTTCGAGCGCCCATCTTTACGGCGACCGCAAAGCCTTGCATGACTTCGTCGCTGCCCAGACCGATGATATGGATACCCACAATGCGCTCATCGGAGCCGGCACAGATGAGCTTGTACATCGTTGGCTCCTTCTGTTCCTCGGGGAGCATTGAGTAGTAAAGGGCACGGAAGGAGGATTTGTCTGTGTTAAAGACCGTCAGCGGGGAATTCCCGGATGCACTGAACAGAAGCGGGACGTACAGATCTTGATGTTGTCATCGCCATACTTCGCACGCGCCTGTGGCTCGGTGAGACCAACAGTGCCGATAGTGGGGTGCGAGAAAACCACGGTCGGGATGTTCTCATAGCTAAGCCTATCCCACTTAAACTTCTCGCCGCCATACAGGCGGTTGCTTAACCGGCGTCCAGCGGCGATAGCCACTGGTGTCAACAGTGCCTTTCCGCAAACGTCTCCGAGCGCATATATGCCATCGACGTTGCTCTCCTGCCATTCGTTGACAAGCACATCCCCCCTCTTGTCTAGCTTCACGCCGAGCTCTTCCAGGCCGAGTCTCTCAGTGTTCGCGTGTCGGCCGATTGCCCATAGCAGCAAGTCTACCTCGACCGCCTCGCCCTTGTCAGTGTGGATCGTGATACCTTGCCCGCGCGCACCCTCCGCGCGCACCACCTTGCTGCCCTTGTGGAAGTTGATTCCCGTGTGTTCCATCCAGCGCGTCAGCACTTCACCCACCGACGGGTCAAACGTGCGCAGGACCGTCTCGCCGCGAATAACCATGTGAACGTCGCTTCCAAGCGCGTGGAACACGCCCGCGAGCTCGACTGCGATGTATCCCGCACCAACGACAGCGACACGCTTTGGCTGCTCCTCCAAGTCGAAGAAGCCATCAGAGTTGATTCCAAGAGACGCGCCTGGTATGTCTTTGTCGGTAGGGATTGTCGGCCGTCCACCCGTCGAGACAACGACTTTGTCCGTGTTTAGCGTGTAGGTGGAGCCATCGGGACGAGTGACCTGCACTTGATTGGGGGACAACACGCGTCCCCACCCGTGATGAAGCTCGACGTTTTCCTTGTCTACGTTGGCATTGTAGATTCCGTTGAGCTTGCGAATGTATGCGTCCCGTTGGTGCTTGAAAGCGGTCCAGTCGAACTTGGGTTCGGGCACGCCTTGAAATTTGTAGCCGTGTGCGTGTCGCATCTTCTCTGCAATGTCTGCAGCATGCCACATGATCTACGTTACATGAATTATTTGAAACATCAATGAAGAAGAGAGTGGTATGCGAACCTTCTTCGGAACACATCCTATACAACCGGTCGGACCCTAGTCAATGCATTATAGACATAATCGAGTGCACTCAAACTTACCAACGTTGACGCATGTACCGCCAAGTCTGTCTGAGCTCTCAATAAGCGCGACTTTCGCGCCGTAAGATGCAGCACGGCGCTGTTCATTGTTCAGGATCGATACATGATCGCGATACTCGCGATGCTCACCGATCCGGAAACACCACCACTACCCCCTCCAATCCACACGACGTCGTACTTTTCCTGAATGGGCTTGTCGACGGGAGGCATGCTGACTGTTGTGGTTGTGGAGAGAGCTCTAGTGATCTGTGAACGAGAATATTTCAGTGTGAGAACTAGTGCACGGCCTTCACCACAAGAACCGTTGATGCCCCACTGACCTGGGCGAGTCTCTGTGAAGCGGTCAGCGTCCTGCTACTATTGATGATCGGAGTAGTGTTCAAAAGACGATGTGCTCTGCAGGCGCGAGAGCTGGAGATAACGCGAGAAAGTACTGAGGACGAAATGGTTCGCGAGGAAGATACTTTCGCTATCGACAAAGGCGACAAAGTGAGGGGAGAGCAAGATGACGACAGGGCTTTATGGGAATTCGGAATGACAGGACGTGACGAGAGAGTCAGCGAGCGGGAGAGGGCGGGAGGTGTCATATGACGCAAGGCGCTGATCCTCGTAATGCTCTGTCAGCGTCGTCACTGATCGCGTCTTCGGGCTCTTGGAGGGTGTCGCGGATTGCGGCGTGCACGCTGTTCGCGACGATGGACTCGGACACACACACCATGGCTGCATGAAATAGGCGGGCGGCGCACGTGCTTGGGTGGGCGAATGCTCACACCATCATCCCGACAACCGCGCGCTTACACCCGACGCGACGCGACGCGTCGCGGTCACTCTTTCTTCAATAGCTTCAATGCTCGCTCAGCAAATATCTCCCCAACTTTTAGCCTCTAGTACTGCTGCTGCTTAACCTATCCGAAATATGATGGATTCCGGTCAGCTATTATCTGAACAGTAGATGATGGTTCTGAATGCTGATCCATCCATCAGACCCTCAAGATCTTCAAGTTCACTTGAGCGAGTACTTGCAGATCCTCGACCACTATCAATATCATGAAGAGAGGATGCCGTATTCCGATCTGTCGAGGTTGAACAAGAGGGGTCGGGATCGAAACATCGATATAGAGTTGGAACTGCTGGACAGTATTGCTCTCTGTCTCGCGACTGGACAGAGTCATGATGTCGTGGCCACAATCTTTGACAAACGCCACGCCATCACTATCCTTCTATCAAAAAACCATGCGCCCTCCGTGACGGACCGTGAGCAAGCGTCCCTCTTCTTCAATGCCCTTTCGGATCCCAAAAACACTCGCGCCATTAACATCATCACGGTTATAGCAACTTATGCCTGGATGAATCTGAACAAGAGGGTCAAGAAGGTGGCCGAGAGTCTGGGCGATGTGCGGTTACGCATTGAAGCTTTAATGGATGGATATAAAGCTGGACCACGTGAAAGTGAATTCCATTCAAGCGACCCTATCCTATCTTTGGAACTCGACGTTCGTCAATCGCTGGAGCTTGTCATTAACGTCTTGAGCGACAAAGTCACAGACTTTGACATCAACTCCGGTGATCGAATGGACACTCTCGTTAGTTTTGAAGCTGCGTCACAAGCTGCCTATTTCCTGACGAAGACGCGTTTCATCCGAAGCGAGGCCGAAAAGCCCACTCGTCATCCCTCATTTGCGGTGTTTCAACGACGACTTGCCAAGCTTGGGCAATACTCCCGGGGCATCCGACGCCTTTTTCGATACCGCAACCGCCTGTCTGGACAGATACCCCCGTTTCGATGGGTAGATTTCCCGCTCCATGACCCTCCGCCTGTCAAGATCTCCGAATCTCCAGTGGATGTCGCATCTCGTTTGATGGGATTGGGTCCCGTGAATCCAGAGCACCAGAATTTCTTCTGGCAGCATTATCCCATTCCCATCGAACGCTGGATTAGGACTGTGACACCTACTTTCCACGCGGAGGTGCGTTTGATACTCTTTCTGGATTCCAGCAAGGAGGAGCCGTTCGAGCAAGTCCGGCCCATTGGCTGCAGCAAACGTAGCTGCCTCTGTTGCTGGTATTGGATCGATTCTTACAATATCGCACACTGTACCAAGTGGATGACGGATGGTTCTCACGGCAAACCATACATGAACTGGGCACTATCGGGCGACATCCCGGTTGATCTTAAGGTTGTCGATGCCATGCGTTCGAGGGTCCTTGATACTCTGGAATGGATGGAAGGATGGAAGAGACGTTCCTCAGATGAACAAGCGAGTAGACCGGGATCCAGCTCTGATTCTGAAGATCCGATCGAGAACGAAGAGTTGTGGCGACGCTACGCTCGCTATGGTTCAGGACACTCAGACACTGCTACTCCTGCACACGATGTTTAGTTTATCCACCGAACACACCAAGACTCCGAGCGCCCTCGCCGGGAGAGAGACGCGTCAGGAAGCCTCGTATGTCAATAAGATAACGAGTGTTGCGCCGGAGCGAGGAAGGGAAGGATGATGAGCAAATTCTTGAATCACACATCAGCGAGCAAATGCTGAAGTAGATGACGACCGAGATCGACTAACTGCCAGAGGCGCAGACCGAGATGCCCAGCGGTCCCCTGCAGCGAGGAACTTCAAGCATACGGCACTCTCTGTTGGTGATAGGGAGAAATGGTGGTGGGTGTGGTGACAAAGAGTATGACGAAGAACGGGGAGACGTGGTGCTTTGTGCTCTGGCAATGCAGGTCCGCTTTTATGCATACTGGCTGCACCGGGGATGGTGAACGGCTGTATGCATCCAGGTCCGTCAATTCGCTGTGTACCCGTTACCATTCTGCATGTGCGCGATTAGTTCCAGTCCGTCACAACTAATATCATCCGAGCCCGTTGCGAATAGACTGGCCGCCCAAGCCTGCTCGTACACCGCAATGCGTCACCTTCCTAAATTTATGAACGTTGCTCAGGATGTTCGTCAGTATTGGTTCTACAAGGTTCACTGCCTTTCGCCGATGTCACAGGCATGCTAAGATAGTCTGGGACGAAACATCGGCTGATAGACCTGCCACATGCAATGTTACAACCAAATATATCTTATCGAGAAACGGCAGCAGCGTGTGTATACATCAGAGAACCTTTGTAGTCGAAGGCTGCAACGCCTTGTAGACCAAGAGATATTGAGCACCAGTCATTCTCGTTATAACGACTCGGTACAACGACGATAGAATTACAGCGGAAACATGCATAGCGAATACGCCAATGAACATCGTACACAGAATCGACCCTCAAACCTCAAAACATTTCAGCTCTTGGACCGACTGAATCCTCCATTCTGCTAGCGAATTCCGAACTGAAACCGAAACCGAATGATCCCTCTGACCCTCGCCGCGATCCAGACACGAAATCCGTCTCCGCCCAACTTGACTCAGAAATCGCAGCAGAAGAACGGATGTCGTCGTTGGACACAATTGACATGTCATCGGCCATGCTGTGATCCGAGTCGCTCTCCAGCGCTGACCAAGCGTTGTGGAACTCGAGGTCAGACAACGCGGTCGGCATCCCGATGTTCATCGACGGAGTCGGTGATGACATAGGGAACGAAGCGGAAAAGTCGAGCGTGGGTAACACCAATGAGGCTGAAGGGTCGACATGTACGGCTTGCGGGCAACGCAGGTTGTCCGAGCTGCTCGACCAGCTAGCGTTTCCTTCAGAGCCCATGGTTTCCACAATCTCGTCCATGCGTTCCCGTTCAGCCTGTTCTTGATCCTTCCATACCTCCTCCAGAACGCACCATCCCTGTCCGGCCTCGCCAATCACACTTCTGACTCTAGCTTCATCCCATCCTTGGAAGCGTATCTCGAGTAGAGTGCACAGTCCACCTGGACCTCCGTACGCTTCGCAGTGCACACCTGGGTGTTCGAAGACTCGCGAGGCATCGAGTCGAGTGAATAGTGAATTGACCCTCAACGACTGCGTGTTATGAGCCGTAAGCACGCTTGCGACGATCTCGAAGGGAAGAAGCGGATGCGTAGAAGCCGAGATGGGAGGAGCGACAGCAAGAGGAAGGCGCGATCCTTGTTCCGGCGAAAGAGGGATGAGGAGGTAGGTGGTCACCTCGGGGATCGCAGCAGCAGGGAAGTAGTGGTCCAGCTCCGCGTTATGTTCTTCCAACGTTGGCACGACGAACTTCTTCTCTACCGGCTTCTGCATCTGACCTTTTCCCTTCTTGCTGGCCGTGGTCATTCGCGCCTTCTGCAGGCGCATGTTCTCCTTCTCCTTAGCCATCTTGACATCCCAATCGGCCTCTAGGAAGGCCCTCCCAGCAATAGGAACATTCTCGACGAGATTCTGGAAGATCGGACGAGCAGTAGAGAAATTGCGGGCAAGGCCAAGCCCGACCTGGCCAACGCCTCGAGGAACTGCTACAGGGCGCGGGAGGCACGGTGCTTGGAGAGGTCGTCCAAGGGCAATCCTAGCAGGGTATGACAACCCTTGCTGGATCGTACGACCTTGCACAGGACCTTGGAAGATGGAGCGAGCAGTGCTGGGAACATTTCGGGGCGCGCGGAGAACACTGGGAGCAGCGAGATTAGCGACAAAGCGCGAGAAGAGGTGGCGAGTCTGCTTGAACAGCGTCTGGGCCGTCGATGTGGTTTGTCCGGCATTGGCACGCGGGACGAAAGATGGAATGTGGATTGATCGAGACGAGTGATTGTGCACACCGCCGTGCAGAAGGCCGCCTCCTGCGGGCTTCAGGGCGCGAGCCCCGGAAGATGCAAGGGGCATCTTCAACGCAATGAGTTAGAAGATGGAGGTTGTGGAAGAATAGGGGCAGTCTGCTGAACTGATCTATATATTGGCGCCGGTGACGGCAGCTGCCGCGTGCATTCGTAAGCGCCTGCCGGACACTGGCGATTGCAGATTCCAGGGAAAGACTTACACGGCCGTCGGTGATCTTGCGAAGAAAAAAGAATCTACAGTATCGACAACTTCCAGGTTTCAGCCTTCAGGGTATAGAATTTATAGATGAACTCGCTCATGTCGCAAGAATCAACCGTTTCGGTGTGCCTTTATTTCCGTCTTGTACCCTTGAAGCTCAATACACGACATGTCATTGGCTCTCACTGATATGAATACCCAGAACTCATGATCGTCTTCGCGACCGTCAGGAAGTGACCAGGGTCTGTTTCTCGTTTCTGCCATCCAACCATTCACGAGACCTTCCTCATTTGGTTTCCACGATGGCGCCATCCTACGATCCACTCCGTAATCCTGAGAGCGCATTGGATGGACATGGCCGCCTTATCAGCCTCTTTGCGCGCCAGCGAGTATGGAGTCGTGGCATGTTCACGCAATTTCGCACACGAATGAGCTATGCTAGATTAGCAGCATCTTCCCCACAGTTTCGCTGCAGGTGTTTCTTTTGTGACCGAGCTTCACAACCTGGTCTTTGGGACTAGTACTCATCCTGTAAGGTCCCTCGCATTGTCAACATGGAGTCGGATTTCAGTACCCCAAGTCTCGAAGAGCAACCGCTGTTGTCCGCCGCCTCTCCCGATGGAATATCCCTTGAATCGGACGATTTCGTCGAAGATTCCATCCATGAACGTACGTGTCAGTCAGTGCCCGGACCATTGAACCGGTGCTCTTGAAATACCGTTGACTGACAACCTTCTTCCTGCAGATACTTCGTCTCAGAAGCGACACTTAGGTATGCCAGCCTTTTCATTGGCGAGATATAAAGAGCGACACGTGTACTAGGTCTCACCAGTACCGCATTTCTCATATTCAACCGCGTCATCGGTACCAGGTATGATGGGATCAAATCCAGATATTCTATTGACTGATTGTCGAATGTTCCGTGAAGCATCTTTGCAACACCTAGCGTCATTCTGCGCGCTTCAGGCAGCGTTGGGCTCTCTTTCATATTGTGGCTGCTCGGAGCCACAGTCGCGGCTTGCGGAACTGCAGTCTTCGTTGAGCTTGGAACCGTGTGTGATTCGCGCTGCATTCTATACGTTGCTTCATCTAACTAAGCGGCGTACAGGGTCTTCCTAAAAGTGGAGGGGAGAAGAACTACCTAGAATTTATGTATCGCAGGCCACGATTTCTTGCCACTTGTGTTTACGCCGCATATGCAGTCCTTATCGTAGGTCGCTTGATCAAGTTACGCACATTTGTGCTAACTGATCGGTTTCAGGGCTGGGAGGTGGCTAATTCTAGTGTATTTGGAGAATGTATGCATCTTAGATATGAATTTTCTACTCGGGTGTTCCATCATTCTGCTTATCATTCAATTTTCAGATGCTCTGCACGCTATTTATCCTACACAAACGCCTTCATCTGTCGCTACCCGTCTTGTGGGCGTCTCATGCGTAACATTTGCACTCTTGTTGCATGGAATCCGCCCACACTGGGGCATCCATCTGCAAAATACGCTCGGCGTGCTAAAAATCTTTGCTCTGAGCGCGATCGCCCTGAGCGGTCTGGCTGCTGCAGCTCGTATTTCCGGATTCGAGGTTGACAATGTGAGGTCTAACGGCATTCGTGATTATGCGCGAGCCTGTAATTGACAGCAGCACGACAGCCTATGCAGAACTTTGAATGGCACAGGATGTGGGAGGGGAGCGCGAGAGGCGGCATGAGCGCGTTCGTAACAGGACTGTTCACAGTTGTTTGGTGCGTTCGGACTTGAAACGCTCCTCAATATCACGCTTACGAGCGCTAGGTCATTCGTCGGCTACTCTAATGCAAACTACGCGCTGTCAGAGGTACGTGACCCTGTGCGAACGATCAGCAGGACCGCTCCACTTGCAATGTTCTGCGTCACTGTTGCCTATGTGCTCGCGAACTTTGCGTATTTCGCGGTGGTCACAAAGGAGGAAGTGTTAGGCAGCGGTCGGATTATTGCCGCCACTTTCTTCGGCAAGCTCTGGGGCGTTGGCGCCGAACAGGTGAGCGTCACCGCAAACAGTTTATTGCGCCCTCTTCATTGTATAACGCGCATTCTTAGTTCGTGAGCATGATAGTCGCAATGTCAACGATGGCGAATGTTTTAACTGTGCTCTTCACTCAAGGACGAGGTACGCATTGACAGAAATGGGAGGCATATGCGAGATCCTGAACACGGTCTCTATAGTGATTCAAGAGCTCGGAAGGGAAGGCATTCTGCCACTGTCCTCGCTTTTCGCCAGCAACAAGCCCTTCGGTGCTCCCCTGTCAGGACTAGCCTCGCAATGGCTTCTGACCTGCATTCTCCTCCTGACCGTTCCACCTGGAGACACGTACCTTCTGATGATAAACAGTGCGTAGGGTCCGTCTCCGGTCCGCATCAAACCAGCTGACCTCATGCATGAATTGTAGTGATCACGTACCCGCTCTCTCTCATCAATGTATTCGTCTCCGCCGGTCTTCTCTTGCTGCATGCCCCTCCCGCGATCCGTCCAAGGCTCCACTGGCACCAAGATGACGCGGATCCTGTTTGGAGCCCCCCGTTCCGCGCCTGGACGCCAATAGTGGGGTTCTTCTTTCTGTCCAATGTCTTCCTCGTATTCGCACCGCTGGTTCCTCCGGCGCCTGGATTCAATACTTACGAGAAGTTGCCGTATTGGGTGCGTGCACTCTGACTTTCAACTCTTCCGCCGACGATTCTCAATCGATATGCGCGATAAACAGACGCATGTCGTTGCTTCGTCGTCGATCTCTCTTTTCGGAGTCGTTTATTGGTATATGTACTGCATATGGCTCCCGCGCCGTGGTGGATACAAGCTCGTCAGGGAGTGGGTGCGAGAGAACGGTGTTCCCAGAAAAGTCATCAAGAAAGTCAAGATGATTGAGCTATAGAAAGATCGGGGATGTATTGGGAATGAAGATGAGCTTGGATAACAATTTCACGCTGAAGCAAAATTCACCGCAGATCACGCTCTTGACACGAGCGGGCATAGTTGGTATCCTTCTCGTCTCACGATCGACCGATATCCAATGTAAACGTTGTATTCATTCCGACGACACCAACGTCCCGACCTTCGTACGTACAAGATGCTTTGCGAAACGCAGATGAGACCAGCTAAGATGCAAACGCATGTATCTCTACAATCCAAGAAAGGGCCACGGACGTGAGAAGTGTATAAATAATTGGCACACAACGGATAATGAAGTGGTGAGATCGACTCGACAAAATGTGATACAAAATCGAAACGGGGCAACCCACAAGACTGGTGGACTATCCGCGCAAGAGAATGAAGAGGGAAAAATAACCTTGAGCAAGGACGTAGTAACACTGCGAGTATATGTAGCCTATGGTGCATAGCATGTCACAAAAGCAAGCACAGATGCATCTGCACAGCTGTTGGACATATGCGAAGCAAATGCAGGAGTTGCATGGATCGTTCCTACATTGATGTGTGGAGAGAGATGTGAGGAAAGAGAGACGGCGATATCCAACTAGAGCCTGCGAAAGCGAGCGATATAGCATATGGCGAGGAAGACTGGTCGACATGCGAAGTAGACCGGGGTAGAGTATGACAGCGAGGAAAGAGTGAATGCACGATTGAGTGGGGATTCGAAATAATGTATAGGAACGGCGATTACAACGAGAGTATGACTTTTGGGACATCCTGGATTGCGACAGGGATGGAGCGCAAATTGTTCGTGTATTCGGATAGTGAATTCGGAATTTGACTCCATTGTTACTCGCCAGCGACACCAGCACAGCATAGACACAACACAAACAAGCGACGGAGCGGAGATAACTGGATAGAGCGTTAGACATAAAAACACGTATACGTGGCGGCGATACGGCGGAATTAAGATTTGGGAGAGCGGACGAAAGGGATCTTGGATGTCAGAGGAACCTATTTGATGCCACGTGCATATATAGGCCGAGCGCATATATGGCAGAGGGAAGAATCCTTGACGGAAGCTTCCCTCTTCCCCCTCTCTGGATGCTTCGACTTGGTGGTCCGGCCAGTACTCGCATACGAAGGCCTCGAGGGCGCATACATTCAGCCGGGACCGTATACATTCAAGGACGACAGGCTCATTCCGATGCAGCATTCTGCACGGAAGGGCTCTGTTTGTGCCTGCTGACTTTCTCGACACCTGCGCCGAGTGCAAGACGTCCACCATTCTACCAAATATGCAATTGAGTCAGCATGCAAGAATTCAGAATGTAGCTGATACATACCTCGAGCTCCTCTTCCTCTTCGTCGTCATCGTCGTCGTCCTTGTGGTTCTCCTTTTCATCCTCATCGACATCGGCGTCGTCAAGATACTCGCTAGTGCTCGTGCTAGAGAAGGACGTGATGCTCAACTCAGATCGGACGCTCTCTCTGCGCTCTCTGCCTTCAGCAACACCCTCCGTCTGCTTTGACGCCATGGCGGGCGCTTCGCTCACGTGGGCGTGTTCGGGCGTCTGCCCTTGAGGTGGCGGCACATTGCGCGCCGTGTCAGCGCTGTCCTTGCGTTCGACCTCCGCCCTGATGATACTCGGTAGCCTCTCGATCGTGCTGCGTGAAAGGGAGTGGGAGTGGTGATGGGCGTAATGATCCGGAGGCAAGGTCACAGCGGTCAAGACGTAATTCTTCGGCGACGATGTCCCGGGCAACGACGCCGCCATCGACGCCGGCGAGGAAGACAGAATATCCGCTGGCGCATCGGAGGGCGCGATGTGGTGTGGAGAATCAGGATCGGACACACTTGAGTGAGGTTCAGCCACCGACGGCGACTCAGTCCCGACCAAGCTATCCACCGGTGAGCCAGAACTGCTTTCGGTGTTCTCTTCCGTCTGCTGCTGCTGTTCACGTTCTTTTCTCTCCTGTTCCCTCAGTTCTCTCTCTCGCTGCTCTCTTCTTCGCTTCACCCACGCCATGCCGCTGCCGTCATCGTCATCGTCTCTGGCTGAATTCGCCGTGCTTGGACGCCCTCGCGGCTTTGAATCACTCTCGTGTGCACCGATGCTCACGCCACTGCCTGCCTGCAATCTTGACCAGATACCCGCCCCTCCCGACGCTCGCACGCTCCCCATGCCTCCATAGCCCCACTCCACGAATTCAGGCTCTTCGGTGCTGTAAAGAGGAATTCATTAGCTCGGATCGCATATGACGGAAGAGGACACGGAAATAGTAGAACGAGATGACTTCTCCAATGATAAGGTGAGTATATAGAGTGCAAAATTGTAACGGGGGAGCGTTCAAAATGAATGTGAGATAATACCTACCGAACATTTGCGAAGGCATTTTTGCCATTCATCCGCTTCGCGCCGTACACTCTTCCATTGAGCATTCGGGTTCCGCTTCCGCTCCGAATGCGCTGTCTCTCGCGCTCGTGATTCTTGCGTGACTCTGGACTTGCTTCTCGCGAATCGCTGATAATCATGCGACGGCCGCGTTTGTCGAGCTGAATGCCCATAGAATCACCGCCTTCACTTGTCCAGCGATACAGCGGCGTGCCGAATTCATGAACGCAATCCGGATCGAAGACCTTATCGCGCCTCTTTTTCTTCGACTTCTCCTTGCCCTTCTCGTTCCTCGAACTCGAACCAGCGCCCAGCGCCATACATCCCTCAACATCCGGACTTCTCGGAGAACTGTAAATGCTGTTCAAGCTCGTGAGGCTTGTAGTTGAAGCTGAGCTGTGCAACTCGTCGGTCGAGCGGTTTGAACTTTTAGACAGGGGGCTCAACCACGGCTTCAACAGCTTTTTGGACCATTTATTGCCATTGCTGTTTGAGCGCCGAGGTGGCTCGTCCGGAAGATTGATGCTAGAAGCGCGTGATGAAGGCAGGACATTCCAATCACCTCCCTCCAGATCTGAGGGAGTAGCACCGTGTGGGCTTGAGGCTCCAGCAACGGCGGGGTACGGAATGATGGTGGCTGTGCTGGCGAGAGTGTGGGTTGATTCGGATGCTGAATGGTGCACTCCAGGATCGTTGTTGAATAGCAACGAGCCAGATGGTGCAGACCTGATTTTGGTATCTTGATCCTTCAGGCTGAGGTGGGATTGGCCGCTAGATGAGGCATTAAGATTTTGGCTTCCCTTGGGATCGCACCAGTCGTCAAGGAAAACTGGTGACAGAGACGGATCGTCCCTACTAGTGATAAACAGGTCGCGTCGCGGGTCAGGCAGTGGCGCAAACCGAATGCGACGCGAAGTGGGCATAGAGCCCGCGCGAGGCTTCAGATCGTGACCACCTGGTGGTGGTCGCGAGGCTCGCTTAGGCGATCCCGGGTTGCTCGAGAGGTAGTGCTCTGAGTCTGACGTGTTCAGATTAGACGCAGACGATGTGGTAGAAGATAGAGAAGAGTTAGACGGCACGAGGTGTGGAAGAGCTATCGAATGTCGGTAGGGTGATACAGAGGGTGATCGGTTGAGCAGAATGCCCTGACGGGGCACATACGAGGACGGATTGAGTACTGCGGCCATGGCGATGACTGTGGGGCACGGTCGAGCGGGAATGGGTTAAGTACTGTCAGATGGATGAGGCGGAGTGGAGGGAGGGGCGAGGAGGGGGAGGACCAGGAGGTAGCAGGAGGTAGAAATGGCGTTGGCGGAGAAGAGAGGAGAGAGGTCGCGTATACTCGCTCCAAACACAGAATGCCGCTGAGCAGCTGGCTCGTTCCTGCCTTACCAGGAATTACTCGCATCAACATGTCACCTCCGCAAGCCTGGAGCAGCACCGTTTCCGGGGTCCTTGTCTTGGATGGCACGTGTTTAACCCTCAGGCTGCACCTGACCTCCTTCCTCTTCGTCGAGGCTGGCTGCTGCACTGGCATTTTCAGCTCAATTGCAGAGCTCCCACTACCAGCTTTGGACGATGTATTGAACCGACCATCCTCGGACCTCCCCATCTTCGGGCCCATCTATCACCATCTCAACACTCTACAAATTACGATGTTCCGCCTGGTTCTGCCAACGGTTGCCTTTTACATCACATACAGACCAGATTCGCTGGCCTCATCTCTGCTGCGCCGCATGACGCGCGTTCACACCCTCGATCGTGCGCGCCCTAAGTAATGCCCGGACAATCGAGTCCGCGGAAAGCGCGCGGCCGGTGCTTGTCCTTCATCGGTCTCATTGCCTCCAGCTTTAATGCTCAGGTGAGTGAATTCAGCTGGGCGAAAGGCACAATGCACAAGGACCGGAGCTATGGTGGTCCCTTTTCGTAAGACCTTGAGCGGCCTTCAAGGCTGTGCTCGTGTGCACAACCTGCAAACTTCTCCAGGAAGCCATCATATCGGGGGCATCAAATGCTGGAACAAATGGCATCCTCTTCCCACCATTTTTCGAGGTGCACAAATCTGGACTCGGTCGGCACCGTGTAGCCAGGAGAACGCGCAAGCTGTTCCCAGGCGTCATCCCGCGACGCACAGGCTGGCTTTGGGACTCGCCGCAGTTCACCCGCACGTGTGCAACCCTGGCGTTGCCTTCCCTCTGCAGCACCCTTCTCAACGTGACCTCCAAGACGAAACTATTTCGTCTCGCCCTAACCCTCCACGTACGCCTGCCGCCTTGGCTCAAGGATCTAGTCGCATCCGCGCGCTCGCCATACCGGCCGAATTCGGGTCCTCCCGCCATCTTCACTCTGTGCTGAGCTCCCTGACGAGAACTATGCCCTGATTATTGGTCCGCGCGGCGGGCATCACGGGCAGTCCTTGTAGGCGCTTGGCACCGTCGCCGGTGCCCCGCGGCGGGCGCGGGCGCATCCGCAAATCGCCGTGATCCCCACGGGGCAGTTGTCGGGGTCCTCTTGCGCGTCCAGACCCTGCGGCAGTCAGTCTGGGCGCACTGCACATATGTGGCAGCCCCTCCTGTAGTGAAGGCAGATCAAAACGGAGATGCAGAACCGTTGTATGTCCTGTGCGTTGCTCGGCGGCGGACGGTCTAGGTGCAACCTTGCACGACAAAGACGATGGCCTGCGGAATGTTCCGAGTTTGCACGGGGACGCGAAAATTCCACGGTGGTGCGCGCCGCCCCTGGCAAGTTCTCGACGCTCCGATATCCGTGGGGTTTGCAAAATCGATGATCCTTTGTTTACGATGGGCTGTGCGCGGACGCGATCCTGTCTCATCTTGGAAGGGTCTGGCGGCGATATATCACCCTTCATTGGTCTATGGGCAAGCTTCTGAAGTCAAGCTTATCGCAGAAACTCCTCCACGTGCAAGAACGCCCTCGGACCGATGCACGTTCGCGGCGCTGTGAATATCGCTTCTTACACATTGCCCACCCCATTTCCATCTCTCACTGGAGGGGGTTTTCTCTGTCCAGACTTGCCCTTTATCCTCGCCGTGGCCATAGTGATCCACCAAACCAGGCTGCGGTTTCCACGGTCTGCTGGAGATTCCAATCATCGATCTTCTGCAGGACCTCAAAAGCCGGGCTTAGCGACCCTTTCCAACATTCTGCAAAGCTTCGCAGTCGTCCGATGAGCGCCGATTCACCGAACATCCTCAAAGACGATTGTCTGGACCGTGTTCCCAGCCATAGCGGGTCTGCCTATCCTTCCTGCTATGACGAATTACTACCCGTCGCTCACCATGTTTACCGGTCCTCAGCCTGTGATTGCCGTGCTCGAGAATAGTAAATCATGACGACATGCCACATCGTTCTGCGAGTGCGTTGCTGCATGCACGCATGGGCCACATTCACGGAGTACATTTTAGATTCCGACGTCTACCCGAGTGCGCCTCCCTGTGACCCTCACTCTATTATCCTGCCTTTCTACGATATACGCTGTTCCAGGCAGCGCATGCAGATCATTACGATCTCGCACAGTCCTTCATTGCACTGCGTTGCATGTGCAAGGAGCAACTCACTCGTCAAATTGTCTATCAGCTGGGCTGCCCATTTCCGCTGGGCTCTCACATTCTCATAAAAGGATCGTCGATCGCGGACAGAAGCATCGATGAACCCGGCGTATGGGAGACTCTGCAGTAATACCTTTCACTGCTACCATGGTCGGACGTTGCGTTCGCACGCGGAAGCAGTTGGAACGCGAGATATCGCGTGCAACGATGGATGTCAGACTGGCTATCGCCGTACACGCGTTTTGATGAGCATTTATGCAGGCTGCAAGCCATGTCCTTGCTCGCTGCTCTTCCATGTGAGCACGAACGTCCGATTCGCGACGTTTCGCGACGTGTCGCGCTACGTGGACCCTTAGAATCTATAGGGCCTTCTCCCGGGATCGGTACCAGTCTGTCACATTTGACCGACGGTGGCAGTCACGGAGGGCTTATCTACGTATCGTCTGCACCGATACAGCAAAAGTCGGGAGATAGATGGTTAGCGTGTGAGCACCCCCCATTATCTGTCATTCCCGGTCATTGTTCATGGCATCTAACTTGTTCGGATCATAATGTGCACAATATATCTCTGACTCAATGACGTGGCAGTCGTCGTCACGCATGACCTGGTCCGCCCGCCGGTCGCTTGGCATCCCGGAGCAGGTCCAGGGGCTGTCTCACGCGGGGACGCGTTCATTACAATTGGAAGCTTGGCCGTCTTGACTTTGCCCCTTAATCCGTCGTCACCGTAAATCCTCCTTCAGGTGTCACTTCCACGGTCTTTTTGGCCATCGTGATGCCCCCCATCAATTTGTTATCGAGCGAGGATGTGCTTCACCATTATCACCATCACCTCCGGATATGTGCTCGTAACCATTGATGACATGTTCTGTGGCCAAATTGCGCAGCTCGGCTCCCACAGGAGGCAGTAACGCACAGTTGGCTATTTTGTGGTAGGCGGCTGGAACGTCTCAGGGAGTGCGGCGGCCATCGGCGCAGCGATCAACTTTTCTCGGCAGGGCTATGTACGTTCTCGATAAATTCGTGAAAGGTTTATCCTCAGGCTCGAAGCTTGAACCCTGGATATGATGATATCCGCTTCTCAGCAATCACACTTCTGTTCGCGAGTTCTAAGGAGATGTCATTGAAAGGAAGGATATCGGCCGCGACTCGTTGGTCTCTGCCTCAATCGATCTTCAGGACACATTGCTGTTGTTTCTCACTGCACTGGCATTCTCTGCTGCGCGTGCACCACTTGTAATGGCTTAATGTCTCGTGCAGCCACTGTGGCACCCTTCACCTTTCACGCACAAGCGATCCTGATGGCCGAGATCCTTCTCGCGTGAGTAGATAATCCTGTTCATGCAAGCGCATGGCTGCCACGACTTCGATGTCGTGTTCCTTCGCGCCTATGAGTTATTATGGTCGACCATGAGCGACTGCAAAGCAAGTCAACTGCCCGATCTTGTGGAGGCGACATTGTTATTCAACGGTGATGCACAATGCTTCCGACGCCTTTAAATGTTCCTTAATCTACAGTTCTAAAACGGAACTAAAGGTCCCTCGACGCTGCATATTAATAGCGTATGCTATAGAAGTCGACACGAGGGCATGTCAGCGGTAGAGTAGTAGGTATACTCGGAGCTTCGACAGCGCAGTTTCATTTACCAAAGGACTGTCAGTATTTTCGTCCCCACTCCGGCTGCGTATATTCGAACAACGCTTCGCTGCGCAGTTACTGTTCGGGTGGATACTCCAGTTCGGATGAGATATTCTTGGCCACATCTGAATAGTTGATGAATCTTGTATTGGCTTTCATTTCGGACCTGGCGCTTCTATGTGGTCGCAAGACATGCCCTGCTATCAAATAAGTTCTATGGCGTCTCCTTCGCGGCCTCGTGAGCTGTGCGTCAATATGGCCGTTCGCTTGCTGTTCCGAGGCACCCCAATGCTGATGATCGTTCCAGCAGATATGGCGCGTGAGCCTCGCTCTACCTCTGTGCCTCCAAAGTGGGTCGGTGCATCATATGCGTACGTTGAAAACGAGTTCTATGACAGTTCAATGACGTCCCCATGCCTTTTGCACGGGTCAATAATGATCTCTTGGGCAACGCGTTTGGACGCAGGCGACTAGAGGCCACCTTCACGAAGCGAAAGCATGTCTCCTCGAGGCACCAATTACAGATACGGAGGGATTCTCGCTAAATGGGGTGCTTCACGGGATGGCTTCTCTGGCGCATTGCAGAAACGCCGAGACGACCGGCAGCGGGCCATTATATTGAACGCAGGTGTTCTCTTGATCTTATCTCTCCGCGTGGGTAATCTTGACCGTCACGTCCGCGAGATTATCGTCTTCTGTTGAGCCTCTCAAGAGCTCAGATGGCTTCTAGGGCCCCCGGACATCTCTATACTGGCTTCTAGAACAATATCGCGCAATGAGGGTCTCGTATCCTCCATTCAATAAGTCCTCGAGGCCCCAAGGCCCGAAAGGCTGTGCTCCCGGTTGCCAAGCATGGCTGAGAGCGATGTGGGTTCCTCTCACTTGCACCGTCAATGTGTGCATCCTCCGTAAGTCTGCCTGCGATAGTAAACGCCTATTGGATCCCCTTTTCGACCAGATACATTGGTACGACTGTCACCTCCAGCACATTGATGGGATCAGTGAAGATGACGGCTATCCCATAGATGCGATGGCGATATTAATTTCGGTTCTATCTGTACCTTTGGCTAATCTATCAGCAGCAAACACTTATTTTGACTAGGACGAGTCTCACTAGAAAATTCTTCGAAGCATCACATGGGTTTACGAGAAGGAAAATGACAGCAGGTGGAGAGAACACGAGCCTTCAATATCAATCCGCAGCGAGTCTAGATCAGCTGATAGGCGAGGTAGAAGCCATTCTTGACGAGGTCGCCTTTTCACATACTTGCCACGTCATTCCTCGTTCTATTCGTCTTGATCTTCAAATTGCAGTGCTTTGTCCTTTAGTGGTATTCCCAGTAGCGGCGTTGCTTTTTGAACGAGACCGACTGCTAAACTGTAGCGAGACGCATGATGGTTAGAGCATAATCTGCGTATGCATTACCCGTGCCAGCACAATTTTATGTAAACATACACGTTCACAGACCGTGCAAGAGCCTGGCTTGATCAGCCTGCACACTTCGCTGAGGCCGGTCTCCAATAATCTATACCTGTGAAGCAGCCGCTTCACCCCCAAGGCTGTTCGAGCACTTTGACGGTGCCGTCCTTTGCTCGGCCGTTCGATAGCTCCGAAGATGAGTCAACTATTCAGGACATCGGCGGAGATGCACTTTCCATCTTACACGTGAAGCAGGATCCGGTTAATTTGGGGGTGCGACAACTAGATCGCGCAAGCGAGTGCCATCTCTGCGCACTTTCTAGCATGATGGGTTACAGAGACAAAGCTTATACATTAGGATACGTAGTATTGCAAACATGAATAGTTTAAAGGTTCCTCCATGACAGTAGAAAGCCTAAGAGGTCAAGCAACGGTGATAGCCACAACGCCACAAAGTGATCGACTCGGATCGCCCGGGTGTACAATAATCCTGTCTCAAATATAGTGACAGGCATGATAACAAGTGAATCAGCATTACAACGAACGGGACCGCTGCAAATCAACTGCTCCACTTATCGCGCTCACTGAGCCATTGAAACACACTCGTAAATCGGTACAGCTTAAGTCTGTGTCGCAGGTGCTGTAGTACCATCGCGATGGTCACATTGCTGACTCGAGATCTACATTTACTTGTAGTAACACAGAGTTGAATTCCGATCTTCAAAGTTCACAAACCCAGGTGAGCATGACGTTCCTTCTCGTACACGAGTTTCTCTTCCGCAAAAGGCGTTGACGAACTTCGCACTTCCTCCAGTAATTACATTTAGAGAAGAATGCAACCTCCAATAACCCGAGCAGTAGCAGTATACTGCGCTTCGTCCTGTGGACGCCAGCAAGCTTTCATACAAGCAGCACGGTGTATGCATAAAGCTGGCCGGCTAAAATGAACGATGACGCTGAAACTCGCCTCTCGCACTACCAGCTCTAGGGACAGCTCTGGCCAAAGCAAAAAGACCGCTTGTCTATGGTGGCGGATCGCTAGGCATTATGGGCGCCGTGTCTGGAGCGGCATCGGAGGCTGGAGGTGATGTCACCGGCATCGTTCCGTATGCAATGGTCGCTGCCGGGGGCGAGGTAGATCAAGTCGCGAATCGACGAGGACCTGCAGTATTGCTGAACGAGAAAGGCCGAGAAAGGGTATTTAGAAGATTGTTATGATCTCCGACATGATACGCGACTGACATTTCAATTTTCAGGTAGAGACTGTGAGTGTGCTTGTTCAGCAACGCCAATTCAACCGGAACTCAACATTCGGATGTCGAACAGATTGTGGTTAATTCTATGCACGAGCGCAAGACAGAAATGGCCAGAAAATCATGTGGTTTCATCGCTCTTCCTGGTGGATACGGTACATTTGAGGAGGTTAGCAAGAGGGCTGGATGCTATTGCGTGACGTCGCTGATGTTTGAACAGGTTCTCGAGGCGATTTGTTGGACGCAACTTGGGATCCACGAGAAGCGTACGCCGAATATCAAATATCATCTCTCTGGAGCACGATTCTGACAAATATGCAGCCATCATCGTTATGAACGTCCTGGGTTTTTTCAATCCGCTCCGCGAACTCATTCGTAACGGCGTATGTGAAGGTTTCATCGCGCCTCAAAATGAGGCTCTCGTACAGTTCGTCGACGGCCCGTCGGATCACAGCGCTCACGATAGTTTCGACTGGGGAAAGGCTGCTGTAGACGCTCTGGATTCATGGAGGCCCGCTCCTCAGACTCATTTCTACGACTGGACAAAGAAGAAGGGCTCAGATGGAGAACGGACTGATGTTGACGCGCTCGAGGCCGCTTGAGTGCAGACAATGGTTGGCTATCCTGCACTGCCTGACACTCGAATTACTAATTCGCATATGGGAAGCAATACACGGACACCATCTAGTAGTGTGTCTGATCGATGTTCTAGAAGCAAATGTTCGGCAACGTCTTACTCTGTGGTATCTAATTATGCTGCGATGAAAAATCAATGAGCCAATAGTCAAATTGCAATACCATATCAGTAGAAATGACATACATTATATGGTTATGCGCAGCCGCGCCGATACTTAAGACGACAGCAAGATGAGCATAAGCAAAGCAAGAAGACAATACGATCCGGATCCAGAAAGTCCGCCGATGATAGATGTCCAAATGAAAGCAAGAGTCCGTCTCCCAACGTCCCGGGATTACTGCCAACCCTCCTCTCCTACCTTCCTACCTCTAAAGTTGCACTCCACAAGCAATGGTACGATACCGTTGTCCTCCGGGTCCCGATAGAAATCAAGCAACGCCCAGCCTCTGATCCGCACGCTAGCTCCTCCCTTCTCGCTTATGGATATCCGCTGCTCGCCGTCAGGAGCATGCGCAGCAGCCGCTTGACCGGTAAGCATATCGAGCAGCCACTTCCCAGCGCGCCCATTGACACCTTCAACGCCCAAGCCCAATTTGGGCCAACCAAAGCCGCGTGCCACCGTCGGCGGAAATGCGAGAGGAAAACTGGAGGCTGAGAAATAACTGATAGCAAGCGTGGGAAATGTGGTCTGGTCCTTAGGAGGAAGGAGAATCTCAGCGGCGAGGACTGTCTTTTCAGGTATAGAAAGGAATGAGGGTATGTTGTACCTAAAATATCGATTAGCACTGAGTGCATGCCTGTTGTTAGCATAAAGCGTACCAGTCATGCGTCCGAATCAACGTGTTCTTACATTGCCAAGTGAAACCGGGTTTCGCGCTGTCAGGCCAAGTAGTAGGGTGTATACCTAAACCTTCTAGACCTCCCTCCCATCCCGCACCATCACCTCCGAACCGAGAGAACATGACCACCTTGCCGCGGACTTCTCCAAGATCAGGTATCCTGTTCTCGAGGAACCACATGCCTCGCCCGCCAGGCCCGTTCATGATCTCGTCGTGCACCAGCCTCGAGAACAGTGCCTGCGACGACGTCACGAAGTCCTCCTGCTTGATCGACATGACGATGGTTTCGCGACATGTAGCTGGTGCGGTAAGGAAGGCATGTAATACCGAAATAACCTCCTGAAACGAAGCTTGTTGCGGGTACAATCCGTGATATGCAATGAGATGATTGTCGACCATTGCAAGACGGATGTCGATGACACGGATGCCGGAATGGAGCTGGTTCTCCAGAGGGGTCGCAAGTGATTGACACTGGGAGATGGGCCAACCATAGAATGCCATACTAGATTCAGTCAGCGCACAGTGCACTTGGATACGTAAATCGTAAGACTCACGTATCGTGTGTCCCTGGAATTGTCATAGTGCAGAGTTTAGGATCATCAAAAGCTACATATGATTCAAATATGCATACCAGGCAGCATGAGTGAAGACAGAGGCAGGGAGTCCGGCATTCCCGAGAGGAAAGATGACAGGTCTCGACGGCGCAAAATCAACAGCATATGGTGCTTCCGGGAGACCTACTTGGAAGCACGAATGAACACATTCAGCATATAGTTCAATATATATGACTTGCGAGGCCGTACTTTGCTCCTGTACAGTCTCCATGGGCAGTCCTCAGGAACGGACACCACTTTCCACGAAGTTCCCACCGTCATAGGTAAGCGGATGGTAAAGCTCCTCGCAGCGATGGTCCACTCCTTATCCGCCCCGTTTTTGTTGAGCACAGACGAGAGCTTGATGTCACGGGAAGACCTCGAGAGCTTGGTTGTCGATGAAAGAGAAGGCAAAAGGACTCGGAGATCACGCTGTGTTTCTGAGCCGTTCTCGAGGGTCAGGATCTCGCCCGTATGATTCACAACAGTGAGCTGTTTCATCACGGAGACCCTTCAATGCCGCGGCTGGAAATTGGAAGCGATTCTAGATATAACAGTCCGAGAAGAGCGATGGCCCAAGCGACGACGACTGCAGGGGATGTAGCAGATGGCATTAGGCTTCATGTCAGCCCGTCACCGCGTTACCATCGCAGTCACGATGTGACAGACGCTCTACATGACGCGGCGCGTTCTCTCGCACCGATCTACATCATACCGAACGTAGCCATTAATAGCCCGTCTACGCTATGAGTCAGGAGGATCAGGACAAGGTAAGGGCTAGCATTTTAGCGCATATCCATTCTGGCTATATGACATTCTCGGAGACTTTGATAGCATCTGTCCATGACTTACGGTATTTTGTGGCACTCTTGCGAGGTATCAGCTTCAACAATGTGGGTGAGGCTCGGCCGCATACATCCAGTTTGAATGCTCAATTATACTCAGCGCGCTACAGTTCGAGCCAGTGCTGCAGGACTTGCCATCTTCGTTGAGGAAGCGCGCAGCCTGCTCGGTAGGTAATCATGCACTTCGCCTTCTGCTGCCTTCGATGGTGACGAATGCCACAGCCGTGGCATATATCTTCAGTGGCATCTTCGATGAATATATCTTCAACCCAGAGCCTCCATCCGGTTCGGCACCGGAGTCCTCACAAGAAGAAGATTCCTGCGCCGTCTTCGAGATTCCTTTGAACACCCTGACAGAATGCCTGAACGTCTTCGGTACGGCAACTGCTTCAAATAGTGCTTCAAACGCCTCTAGGTTCAGAAAGTGGGGAGATAACGGTGAAGATGACGAGGAGGAACATCTTAACCAAGGTGGCTCCGGTCGCAATAACCCAGACCCTGCTAGAGGCTCCGGCAATGGTCGCATCGACCAGTATTTCGGATCCGACAAGGGCACCGGAATGCGCCTTACCTACGCCGGCCCTGGACACCCGGTGACACTTTTGGTGTATGTGACCCAACGGGCTACTTGAGCATAATCCTCACAGTTTGCATCAGAGCAGAAGATGCCAATGGTCCTACCGCAACCTGCGAGGTTACTACATTCGACCCTGAGCCGATACTGGAACTCGACTTCAACGAGACACCATGGTGGGTGAGTCCCGTATAAATGATCTAGGATGTGTGGTGTTGAGACACATCTTCAGTATTATGAAAGTCATCTTGAAGGTCTGTCCAGCTGGCTCCAAATCCAACATAAGTGATTGTCAACGAGCCATCTTAGTCTTCTTGGCTACGAGATGCGCTCTCCGAGCTTGACCCCTCATGCGAAAGACTGACAATTATATGCAATCCTCCGCCGCCTCCCGGTAGAGCTGCTCTACCTTCGTCCCAAGCTAGGCTTCGATTGCAAGCGATAGGAAACTTCGGCAGCACCGAGGTATGTCCCTACGTGGTGATTTTCCGTTCAAATGTTTCCAATAACCGTATGTCTGTGTAGATGGATTACCCAAACGACAAGGAGGTCCTGGAGACCTGCGAATGTGCTGAGCAGATCAGTTTCAGGCAAACGAAGCACGAGCCATCCAAAATGTCCAGAGCTGACGCTTCTTGCTAGCTACTCCTTCCGTCACATCTCTCGCGCCCAGCGCGCTCTGCAAAGCTCAACGAAAACCTCATTGCGTATCAACGAGGAGGGACTGCTCAGCTTACAGTTGATCATGCCCAGTCCGCGATTTCGAGATGATGGAAACTCAGATGGTTTCATTGAATTCCGAGTACGTGTCACGTCTCAAGCCCATGCCATACCCGCTGATGATCTGTTGATAGTGCCTGCCATTGGATGAGAACTCATAAACCAATAGTCTCTCCTCGGTGAATCGTGTGGACTTTCTTGCTCAATGGTATCACCAATTATGTTGTGTAATTGGTCTCCAGAGTCCGGATACATATTGTATTATTAGTGGCGTGTAAGGCTCTTGCTTCTTCGGTTTGTGGGTGAAGAGGATTAGCAGCAACCCAAGAAGTCATCGAAGGAATGACAGTTCCAACCTGTATCATCTCGCCTTGAGAAGCTTCTCTAAGTCACCAGCACTAGCCTTCTCTGCTTTTGCGGGAGAGGCCTTAGCAGAAGGGGTCGACTCGGTGGCAGGGAGATAGTCTGCAATGATCGAGTCGAAGTCTGCGACAACTTTGGGAACTTCAGAATGTTTGTCAGTGAGTTTCAGGCAGCAGACATTCACTTATCTCACCTGCAGCTGCTTGCGCTTTCAATGAAGCTTGCAGCATGTTATTGACGATCAGCCTACGCACGGCAGCCCCATCCAGGACAGGGACCGCTTGCTTCTGAGGCGGTGGGGACGGCGGGGACGGCGGAGTCGCACCCTCTGTCATGTCTACCTTATATGTGCCTAGCGGACTGCTCGCCTTGCCCAAGTACGCAAGTACGTCACCCTTTGTCAGCATCCCACGGACGCCTGTGCCTTTAATCTCGTCGGCGTTCTGGATGCCAGCCTCCTCAAGAAGACGGACGACGGATGGGAACAGCGGGTGTGAACTCTCAGGGTGCATATGGTGATGGGCGAGGCCTTCGGGCGGCGACGGCTGTCCTTGCTGCTTCTCCGGAATGGATGCGGGCGGTGGTGGTGTGGGTGTTGAGGTGGGAGGGGGTGTTGGAGGGGCCTCTTGTTTTGGTGCGGCGGGTGGCTTGAGATCCGCAGGAGGTTGTAGGTTGGATATATCGTCGCCCTCTTCTGCTAATAGAGCGATGACCTGACCGACTGGGATGTTCTTGGAACCATCTGGGGCCTGATAGGTTCTCGCAGGTTACGAGAGAGTACAGGAACACATGCAGAGTTCATACCAGTATCTTGCCCATGACACCATCATCGGGGGCCTCAACATCCATTGTGGCTTTGTCCGTCTCCTGTATGGCAGTATATGCGGCTGAGAAACTGGTACGACTGCACGAAAAACATACTCACAACTTCCAGCAGCACATCACCAGCAGAAAACTTCTCTCCCTCCTTCTTCTTCCACGACGAAATCCCTCCTTCAGTCATTGTCGGGGACATCGCAGGCATGGTGAAGTTAGTGATGGCATGACGCGCCGCAGTGGTCTGCAGCCCTGCATCATGAAGTGAATCGCGGGTAAGAATGCGCAGTTTTCAATTCTTACATCTTTTACTTGTAGTTGACCGCGCTGCGACCTTGGACAACTGTCGGAGGGACTGCATGGAGGATGGGTGAGAATGAGCTCTGGAGTCTGAGTTGGACTCGGGAACCGGGGCGATACGCGTCAGAAGTGGTGTTACGTCACATCCAATCGTGTGGGCTCATTTAAGTGTGGGCTCATTCCAAGTTCTGTTCCAAGTTGATATAAACTTTTTTAAAGCCTCCTCATTGACATGCGGCATCAAGATATTACTGGAAAATCCAGAGATAAGTTGTATGCAAGACTACTTCCCGTATAAGACGCAGCAAAGGAACTGCATTTGTCAAAGTGTGTGTAGGCTTATGCCAACAACACACAAATGGAAGGAAGACAATCACACCCTGGTATCGTTACCAACCGCCATCCAGAAAAGACATCGTTCAATATATCTCGTTTCCTGCTGCTCCATATGTGACTCCGTAGAGGTCGTATTTCCCTCTTGATTTACCAGTCGTGCGAGGCTCGCCGCATTCAGCCACTCCGGAGACGATGCGAGTGGCTTGTAGGTATTCGGATTGTAAGCACGCGCGAAACTTGTCCAATATCCGATCGTTTCCGTCGAAAGCACCTGTTCTGAAGCATTAAAGGGAGCGAACCTCGCAACAGGGTCACTTGGACTTGGACCAGAACTACGACATGACGGTCAGCTGTGTCGTGGGAGGCTATTAGCTCGAAGACTCACTTGGTACCTGGAAGATCATTTAATATGCACGTACAATGGATCATGTGTGGTGCAAAGGCTGACCTTGGAAGAGGAAGAACAGCTCTGAAGTATGCATCACGCCCTCCCACGGATTCGCAGCGAGCTGCACCGGGTCTGGAGTATTGAATCGATAGTTGTAGACATCTGTCCTGCCTTCAGCTATCAGCAGACTTGCGATATACCAGTCCCTAGGGAGGACAATCTGAGCCAACAACTACGAGATTTAACGGCGCGACGCGACTTACATGCACGTGAACACAGTATCGCCGAACGCAGTCTTTGCTCTTTCCCACTGAGATGGGAAGTCGCTCTCGGGGTATAGTTCAATCATCCGCTCCGCCGTCGTATTCGACTGGACTTAACGTGAAAACGCATCCGCAAATCTGAGAATGTCACCTACCAGGAACGTGTATCGTTTCCTGAGGGCGGCCATGAATTCCTCGGTAGTGTTCGTGAAGTCCGCAGGATTTTCAACGAAGATAGAGCCATCATCCGTGACATGACCTCCGATGAAAGGCATTTTGTGGAACTCTCCTCGAGTTAGTAAACGAGTCGGGAGGTCAGGCAGGAAAGACCCATCAACAATAGGGAGATAGCTGCAGCCAGACGGGCGATTGTTGACTGCTGCAACCAGAGCAGAGAGGGGCGCGGCTCGCATGCAGGACATGACCTCCGAGCTGTTATTGATGACTGACGTACAACCGGCTATTGCTGTGGCATTTGCAAAACAGTACTGCGATGAAAGGGTCACTTGAGAGCGGAGAAATAGGACAGGTAGAATGACACCTCATATTGCTCGCTTGTGAGAAACGGATCCATTCCGATGCTCTCTGCGATCTATACGGTTATGTGTATGTCAATCAGCTCCTGCAACGTGGATGAGGTATGTATACGTACGGCAGCTTGGAACGGCGGCTCCCCTTGACCGCCGTACGATACCATTTGGTGTACTATGTCCGCGGAGCCCTGCCCAATATTTCAGCATCGACACGTAGTGCTGGTAATAAAGCATCCCACTGCACTTTGTCCGGCTACTGTGATCTGGGCGGGGTCACCGCCGAAGCTGTAGATGTGCCTGTCGTGGACAGTTAAGCTACTGTGGCAACAGCATCAACCGCTTCGCCAGCATACCGTCTGACCCAGTCGAGTGCAGCTCGTTGGTCCAACAGCCCCACGTTCAAATCTCCATCCTCGTGCACGACCGAGGAGGCGAGGAAACCCCACAGCCCTAGTCGGTATTGGATATTGACGGCAACAATGGATCCATTATTCTCAGTAATCCATGTGTTCATGGGGAAGCCTTGTGCGCTCTGAGAGCGATGGTCGTTAATGACCGCATCTTTGATGTCTCGGATGACTTAACACACGTTCGCATAGTTTCCGCCTCCCTGTAGATTGTCCATAGTCAGCGAGACAGTATATACGCAGGCCTAATCGAAAACCCGTTACATGGATGTAAAGCGCCACAGGGAGGTTATCCCCTGCTTGAGTAGTCGACGACTTCCAAATGTTCAATGTCAGGCAGTCTAGTGGGCAGAAGAGCTACGTGAATCCCGTTTGTTGGATGGATGGCGATTACACGTACCCTCGGAACCAAACCCTACTTCAGCGGGCTGCTGCATACAGATTGAGCCCCATGTCCTTGCGTCAGTTATGTTGTGCTCCCTGGGCGTCTCATTAAAAATTTGAGGAACGCGCCATCGGAGATCCCCCAGAGGTGGTTGTACATATCGTATGCCTCCAAAAAATTCCACGCCAGGGATAGAGTCGTTGCCCAGGAAAGAGGCATATCCTACGTCAACGATAGGTCCAGGTGGTGCATCGTTCGGCAGGAACGTCTCTGCCCGAGCTATGTCGAGCAGAAGCAAGAAGAGGAGCGTCTGCAAGAACATGGCACCACAAATCTGTTTCGGACGTCCTTGGACGGGCAAGCCATCCGTTCAGCATGAGCAGAATCAGTGTTTTGTACGCTGAACGGGGCTCCTCGGTGGGGCGTTGCTGGGTCAGCTGCTGCATCCACGTCTCAACACCGGGCCGCCTCGAAGATCAGAAGTACTGGTGGGACGGCATGCTAAGCTTCAATAAATAGACAACATCGGACACGTGTGCAAGTGCTTGCAGGTGGTGCAACGTTATAAGGGGGATTGTTGCTCGATGGCTGGTTAGCGGGTACTGCAGGTACTGCATGAGAAAAGGCATAACCGTATCGGATGATGCGGCATACCTTGAGTTTCTTGGGACCATTCTCCTGATCTCGGACGTTCGCGAGGGGTAATCACCAACTGCATGTGCCAATCTGACACGAAATATCATATTGTTTGCCATCGTAGTGTCCTAATGGTGCATTCGACCAGGCTGATACGCAATTACTTTGACAGAGATCCAAGGTCGATAGTATAATGTGGGAACTGTGATCTAGACAACGCTTCGACCAGGAGTATTGGATGATGGGATTGTCGATGGTCATTGAGACGTGCCTCTTGCGCACTGAACCGTCATTTGTGCCTACACTGTGAACGCCATGCAGACGTGCGACGCCGCCGCCACGATCGCCCGGCAATCAGCGTTCCAGCGCTGGGTGTCGAGGACACCACCGACCGTACGATGTCTGGAACAACGAGGAAAATGCCAGCTAATCGCGTCACAGTCTATGCTTGTTATCCTTGCTTCCGCAATTCAACGGCTATACTCTTCCTGCTCTAGCGGAATCCGCGCGCGAACCTCATGGCCTTCACGGCTGGCCGTCGAAATTTTGCGGGTATCACCGCGCGCGCGGGGGGTTCACATCGGGCGTCAAAGAGTTGCATAATTCATTCGACAGGCTTTAGACTTGCATCATCGCCTACACTGCATTTCGGATGAAAAGTCGCACAAGGAGTGCTGGTCCCTTACTTTGACTATTGGTTTGTGCTGGTCGGACGGGGCTCGTGAGTTCTCACAGGCGGACAATGCACAATGCTGATGCCTACATTGTCCCCAACAGGTTGTTCACGCGTCCTGTTTCATCTTCTTAGATCCACATCTATCCGCATTCAGCAAGTGCTCCAGGCGACATGTACTCTCTTCCAACGCCAGCAGTGCTGCAACGTATCCGGGAATATGGGACTAAATTCTTCCATCGGTTTGGAATGTGAGTCCTCCCCCGAGTTCGTCGAATCCAGCAGTATTGACACCATCGTATCCCTTGCCCACAGACACTGTGCGACCCATCAAGTCCGACTGATCCTCGTTTCCTCAATCGTCATCACCTCGCTCTTGTTCCCTGCTATCGCAGTGTACTCGTCACCTGAGACCCGCTTCTTTGCTGGCTTCACACTCAGCTCACTCGACCCTTTCGTGCCTTCTGATGACATCTCTAGTTACTTCGCGCAGCATGACCTCCATCAACTCTGGGAAGGACATAGTACTCTGCGTGTACGCGAGGATTCTGTTGCGCGAGCACAGTGCGGCGTGCAAGGAATCTTACGCTCGGAGAGGATACTCATCGGCAGGGTGTCCCAAGACTATGGTCTGGAAGCGTTGGATCAGCACACGTTGCTTTCGGCCCTCGAACTGGAACGTCGCATATCGCGTGTTCTCGCGAAGCGACGCGTGCCATGCCTGAAGACTGCCAGCGCCACGTGCTTCTCCATCAGCCCGTTAGCGTTGTGGGATTATGATGAGAGCACCTTAGCGGAGGACGGAAACATTTTGGATACTCTCAATCTCTCGCATAACGTCACCGTCTCTGGTATTCCCATCAGTCCGGACATGGTCCTAGCTGGACGCGAGCTTCGTGATCCGAGCTCTTCGGATGTTGATTCTGCTATGTTTTTGGCCCTCACATACTTCTTTCCGGACCGGGATTGCGTTGGTAATGTGGGCCATTTTCAATGGTTGCGAGCCCTTGAAGAGGCCGCCGGATATAGTGGCGATCTGCTTGTGCAAACTCAAACGCCCAAACTGATCGCTCTTGAGGTGAGTTGTCTATGGACGTAATGGAACCCACACCAACGTGCCTGCTACAGTATGACAAGGACGCTTCCACAAAAAGCCGTTTTAGTATCCTGTCCGTGTTCTGCTACATGGCCTATGTCGGTCTCTTCGTCTATTGCGCGAAGGAGATGAGACATATGGATACTGTACATTCTGGCTTCGGCCTCGCCGTGACAGGTTGCATCGAACTGATAGTAAGTACCATTACAAGTCTCAGCGTCTGTGCCCTGGTTGGCTTTCGAGTGACAATGGTTCCCTGGTACGTTGGTCTTCCTGGACATGCTGATGACCGTTTTGACCTATGATCTCAGGGAGTTATTCCCTATAATTGTCATGTTCATCGGTGCTGAGAACATGTTTCACATAGTAAGTAGTAACCGTGCGATTGCATTGGACTGATCAATGTTCAATCGACATTTAGGTCGACGCGGTGCTCAAGACTTCAGTCACCATTCCTGTCAAGGAGAGAATCGCGCAGGGCCTGAGCCGGGCAGGCACATCCAACACGTTGAAGGTTGTCTCTTACAACGCTGTTCTCGGTGTCATTGCCTTCTTTTCCACCGGCGCTATTCGCCAATTCTGCGCCTTCTCGATTGTCGTCCTGGTTGCGCATTGGTTCCTGGTACACACATTCTTCGTAACAGTGCTATCTATCGACATTCAGCGTCTCGAGGTGAGTCCTATCTTGTCAAACCAAACGGGATGTAGCTCATCTATCCAAATTCTAGCTTGATGAGCTCCTCAGGCAGAACACCAATCTAGCGCCAATCAATAACACTGGTAGTACCGTTAGGTCTCTCCCACCACCAAGAACTTGGAGTCAGACTGTCACTGCTATGAAGAACACAATTCGTGGTCGATCGGGCAAAAACCTCAGCCTTTTCCTGGTGCGTATATTTGTGTCTTTTCACATGCGATGCATGCTTATATGTCGACTCAGCTGCTCGCTATTGCTGCAACTCTGTATTATGCTACGTCTCCATCTGGTCTGCACAACAAGGAAACCCTCAGAAGTCCTCTCGCACGCAGTCCACTCCGACAGAACAACAGAATGTCTGCCACTGACTTGGTATCGCCCGCTTTTCGCATCTGGCACACTTTGAATCCCACCGATGACACGTTGATTCATATTCGTGTCGAATCCCCTACTATTCTGGTGTTAGCGTCTGCTGAAGGCCAACACAAGGATCACGTTGTTATCACAGACAATGAGAGAGCTCCCCGGCCCCGCATGTCCGGGTTGTCTCGGCTGTGGTCACGCGCAGTCAAGCCTCTCTTATGGCTTGTAAAGATCATCGTTGTGCCGATCACGATTACGACACTTCTGCTGTATGCGCTGCTCTTGTACCTTCTCAAGAATGTGGAACTTCTAGAAGAAAAGCGTCAACGCCCAGAGCGAGACTCCCAAAGCTCAGAAGAGTCTTCCGTCGAGGAGGAGATCTCATTCACTACCCTCCCACGTGCAATCCCTACCGATGTCGAAGTGATCGCTGCGAGCAAAAATGGCAGCGTAGTTGTCACCTTGGGGCTGCAAAATGAGGTCGTGATTTGGAGGACCGACACGCGGACACATATCACGGTAGATACCTCCTCGATCCTGCTATGCAGCTCTAGTACCCAATCGGCGGCGACGACACTCATGACTGTAGCCGTCAACGACGCGGGAACTGTCTGTGCTGTTGGCTCCGGTACTGGAATCATCGGGGTATGGTCGATCGGCAGGGATAGCGTGAAACCTCTCACTCAGCTTTCACTGGAAAATGCAGCTATATTCGCGGTCGCACAGTTGCAGTTTGCTACTTCCCAGCACCACCCATCGGCTCCAATCCTTCCATTCACGCCTTCCCAACCGTCAGAAACCGTGCCATCCATCCCCAAGATTTCCTTATACGCGGCATACGAGAACGGTTCCGTTGTGAAGTGGGAGATTGACGCAGTGCCGAGGGCGCACTACGTTGCACCGTCCCGCTCAGCGTCGATCATCAAGTCCATGCTGTTGCCCGTGCATGGCGACAATCATTTGTTGGTCGGCTTCTCTCTTGAAGATGGGACGTTTGAACTTTGCGACATCGAACAACGAGATCGACCGCTAGTACGCAATTGCTGGATTGCTGCCGGAAACCCGCATGATCTGGTTTGCAGGGTCGACCTCTGCAAAGTGGAGCTCGGAGGGAAGAACCACGTAGTAATTGGAGCTGCCACTCAAGCGGGTATTGTGTCTCTGTGGGACGCAGGCACGCGGGAATGCCTCTTCATAATGGAGGAGACGTTTGGGGAGATAAATCACTTACGTCTTACCCCAGTGAAGCTGAGCACTTGCACCGTATGCGGAGAGTTACCATGCGAAAACTTCTTGATATCCTTCTCCGTTGGTCAGGTCATCCTCTTCTATCGTGCATATCTGTACCTGCCAACAAGACGATGCTCTTGTCCGCGGAATCAGCCTCAGCCAGCGGTCAGGACGAGTGTCCTCGGACATCGGTCACGGAGTGGTAGTAGCGCCTCGGTGGTCTCCAATGGCGCCACCACGCCTACTCACCGACCGAAAGTGCCTTCCGTCTCATCTACAAGCTCAGCGCTGAATGCATCCATGTTTCCTGTATCTGCACACGGCGTCCATTCGCGTAGGGCAACCGAGAAGGAAAATCTACGACGGAACCATGATGCCTTTTTCATCAACTCGGAGGGCGATGACTCAGAAACGCGTCTCGTAGGGCCCGTGGATGTCACTCCAGCTGCAGGATTCCTCTCTTCGCACCCCCCGACGTCTGTCTGGCAAAGCTTGGTCGTGATCAGGGTGGCTGATGCTGTGTTTGAGAGGGGTAGCTGGGATGTCGCTGGCGATAAGATTGTCGGAGTACGTCGCAGGCCGCGGCCACCGTTTCGGAAGCTACAGTACGACGATACCAAAGTGCCGATAGAATCTCCCCATGGACTGAGCGCCTCCACGCTAGAACGTTGGGAGCTATGGACCTTTGACCCGGAAGATTCACGTATCACGACCTCCCCTCTGACTGCTCTAAGCCGCGGTGTGGAGGAATCTGACACGCGTTCAAGCATGGAGCATCAATCGGGCCGCGCACCTGCCTCTCCGCAGAGGCGCAGGAGAAGCGATAACCTCATCCCGCGATTGCATTTCACTCGCGTCGCCCCGTTCATCAGCAGTTCTACGTTTTGCTTGGCTGGGTTTGGGAACACTGTCGGCCTGTTCAACCTGAACAACTTTACAACCTCAAGACGGCGGAGGAGGCGCTCTTCGGCAGACAGTACTAGAAGCCTATCTAGTTAAGTCGCCCCATTTGTTCATGAGTTTGTACGTTTGTAGAGCTGTTGACCATGTTAATATTGACCTGGATTATATGGATGACTTTGGGCGGATCAATTGTATACATGTAATGTGCTACTAGTGGCTAATGGATGTGAGACGGTTTTCGATGACCAGTAATACTACTACTATGATCTATCATTGATCGCCATCACGTCTTCCGATTACTCCAGGCGATGCAGCCCTGCAGGCAGAGTTTTCACCACACCGGGCTCATCTGAGACCACGCAGCTTCTGGCATTTGCAGCGACGCCATGAGCTGTTACGAAAATTACTTTCACCAGCAACTAGCTGTCGGCAAAGCATAGTCATCGAGTCGGTGAGCCACCGATTCTGCTATGATATTGATCGCGACTGCAGCTTTGACAGCGTGCCTGTACTACACCAACTTGGATTGTTGCTTCTTCTGAGCGACGTATGCAGCACTAGGCGCTCTGCACGATATATTCTAGGCAGCTAGTTGATCAGTATGATCAAGCAGGAGAAACCGATGAACGTCGAGGACGTATACACTTTGCGTATACCGCAGTGGGCAGTTTCACAATACTGATCGGTCTACGGCGTTCTGGAACGGGGTCTTGCACTGTTGGGGCCAAAGTAAGAGGCAGCCTCTTGCATTCTTTCCACCATCTCCTCTCAAAGCTAACCTGGACGGCAGACGGCTGACCCTCCCGATCTTCGCTCCCGTCTCCTGCTGCTAGCTTGGGATGAATCTCTACCTCGTTCCCAATGATCCAGAGGTCATGACACTCGTCTCCTCCAATGGCATCGCGCACTACCAGGTCACGACCTCGAAGCCGCAGGCATTCGGGACTCCGGCTGTCTCGCGGATAAAGCGGCCAGCAGAGACGGAGAACGACAGCATCGTCGCTGAGATTGAGTGGCGACGATGGGGCGCACATCCTATTGTACGCAGCAATGTCTTTGATGGGTCTGTCCAAGAGCTCCAAGTGAAGGAATTGCTGTACAAGCTCGGGAGCAGGTGGAGCCCGTAAGTTGTCGCGTTGATGCACATAGCGTTTCAAATGATCCATTGTCCGAAGGACGCGTTATTTCCTTGGCAATGACGATGAGGTCTACCGCTGGAAGGTCGTCAAAGGCATCGGACCCATCGTAAGTATCTGAAGATATCAAGTGCCATGCGTTCCTCATGTCCCGACAGCTCACCAACTACAACACGGGGAAGGAGGTGGCCCGCTTCAAGCAGAATCTCGTTGAAGAGGGCTTCTTCCGCGGCGAGAGAAAGTGGCATCTACAGGTCCAACCATCTTCCCTCGATATCGACATGGTCGTTATTACCTTCATGATTATGGAGAAGAAGCGGCGTGATCGCGTGGCGGATCCTCATGCCGTACGCGCCTTGGACCATGACGAAGACCCTGGCGAGGGTGGAGGAACCGAGTGCGGGTGATGTTTCTTTTTCTCTTTTGGGATTTAGGGGGAAATTGGGGTATATGGTATTGACAAATTTTGACGGGGTATCACGTCTTTGGACGTTTTCTCTCTTGCTTCGATGCGAGGACAAAACATTCGCATGTTGTCTTCTCCATGACAAAAATACCAAGGGCCATGTGACCGCGTTCTCACTTGCCGACATAACCCCGGACCCGCGCTATCTCGATCTGGTTTACGATGCCTGGCACATAGTATATACTTCGCCTCCAGCTGCATGCGCTCGAACATACACCGCCCCCGTGCTGTCGACGTCCCATTTGAGTCGTCTCGTATTCATGTCCGGCGTCGCTGCCGCCTCAGGAATCGTTCCTCCAGCACGTACCTGCGTGGCTTATAGTGCAGAACACGTATTTTGCTGATCCGTTCGAGCCGTATGATGGTGGATTTCTCGCGCGTCTCGAAGACATGAACCTCTTATCTCCCCTCGAGTATACTACTACTCTCGATTGTACTGCATTCCCGGATTGCAGCTTTCCGGTTAAGTCAGACTTCTGTGACGGCATGGTTAGGTACGTCTTTGTCTTCAAGGGTTGTTGTATGAAGTTATTATCAGTTCCTACACCGGTTATATTGGCATACGGTCCCGCCACTCGTTCTTCTAATTCCTCGAGAGCTGGCAGAAGCAACCCGCACACAGACAATATGATCTTCTGGACGAACGAAGGACCCGGCTGTTCTTCGTCTGTCGGCCTCTTCATGGAACTCGGTAGATTCGGTCAGCTGACTGAGGCTGGGTGAGAAGAGGGAGGCGGTAAGCCACCGTGAGGACAGCTCGTCACGCTTTTGATACGTACGGGATCTGCGAGACAGGTACCTAGATGCGCAAACTGGCTCAAGGAATCCTGTGTGGACAAGATTGATAGCATGGACTGTGAAACGGCCGCCCTTTTCTGCTCGACAGATCAGTGCGCCGTACGGTGCTGGTACGCTACTCGTTCTCCGAAGGTGGTCGCAGACTCCAGGCTATAATGCGTACGGTGGTGTCAACAAGCTCTGGCGTGTCGCCTATGTTATATCTGCTGCATTTTTCTCGTCCAACGGTACTTGCTAAAGGCTTGCCTTAGGGAAACCAGCGCGGATTCCAACAAGCCAGGAGTTCGGGCGAAGATAGGTGTCGACGCTTCCATCATATTCATGCAACAGGGGGGTCCACCGAGCCTCCCACGCAGCGGAAGATTTGCAGTTCACAGCGCGATTCTACATCGCGGCGTTGCTTGAGCGTGGCATCCGTGCGCTCATTTATGTCGGCGCAAACTACTGAATCTGCAGTTGGGTATGGCCCACATATACGTACGATCAAGGCCTTCATTGACACTCTGCAAGGTCGGAAATGAGGAAATGACGCTTGCACTGGAATGGACCAGTCAAGGTATGCTTCGCTACCACCTACGGAGCTGGGAACATGGTGCGGACGACAAGGGCTGGATTGAGGGCTGTTATGGCTGAGCATCCATGCACGCTCCCTATAACTAGCCCAAGCAGTCCTTGGAATTGGTCAAGCCGGGTTTGCAGGGCAGCAGTTGTAGTACTATGTCGCTTTAACTTCCGGATTGACCGCGTGGAAAGCATTCTTTGAGACAGATTCAAAAAATCACTTGCAATGATTACATAGCAGTTCGCTAGCAAGCACTTGAATATCCAATGGCGCGCCTTCAATCATGGATAGATATCAGTCGCACTCCGACAAGCCGGACTACTTACTGCTAAAGGGTTCTACAGTGCAATCAGCACAGCCATCGCCTCTTCGCATAGCGTAGTCTACAACGTTGGTATTAGATACATCCAGCCTCGCATGTCTTTCTACGTTGGTTTGACTTGGAACTTTCACGCTGAGACACCAGATCGTTTGCCGAACGTCGGCTCGATGGTGCGATTGCAGTCCATGAACGCCTTCACCTCCTCTTCTGTGATCTTCGCCCTCCGCTGAAAACGATATGTCCATCAGCAATGGGTGGTGGCAAGAAGATGAGTAAACTGACTTCCTGGAATCCCTTCACGAAATCCTGTAGCCGCTGGATGCACTTTGCTTTCAGCTGTCCTGTCAGCAAGAGGCCAGCGCGGTAATCCTGCGGTTCCAGTCTCAATCAGGTTCTGCTGTGATTGTAGGAAAAGTATCCACCAACCTCTCCCATCTGCATATACTTTTCGTCATCATCCATGAAGAATCCCAAATACTGATAGGCAACATCCACATCCGGGTTCCCGCCCAGCCTCCGGTGCTCCTCCTCCGTCTCCCTCCCGCCCGAGAACCCATGTTTGTTGATCTTGTTCTTGATCTGAGCGGGCGTATCTGTCATAAAGATGCTCGAGTTGACATCGGACGCGCTCATCTTCGTCTGCGGGCCCTGCAGCGCGGGGAAAAACTTGGAGTGCAGCAGCGCGGGCTTCTGGTACTTGAGTTTGACGGCGACGTCGCGCGTGAGTCGGAAGTACGGGTCCTGGTCGATCGCACAGGGGATCAGGCAGGGGATGTTGGAGGCGGTGCCGAAGATGTGGGGGAAGGAATTGGAGAAGGAGGGTGCAGCTTGGATAGACGCGAAGTGAATCTTGCCGATGTTGTCGCTGCGTACAAGTCTCAGGAACCTGCATCCGATGTGATGGAGGTGCATACTCACGAGTCGTTGAAGCCGAATGTCGCCTTCGCTTGATTGATCGTGATCTGCCGCGAGATCTTCGACACGTTGCGGTAGAACGCTCCACCGACGTAGTCGTAGTCACTGAAGATGAAAGTCTTCTCCAGCTTGAAGCCCACGGAGATGATATCCCGAGCATTGTGCTTCGCAAACTCATACGTTTGTTCCGGCTTGAGCTCGTGCTTGAACAAGAACTTCTCGTCGTCTGCAGGCCATGAGCATTGAGAAGAGGGACAGTGGTCAACTCCACATACCGGTCAGCTGGACGACCAATGGTACGTCAAAGACATCCTGCAGCCATCTCCAATACTATCAACATTCAAACGCGCGGAGTAAATAACGGCAGGACGCACTTTGTGAACACGAAAGGGACCATGTGGCCCAGATGCATGCTATCGCTGCTTGGCCCACGACCTGTGTACAGGAAGAATGGCTTGCCCTGTTCGTATCTGTCAAGGATCTTGTCAAAGTCTCTGGTTTTGGGTCGTGAGCGTGACTGATCCACTGCACAACTCGCCGATGTCCTCACCGATGCGAGAAGAACATGCCTCTCCTCAAGAAGACATGTGGACGATGGCCAGTCAGGCGCTCAAAGCGCTCCAATACCGCTTGATCCACTCTCCGGGTGCCGAATTGCTCTACGAGCTTGTCGTAGTCGATCGCCAGCTGCTGTCCGTCGGAGGATACGGAGCCCTGGACATCCCACGGAGTGACAACCTGCTCGTGAGCTTTGACATCCACGGCTGGTTTGATAGCGGGGGCGTGGCTGATGCCATGAGGCGTCGGGTGTGTTTCCGACGATTGCGGGTGAGAATGAGCAGCCTTCTCGGCAGACGGTCCCACAGAGCTGCTGATCATGAGTGATTATTCCTCTGAGAATACAGATAATACGCGCACTCCGCGAGCGATGCATTGGCCATTGCAGCAGGGAGACTGTCAGCAGTCACAGGTGCTGTCGGATGCGCAAAGTCACCATCTGGGACAGCAAGAGGAGGCCCTGAAGTCATTGATATCTGGCACAACAAATATTGGAGTGGAAGGAGAAGGACCCCAGTAGGACAACGCAGAGTGGTTGGGCAGCGTCGACAACGACGACGAAGGAGAGGGCGGATTGTCGAGCCAAGTCAAGTTGGGCGGCGGCCGGCGTTATGCACTCTGCAGAAACTGGGGTTGTCGATCGGATCAAGATTGCGTTGTGCGGGATTTGCCGCGTCACGAGATATCCGAGCGCTTACGCGACTCGTCACGTTCAGTGCGGCCTGTGACTTTGAATATTCCCCGTCCCCCTCCTGCGACTTCTCTTCGTGGCACGCACCTGCATGCCTGGTCGTCTTCGCAAAAATATTATCAAGGCAGTTTTAACGTCTCTGTCACATCCTTGATTCCTATCCAGGCTGCACCATGACATTCTTCTTGCAACAAATAGGTGCCATTATTCTGCTGCAGCTTTTGTGCCATAAAGTCTTTGCAGACCTTGCTCCATGACATAATCACAGCTTTATTTGATACTGACAGTCTGCGTGCTGAACGGCCTACGAGATCGGAGCATTCGAAGTGGTATGTGCCTCCGTAATCCAGGTTTTATGCTTACGGGTGTTTTTGTTTTGTACATAGATTTCATCAGTTTGGGATGCATTATGGCAGTTTTTATTTCCTGTGAGTTCGCAGCTATGCATGAATAACTAGAAATTGGCGTCACTGAACGACATGCTTATAGCAGGGCATGAAGATTCTAAAGCCAGCAACTAAGGCTGTCGTCGATGATTATCCCATGAATCGTCCGTTAAAAACTCATATGCTTACATATCAACATGCTCAATCTGTTTTTCAACCGTACTCGATGAGTGCCCACCCATCATGATCTCCCATCAGGTGAAACAAGCTTTCTCAATGGCATACTCACTTTTCTCGACTTCTAAGAAGCACCATGAAACTCAACGTCCATCATCCACTGTGGATGCTCTCCATAAAATATTGGCTCTGAGAAAGCGAGGCAACCATCCGGTGGGTAACTTCATTCCGTTGAATGCACGTCTGCGCAGTTATCCATGCTTTCACACATCCTCGTTCGCATTGTCTGTCTATACCTAGATGGGGATTGCTGATTATTGCTGTGTCCAGAAAGTCATTGATTGTCGTGATGATTGTGAGCGAGGTGAAGTGGCCGCATTTCCAATTGCTGCATTGCAATATAGGAACGAGACGATCCGTCCCATTCTGCGGTATGACGAGGACGCTCTTCGGACCAGCCACTGCGATACGTCCGGCTTTCCGTCGAGCATACTGTGGACATGCAGCGTACCTGCGACGCTCACCTCATCCATGATTGTGCCGAGGTCGCTGGCGTCCACGCTTCAGATGCCGAAAGGTGGAACGTTCGCCGATCTCCTCCGAAACTCTCTCTCTTCTAAAGGGCGATTCCGTGCCACGGATAATGTAGCAATACACGGAGTGCACAGCAGTGCATAGGTGAAACGGTTATGGCTGCACTACAAAGCGACGTTATAGTTGTCTGCGATCACCTTGAAGGCCGCCGAACACCTTTGATACCACCACCTCAGTTTATGCTCATTTTTGATCGTCATCTTGTGCAGCAGGCCCTGTTCACTGTTGGTCCAAATAAGCCACGATTCATGTCCTCAGGCCGCGAGCGCTCCGAATGCTATGAATACAGAGGGTCCACTACATATCAATATTCTGGCGCAGCTTGCGCATGGTCATCGACAACGTTGTCCCGCCGACTATCAATTGAAAACAAGCGATCCGTGAATCCCTCCGAACCGAGCAGATCTCTGCATCTCATAGCCGCGCTTGATGGTACAGAGACTTCTTACAGTTGCTTTGGCGCCGGATCGACGTGTACACGCTCACACCTCGTATAGATACGCCACGTCGTCGTAAGATGCATCTTCGTACCTTTGGAATTGATAACTGGTATGCTTTATTTGATACAATGCTATACAGACAATAATCATAGAGTATGAGTTTAAGTCGTTGTTACAATAGTGATGCAAGGGAGCGACAAGGTATGGTCAGCTTCATAGAAGGTCCGGCATTTTCAGCATATCGTCATCCTAACACCCAGCAGCAGAACCCTGCGCCCCAACCCCTCGTCGCCTGAGCCACGCGTTCTAGAGCACTTGCGGGTGCCGACGAGGGGTGGGGCGATGACGATGACGAAAGAAGTTGTATCATAAAAGTGTTGTGAAGGTGAGGAAGTCTACGGTTTCCGGAACTCGCACAGCACGGTGTATATCGTGTTGAACGCGGTGTAGATCTCTTCTCGGACCTAATGGACCGAACGGGATGACACGGTTAGCAAAACATTCTGACCACGATAGCTGTTCTCAGTCGCCTGAAAGAAAGTAGGCAATTACCTTTGCGCCTGTAAGCACGATCTTGCCCGACACGAAAATGAGGAGCACGACCTTGGGCTTCAACATACGATAGATGAGTCCAGGGAATAGCTGCATCGACGGTTAGCACCGCTGCCACTCGCCAAAAAAAACGAAGTGCACGTACCTCTGGCTCATAGCTGCTGAACTGCCCGTGGCTGTACGCGAGGCCCTCCAAACGGATGGGGAACTTCACATCACAGCTACCGACGATATTTTGGATCTTGAATTCAGAGAACTTGGCGTCGAAGCCGAGCTTCTGCACAATCCGCGCGTACTTGCGCGAGGCGAGCCGCGAGTCGTCCTCGCTCTTCGCACCCGTCACGACCATCTTGCCCGACGCGAAGATGAGCGCGGTCGTCTTCGGATCACGGATACGCATGATCACGGCTGCGAAACGCTATACGTGCGATGCGGAGGGAAGTCCGACACTCACACAGTCAGAGAAAACTCAAATACAAACCTTAGGATTATATTCAGCGTTACGGGCATGCAGCGCGATTGTTTTCAAGTCTAGCCGGCAATCGAGATTGACCGTCGCGACAATGTTTTGCAGCGTCGGGACGATGCCCTCGACGGCAGTGATATGGGTCTGCTCAAGGGTCAACGGCACAGGCGTCGCCGGGATGGCGCTTGGCGTGGAAGGGACAGTAAGGGGTGCCAGCTGACTGGGACCAACCGCCGTCTGAGAAGGTGATTGGGGTTGAGACTGCTTCTGTTGCGGTTGCGCCTGAGCCAGGGTCTGACCCCGCTGGTATGACGATGCGGCAGGCTGCGATTGCTGCTGCTGTGCTTGGTAAGGAGAAACGGAGGGCGCCGTTGGCGCAGGACCGGGAAGAGCCAGACTCGTCTGCGTCGATGGCCCCGGGAGGTAGGAATTGGATGCATAGGGCAGGGCAAGGCCAGTGCTAGTGCTCGGCTGCTGCACTTGCATCTGCTGGTATTGTTGCTGGGGTACATTGGCCGGACGCGAAAACGTCACTTGACGCGAGGGCAACGCAAAGTTCGACATGATTGAAGACGACGACGAGTGGCTTGACGGAAAGGTATGAAAATGCCCTAGTATTAGTGACCGTGGGAAAATTCGTGTGGCACGAGATTGGGGGAGGGAAGTTGCAGCCGAACGCGACCCTCGCCTTTATATACTTGAGCATTTCAAACTCCGCCCGAAAAATTCTGCAGGATTTATAAGCAAGCCGTGGTCAACTTGATCGCGTCAACATGTCCGCTTGTCAAAACGCTCCTGCGCGCCGTCCACGTCGTTATGCGGGCTTCTACTCGCTGTTTTTAATGCCACCTCGCTGTTTTCGACGTCTGATCCTTGTTACCACTGCGTTTTGTCTGCTAATTGACTGTTCGCTCTCATTTTACTGCACCATGCCCTTGACAACAGATCAAAGCGCTGGCTCCACGAAAATTTTATGCACTGATCAGTGATCAATCTATGTCGCTCATTTCCCATGCTCGAACTTCTGGCGCGCTTGTGAGCTGAGCTGCAAGGACGAACTCCTCCTCAATGGCGTCTGATGTGACTACCTCGTACTGGATGGAACGCTCGGAGCCCCGCATTGATCTCACCGACCTCCTTGACCATCATTTGTCCTGTTTTTTCCTCACTTGAGCCTGTATCTCAAGATTCATCGACATCCAAGATCGATCGGTGTGAGATTTAAATCCTATATTCCCTCACCAGACCGACCCTCGTGAGTGCCTCCGACAACGGGTGGCATCCCTGTGCATCGAACACGCTAGCTACATGCGTCAGAATTACTATGGTACAGACGGTAACCATTAGATACATACATAAAGATATCTGTCGTAATGTCGTGAAGATCGTCAGTGGCGCTGAACGTATCATGATTATCCATCGATCCATCGGACCCCGCATCTTTCAATCTTTCCATCTACTCCCCCTCGTACGGCTCTTCAGGCACCGCAACATTACGCAACAACGGGTCTAGCGAAGCTAGCTCGTCCTTGATACCCGCCCTCGCGAAGTCATCCAGCTCTTTCAGAAGGGTCGCTATCAATTTCTGCGTGCGAGCTTCAGCCTCAGCAAGCGCTGCCGAGCATGCACACGACCAACGTACCCTTAGTTTGTTGTCTATCTGCTTCACCGCATCGCCCAGGCCCGAGCTCCAGCTCGGTGGCGGACTACCCAGCGCGCCACCATACATTGCTGTTGCCCCGCCTCCGCCAAGCACAGCAGGCGTCCCGGGCCCTGATGCATGCGCGATGCCCCAGAGACTGTTCTCCCCTTCGTGTTGCGGTGCCGTCTCCGTGCCAGCGAAGAGGTATGACACGCCCGGATGTGGTGACAGAAGCCCGAGCGGGCCCATCATGTGGTGGCCTGAGCTAGGAAATGGCGACGGCCCGAGAATCTTGGATATCTTGTTGTACACTTCGGAGAGAACGTCAAGGAGCGAGAGGAGTGTTTGTTGATAGTCGAGTGGGAAGGGCTGCGATCTTGCGTAGGATCCCAAAATAACAGAGTAAATCAGATAGGAAACGTACGACGTGTGGCATGGTGAGGTATGGCGCATCTGACCCGTCTGCATATGAGAGGGCAAAGTCGGTGCCACCAGCCTGCCTTCTCTGCGGTTTTGTCCTGAATAAACGCTGGGGGGGACGTTTGTGATTCAGCGTCCTGAGTTGCGCGAGAAAGTGTGTACCATTCGTGGTCGATCTGTGTCCTCCTTGTCCTTCGATACGTCTTTGATGGTGTCATACTCATTGAGGACGTTAGAGAAGCCGCGGAGTAGATCATGCGGATCCTTCACGTCGAAAAGATGCGCGAGCGCCATGCCGAGCATCGCGAACCGGAATGTCCTGAGCTACATTCAGGCACGGTCTAGCCGCACACACGCGCACACCACGCACCGGTTCTTCATGGCAGTATTGGGAAACACCCGCTCGAGCTCACTTCTGGTGATTGCGATGGTATGGAACCAATGGCTCCGCCTAACGATACGCTCGGTCTTATCTTCCGCACAATACAAAGAAGCTCGTACCCCTCGTAGACGTTACGCAGATACGTGAGTGTGATGATGCGCTTCTTGACGAGCTCACGCAGCATCTCGACCGAGGTGCCCTGGCCGACGGCGCCATTGGACGACGTGAGAGACTCGGACTGTTGCGAGAGCGACTGAACGTCCCATTCGCGCGGAAGGCCCGCGGAGACCATGGGAGCGGCGGCGCCAGGTGGGAGCTGGGAGAAGGAGAGACCTGGCCCGGCGGAGGGAGGAACTTGGGGTGAGGAGTTGGCGGACTTGAAGGAAGAGAGGAGATTCTGGGCAGAGGATTTGCGGCGCATGGTTGGGCGATGGCCCAGGGATTCGACGTGAATCGGCATGGGGGCTACTTCGAAGGGGCATGGACGCCGCGCACCATTGCTTCTCGATCAGTGGTGCACGCCCAAACTGAAGCCTTTCGAGCTCCGACTGTAGTGTCCATACAGCGCACCCGTGACCCCCATCAGCAGATTTGTAACCGTGGGAACGCTGCAGACACTAAGGCTAGTAGATCTTTTCGCGATCGCTCGCTGCTTCGCTCCCTGCAGCACATCTCCCTCGTTCTCCCCCCCGCTCCCCTCCTTCGTCTGCACCTCCTCTCTCCCGCCATGGCTGACATCAACACCATCGCGAAGCAGTTCACCGATTTCTACTACTCCACGTTCGACACCAACCGCGGGAACTTGCAGAGCCTCTACGTGCGTCGACATCCTTCGTGTTGATCTCTCCGATTTTCGCTCTTCGACCCCCCTGACCGACGGTGTTTACAACCCGCTGCAGCGCGAGCACTCGATGTTGACGTGGGAAGGCCAGCAGCTGCTCGGCGCCGCCAACATCGCGGAGAAGCTGACTGTCAGTCTCCTCTCGCGATCGCGACGCGTTTGTAGCCGCTCACCTCGTTCGATTGCAGAGCTTGCCATTTGATAAGGTCCTGCACAAGATCACAACTCTCGATGCACAGCCATCGTCGCTTTCCGTTGCGAGCATGATTGTTAGCGTCACCGGACTGCTTGTTGTACGTACCTATCTGCTCCGCAATTAGCAATTAACCTCGAGCGATATCACCATTAGGTCGAGGACAACCAGAATCCTCTGCAATTCAGCCAGGTCTTCCAGCTCATCCCCGACGGGGACAGCTACTATGTGTGAGTACGTCTCCCTTGCCAATTTGACAATCGATACTGAGACGCGTCTAGCTTCAACGACATTTTCCGTCTCAACTACGGAGCATAATGAAGTCACCCTTGCTTATGATCGCCGATGCATTACGTGTTAATTGCATCTGTTCGCTGGTAGGACAAATTTGTAGGAAGTTTGAAGAGAGCAGAAGTTGTACCTCACTATTAATGTTTCATGTAATGTCGTCATTGTCTTGTTCCGGAAACGTTGATTGAACCTCAATCCGTTGCCCGAGGATGAAATATCGGCCTGCATAATATCCGGGAGAAAAGGGCTAGGAACGTAAGAGAGGGATGAGAGATACAAAGTATGAACAGGAACAACACAAAGCTCAGCCGGCGAAGCAACGTCTAGGATCCATGTATACTGGGTATTAATATAGTAGGCATATGCAACAGTATACGACGAAAGAACACCCGCCCTGGAAGCGCCATCAAGCGCTCTACACACCAGCCACGATCCTGTGCGAAGAGCGGTCCGATCAGCAAACAATCGTCCCAACATGAGAAATGACGTACTCTTCCGCCTTGTTGAGTGCCTGCACCATCTGTACGCACTCCTTCCTGCGCGCGACGACATAGTCTGACTCCTTGAGTAGCTCGTCGAGCACCTCAGGCTTGTACAACTCCTGCAACAATTCCTGCTGCAGGTTGTCCTTCGAACGGTTCACGAGTGTCAGCGAGATTGCCTTGGGTACCATGTCGATCATCTCGCGCTTGACGATGTTGAAGTATGAGTGGATGAGCAGTTCTATAAGCACGATGATGTCAGTTCATTTAATCCAGCAATGCGAGAGATACGTACTGATGACTTCCGTCTCCATCGTCTCCCGCTCGCTGAGAGGAGCCTGCGGCCGAATGATCGCTGGTGGCTATGTAATCAACACGTTGAGCAATGTTATCGCATCAATAAATTCGCCCAGACTCACTGCCTCCATGACCGCAGCGCCTTTCTTCTTCGACACATTCTTCGTCGCAGAGAAGAACGAACCGAAGAAGCTGTTGTCCGCCTGCTTGATATCAACATCAAGGTCGTTGTTATTATTGATCTGCCCCGGCGCGAGCTTGCCGCTTTTCGGGTCCGGAGCTGGGGTTGAATGCTTGTTTGCGTTCAAACGGTCCTGGACGATGGACATCGCCTGCGGGGCCATTAGCAAGGGATGATTGTTTAGCAGGAAGTGCACGAACCTTGTGGCCGTTCAGGAAGTCAGGATGTGACGTGTTGACGTAGCATGCCTGCATTCTGGATAAACGTTCAGCATTAACAACTAGGAGATGACGGAAGACAGAACATACGAGACGAGATCGGTCACAAGCTTCGTCGTGGGGTTCATTGCATTCTTGAAGAAAGTCACGACGACGGAATTAAACCTGTCCCGCAGAGCAGGGAATCTCCGGAATGCTTGCTGCAGGAGTCATGTATCGTGAACATGCCAATCCTGGAATGTACGTAGCGAACTTACAATCTTATTAAGGGCTTGACCCAGAATGCGGATCAGCTCGTCATAGACCAGCTGGCAACATTTCAAGCTAGGATCCTCCAGCCGTTTGATCTGCGCTTTCACAATTTTCTCGAACGCCTGCGTGCCGACGAAGACTGCTGGTGTAGAACCCTGTAGAAGCAGTCTCAGCCACTAAAGTTTAGCATTCGAGAATCAACCAAGTCTCACCGATGAGTTGTACAAGATGATGCGGATGTCCCCGTCCTTCACCTGGTCGAACGGATCGATGCTCTTGATACCATTGTTGAACAGCTCGTGGAACACGAAGCTGATACGTGCTCCTCCGGATAGCTCGTTGAGCGACAAGTCGCTCCCGTTACCGTCAATGATCGTGCGGAACTCGGAGCAGAATTCGGTAATCACAGAGAGGACGACGTTCGCCGAGTTGCCGTCGCCCATGGCGCCTCCCAGGCTCTGCAGTTCCGTGTTGTACTTCTGCAGTTGCTGCGAGATGCGCGCCTTGATGTCTGGTAGGGTTGCGCGGATGTGTGCCATGAGGATCTGCGCAAGTATCTAAGCAAATGTCTCGACAGAGCGTGCGAGAGAGATACGTACAACATTGAGCTTGCGCGCAAGGAATGGTGTACCACAGTACTGCGCCTTTCCCTTGTACGACGGGTGATTCTCAAAGTATTGCCGTTCGTACTCGAGCGCAGCACTGATGGGCTTATTGCTGTCAATATCGCGTTGTCCTCGGTTCACCACAGGCACATATCCCAGCCGTAGTGGGATGATACGTCCGGCCAGAATGTCGACCACGTCCGTCCCTTGGTCCCTATCGCCAGCGGCTTATCAGTAAGTATTAATAATCACAGTGGCTCCCATGCTCACATCAAATCAACCTTGGTCAAGACACCAATTGTCCTCTGACCCTCAGGATCCACCTCTCGTGCCAGCTTCAGTCCATCTGAATTCGCTAAGTCGGTGTTGGCAGCGGTGACTGCGAGAACGATACACGCAGGCTTGGAAATATACTTTAGGAGCATATCCTTGATTTGCTTCTCAATGTCTCGCGGTTGGTCTCCAACCGGGACCTTCGTGAGACCAGGAAGATCGACAAGTGTAAGCGTCAGGACATTTGGCGAGTAGATGCGCAGGTTGATGGGTTGTGGCGAGATACCAGCATTGCGCCCCGTCTTCGCCTCTGTGTCTCGGACGATCTCTGCCCGTATCTTGTTGAAGTCATAGAACTTCTCCCCTGGTAGATGGAGGAACTCTCCCCACTCATCCTCGTTAGCAGCGGGATCATCGCCGACGACTTTAGCTACGTCATATGCGTCAGCACGTCGACATGGGCTACTGATGGGCGTACTCACCAGACGACCCATTAGCTTGTTTGGTTGTTGCTTTCCGATTGATGAGTTGCAGGACCTGCGGGGTGTGTCAGAGGAACGGTCTTGCGTGAGGTGCGAAGCTCACCAATGGCCGCCGTGTCACAATACCGGTACCCCGTGGCAAGAAATCCCGACCAACGAGATTCTGTAATATCGGGTATTGACAACAGGAACAGCGCGATTGATTCATATGCATAGCGAACACACCTCGAGCACACTACTCTTCCCGCTACTTTGGCTTCCGAGCACACAGATCTGCGGCAGGTCTATCTGGGAGGCCGAGGATCCGACAGCAGTGAAGACATCTTGCAGCTTGTTGACGACGTTGACAATTTCGCCACCGAGGCTCGCAGTTCCCATTTTGCAGCAGATCAAGGAGAATGGATGAAGATGAGATGAAAGTTAAGACGGACACGCGTAAACGACGCGGACGAGCGGCCGCCTGCCAAGTATGGCGGTTCGCGCAGTTGCGCGCTTACGAGATTCGGTGCTCAGCCTTGCTCAGCCATTCCCGATGCTGTGTCGACGTGGCCGCAGCCCTATTCAGTCCATCGCTTAGTCTTACAATTATGGCGGTGTACATCTTTGTCCCAAGTCAGCTCTGTCTCGTTGCAGTGGCTGAAAATTTACTTGACGATTGCGAACGCTATGTGCTCAGCCGAACAGTCATTCACAGCGGCAGTCTGACGGCCTTTTCTGTGGCCACGAGGTGGCCGGTGCCCAACGTGCAGATCGATGCAACGTCCGTTGTTATTCTCGTCTAGGTTGTATGCTAAGATTTGATCCAACACATGGGTGGTTGCTTTGCCGAAACGTAAAACCGTTTTCGTTTCACGCCACGTCACGAGGTGTTCTTAGGCGACGAGCGCACAGCAGCTTCACTGCGGGCGGACATTCTCGAGGATTAAGAAAGGTGCCAGCTAGTCTGTTTCATAATCTCCTGTCATCTCCTCCCTTAAAAAAGGAGATATTTTAGGTCTGCCTAGGGAGACAAGAGCACAGCAGACAAAGCATTTGGTAGTCTGTCTGGTCATTCTCTGCAGGAGTCAGCATTGTCTCGAAGTCTATTGCATTTGCTATCAATGAGCTCTCTGCTTCTTCAGCTCGCTCTCTGTGCATCCTGTATCTCTCTGGCAACTGCTTCTCTACTGCCGCCGGATGAATTGATGTCACCCTTGGTTTCTGACAAGATACTGAGAACGGCGCTCTCACCCACGAATCCCATGCGGTATCCTCAGTATACTGACCGCACTGCAGGAAACTGGCTTTATTTTGTTCCTGACACTTGGACTTCCGGTTTCTTCCCTGCTACACTGTACGCTTTTTATGCGCGTGCTGAGCTTTGTCACTGGGGTGCAGACAACGCTTCTGCATATTTGACCCTCGGACGCCAGTGGAGCACTGCTGAGATCCCTCTCGAGACTGATAACGCCGTCGGGCATGACGTGGGGTTCTTAAGCTACCCCTTCGTAGCGGAGCTGGCTGTGTCCGTACCATCTTCCAGGACTCCGCTACTCAACTGACATCAATTTACAGGAACTCCAAGAATCAGACCACCATCGATGCTGTGAATATATTTGCATCGGACCTGGCTGCGCGGTTCAATCCCATCGTAGGATGTACCAGAAGCTGGAATACTGCAAATCCTGTTGACTTCGAAGTGTGTTGTCTCATCTACTAGGTCGTTGTTCTGAAACTTAAGATTTTCATGTGAGGTTGTCATTGACAACATGATGAACCTGGAGGTTAGTTCAGTCAGATTCTGCCTTGGACAGTAGTATATGTGAAAGCAGGTTCTCTTTGTGTCAGCCTCGTTGACCGAGAACAATACTCTGCGTGATATTGCTATATCGCATGCGAACAAAACCATGGAACATCACGTCCGTCCTGATGGTACGTACCTCATTCCGGATTACTTGCGTATCACTATGCTACAAGGGTTCAGGCTCCTCTTTTCACGTCGTCGAGTACAACGCGACGACTGGCGATGTGATAGCCCGCTTCACTGCACAGGGTTATTCAAATTCAAGGTAGTATAATAATACCGTTCATTGCGAACCTGAACTGATCAATGTCTGATTTTCGTAGCACTTGGAGTCGCGGCCAAGCCTGGGGAATCTATGGATTCTCGAACAGTGCGTCTTATGCACAAATTTTTGCTGCCGTTCTCCTTCAATTGCCCTCCCATTACAGTGTTCAATCATACAGGCCAGGTGCAATACCTGGAAACTGCAAGGCATATGGCATCATACTTTTTAACAAACCTTCCAGAAGACGGCATTGTTCCGTGGTATGGCTGTCGTTCGCGTATCGTCAACTGCATCTCATGCCTACACACCAATGCAGGGACTTTAATGCCCCACTCAATCCGCCAAGGCCTGCGGACTCCTCAGCGGCAATGATAGCTGTCAACGGCCTTATCCTGCTTGCAAATCAGGAGGCTTCTCTCTCCCCGTCTAACGTTACGGGTTCCGAATACTACCTCAATGCCGCTGTAGAGGTGCGGGATGCATTTCCATGCTGATTGCTGACCACTGATTAACCTTGTTCTTAGCTGTTGCGCAACAATACGGCGTTAGCATGGCGTCCAGCCTGGCAAAGTCTACTTGCCAACGGTACAGTCAACAATCCTGAAGGGAATAACCTAACCGGGATAGTTTACGGTATGGACAACTTCATTTAGAGAATGTGAAACCACCTCTGACCTCCCGCTTGTAGGCGACTACTTTTTCGTGGAGGCCGGGAATACTTTACTCTCGTTGGGAATGCTTACTTGTTAGCGATCGCTTGATATACTCATTGACTACTTCCATTCGTGTACCATAGCTAGTCTTCAGATGATATGTGCTCAATTTCATAGCCACATATCAGTCCGATCGCATGATGGTGTTTGCATAAGGAGCTCAGCCAGCAGACATGGAAGACCGCCGAGCTGCCACCCGCCATCAATATGGATGCCATCATGAACCTTGAATATAAGGTGGTAGGGCCGGTGCCGGCAGTGCCCGCTACGTCGAGCGCGCTTACTGCGCCAGCCGGCACTTGACGCAGGACGCTCAACCCGCACAGTAAGATTCGCGGTTCGTTATGGGTTTCTCGTGATTAAGGAATATTTCTACACGTAACGAGATGGAGCGAGGAGGGATTTGGAACGCTTCGCAAACATTACGTTCGTGAGTAAAATACCCTAGAATTGGTGGTTCATGTAACGGGGAGCTAGGTAGGTTACTTTTGAGTGGTAGACCGACTCTTGGAACATAATGGATGCCATCATGAACCTTGAATACATCAGATTAATCTACCGCGATCGCCGCAGCACGTGCATCACCGTGTGCTCCGAGCCTTACACTGCAGACATGAAGCTTTGCACTTGGGGAAGTTGGCGACGAGCGCCGGTTCCAAATAACATTTGCGGCGGAAGCATGTTTCAGCAGGCTAAGGTAGATAGTGGGATACAAGTACAATGACAGAATAGATGAACCGTGGACATAATATATAATTGGGTACAAGTACAAAGGGCCTAATTATACAAATGCGGGCATTGAGGACAGTAGAGGGCTACAATTAGAAAGGAGCTGAAAAAGGAAGGGGCGCTGCAATTACAATTGGGGGGTGAAGTCATTGGCAGTGGGAGCTTGCTGCGTGGATGTGGGGTCGGGGCCTTCCTTCAGTAGATAGACGTTGTGAAAATCGAACGCTGCCTTCCAACGACGCCATGGGCCAGAGTAAATAGGTTTGCCATCGTTGTTGACGCGCCAGCGAGAGAGTATGCATTCGAGCATGACGACGTCGTTGGTGCCGATGCCGTCGGCTGATAGGCGGTATTCTTCGTCTTTGGGCTGTATCTTTCGAGTGGCATTCCAGACGTTGTCGAACAGTGTGACCTGATGCTCGGATAGTCAAGGGACAGAAAGGAGCAAGTGTAAAGTGCGTACCGTCCAATCGTCATCGCGTTTGCCTTTCACCGCCTGCCTGGTGCCGGCAGTGATGGATGTGGTTGCACCGTTGGCTTCTAAAAGGAAAACAGTGTATATAAATGAGATATGTAATCACTGTGTAATGCGAATGTACCTTCGGGGCACTGGGTGGATCGTTGTAAAAGAGCACATGCGGCGCGGAGGTCGTCGGCCCGTAGAGGATCGATCGTAATCTGGATTATGGTAGATACTTTCAGGACGGTTGCTTTGGCCATATCCCAGCACACCACCCCCGTCGCGAAAATAACGAAGGGCGGTGGCGATTCGAGAACTATAAGACATAGTAGCGACATCAGCAGCGGACAGGCCATGGACGACAAATGGACATGGACCCGACTCAGATCCTCGCTCGATGTCGAGCTCATCAACAGACATTGCTTCGGAAGGAGTGCACCCATCACTCGGTCTATGAAGAACAGTAACAGGAGGCTCATGCTCAGGATAAGCCATCAAATTTTCGGAAGAAATGCTAACATCAATGTAATCAACATGATTAAGCTTTAGCCACTGAAGTGCAGCGAAAACAGCAACATGCCTCACTAGCAACGGAGTGCGATGAAAATCTGATTCCACAGGACGAGTAGGTCCAGTGAACAAAACGGCAAGGACCTGCTCCAAATCCGAAACAGGAGGGGGAAGAATATCATACACCTTTTCAACAGGTTGCGTAAACGCGATCGCGTTCGCCATCATCTTACGCTGACCCATGGTAACCTTGACGACGAAAGAGTTGTGACGAATGCGAGCCACCAACATACGCTCGACAAATGTAAGGTCGGCAAGTACACCAGGTACGTCGCCAATCCATAGACCATTTGCAAGGGCATTACGAGGCAATCTGTGCCGGACAAGCATGGAACGACAATCATCACAGATATCTATCCATTGAGTACCGTTAATATCATGAACAGCAGCAGAATACAGGATGGCACCAGGCCGATCAGAGACAACATCATTTTCACAGTGACGTTGGACACGGGTGACGTGTTCGCCGTCACGAATGAGCGGCTGCAAGTCGACATCATCGTACCGAGCACGAACGATATTTTTACTCAGCGTGAGACGTGCACAAACGGCACAGGGAGACTCATGTACAGCGGACACATCCAGTGCGTCACACCAGGAGCGAACGATGTCCAAACGATGAGCGAGTGGAAGTGGTGGTGGAGGAAAGGATACATCATGAAAGCAAGTAGTCGAAGCAACGGAAGCCGGCACACCTAACGGAACCGAAATCGCAGAACGAACACCAGCGGGGACCTCTGCAGAAGCGCAATCTAACGGTCGGAAAGAAGGGTATCGACGCGCACAAAGCCAACAACGATGTCCTCGAAGAAGGTGAATAATTCTGTCTACAGAAATCTCATGGTCTGTCACGGGAAGGCCATGGCTGATAGCGACAGTGTAAATCGACGCAGAATCTAGCGAGGTGAGTAGATAAACCACCGGAACGTCGATGATCAAAGCAGAATGAGCAGAATCAGTCGATCCGGAAAGCGTACAGTCAACGACGCCGACAAAGCCGTATACAACACCATCTGCAGAAGAGAGAGCCCCTTTAACAAGCGGAAAGCGAGACAAAAACTCGAACGAAAACACCGACGGCCAAGTGCGAACATGCGCGGGCAGGTGAACGTCAATGGGAAAGTGAAATATCGCGGCTAAAGAAGGACACGAAACAGAACACTGATGAGCTTGCAACAACGATACCAAAGCGGCTAGAGATCGAGAACGACAATTAATATGGAGACGATGTAAGTGCACGATGTCGAGCAAAGAACGATAGGGAAGCACGTCAGCGAGAGTTGCACATGGAATGTTGCTAGCAACAGAACGAGAATCATCTGGAACGTTACGAACCACGTCACGAACAGGAACAGAACGAACATATACAACATGCGTATAACACTGCATACGCTGGCTGGAGCCACGAATGACAGTACCGTTGAGTAGCACAGCTGACGCAACAGTAGTCGATCGTCGACTCGCACCACCCTGAGGAGACGAATAGTGTGAATCCGAACGTACAAATGACATGATCGAGTCGCGGTCGAAGATGGCACGCCCAATGGACAACAAACGAAGTTGCCGCAGAAGATGGCGATAGACAATGCCAAAAATCAACGTGACACACAGCATGAATAGCAGAGCCTCACCGAGAGACTCGATGGACAGCACTCCAATCGGGAGTCCACACGTAAAAAACAAAGTCGTCCCTCCGAGAGACTGAGACAAACAAATCGCCGACGACCGCACCAGCGAGCACATCAGTCCAGGGGTAACCGACCCGATGGAGATAGCGACCGACGTAGAAGCAAACACGGCTAGGATGAAAACCAGCACGCAAAAGAAAACAAAGCACAATGCGCAAAGGATCGCCAGAGGAAGCATGTTGCAGTAGTGCATCAGATGAACGGGAAGAGCAACAGACAGGGATAGCGAGAGCGGGCAACGGAGCACAGAGAACACCAAGCAGAACGCAGTGGAGCAAGGAGGAGCAAAACGGCGTAACCAGAAAAGGGCGATCGGACAACCTCCTATCTTATGTAAGCGGGAAAGTCTGCAGTCATGGTATAGCCAAATAACATTCTGTTATTTGGAACACGTGGCAAATGCTTAGCAAATGTCAACAGGTTTTTTGCCTTTGTGATCTCAATTTGCTATGGTTCCTTCCCACATTCCGTATTAAGTATTTGTATATAATATGTTGGAGGCAGAAATTTAAATCATATATTTTAAGAAATGACACCATTTTCAAACTCACCAAATACATTTAGAATTTGAGTGCTGTTGAATGTAATCATACATTTTTGAATTCCAAACCATCACATGTATAAAATACCCAGTAGCAGATGAAGGTGTAATTACAAATGACTTTCATTCTAGTAATCTTGGTTAGAATGACTTCAGTAGGGAAGTAGAATGTAGGCATAATTACACCTTTGTCTGCTACTGGATATTTTATATATGTGATGGTTTGGAATTCAAAAATGTATGATTACATTCAACAGCACTCAAATTCTAAATGTATTTGGTGAGTTTGAAAATGGTGTCATTTCTTAAAATATATGATTTAAATTTCTGCCTCCAACATATTATATGCAAATACTTAATACGGAATGTGGGAAGGAACCATAGCAAATTGAGATCACAAAGGCAAAAAACCTGTCGACATTTGCTAAGCATTTGCCACGTGTGCAAAACGCTTCATGTCTGCGGTGTTACGGAAGAGCGGGCTTGGGAAGAGACTCTCTGTCAGACCAATCCTTGCGACTAAACCATGTCGACCGAGTCATTCAATCCCAACCCCATCGTCTTTGCAACCGCAAAGCCCAATCGCAATGTGCCTGTCTATCTGAGAGTCAACTCACTTTGGCTCGATGACGACGAACGGGATCATGAGGAGCAGGATGAATCGAATGATGTCGAGGAGATTGACCAGGATGAGATATTCGGTGCGTCGCAGTGCCGTTTTGCGGACCATAGTGCTTATCTGTGACTTAATTGGGCGTCCATCATATGTCTTCAGAATTAATTCGCTCCATATCCGACCCCGAGCACCGGAGCATGACTCTGGAGCAGCTCGCAGTTGTATCAGCTCCACAAATTAGCTTTGACCCACGGGCACCAGACAGGCTCACCGTTGAGTTTACACCAACGGTTCCGCACTGTGGGATGAGCACATTCATAGGTGAGCCATCCATTTACCAAGACGAGTGCGCATTCTCGCATGTCTGAACTGCGATCTAGGACTCTCTATCCGTGTAAGGCTGTTGCGGAGCCTACCTCAGCGATATAAAGTGGACATCCGTGTGAAGCCAGGATCGCACCAGAGTGAACACGCATGTAAGCTATTTTGTTGTTGAAATAACTTTCGTTCCCTAACGTTCGTACTGCGACATAGTGAACAAACAGCTGAACGATAAGGAGCGCGTCGCTGCTGCTCTGGAGAATCCCGCACTGCTTGAGGTGCTCGAACAGTGTCTATCAACAGCAGGGCGGCAGCCCGAAGGAGCCGCCATATGACGCTTGCCTAGTATGTGCTTGCCAGCCCTTGCCACGCTGCATGCTCATCCTAGGTGTAGATGCTGGTTGTGACCGATATGTTGGAATCCCTCTTGTCCGCTTTCTCAGTGCAATCGTGTGTTGCATAGTACGGCATAATCATATTCTGCAGGGTAAGATTAAATCAACAGCGTACATGGAAGCCATATGCGACTAATGCTACAGTTGTGCAGGCGTCATTATCCACGAGCTACAAGATCTAAAGATGAAGGTATAACTTGTATGCGATACAGTACGTTCGCGAATGCAAAACGACGAGGAATAGTAGCATGTACCAGTAGTAATACGAAGGCAAGACCCGGGGGCCGATGGACTCGAGAGAAGCCATATGAAAGAGTGGTCTCCCATTTCCCATCAGTCTTCGAGGAGGAAATCCCAGTCGATCACGACCTCCGGTGATCGCTTTGTGCACCAACCCATCCCGAACATGCGCTTGCATGCCTCGCGACAACGTGCCTCTGGCTCCCCGCGGTGTACGTCCCACATCCTGAATGTGACGTGACCGTAGGTGTGCACCACGACTTCGTCTTCGTCCGCGCCGCCGCTCAATTTGCCAGGCCAGATATCCTTGTCCGAATACGCACTCGAGTGGTCCTTGTCGGAGATGTATAGGTCAGAGTACTGTTGCGGATCCTGGTCGCACATGGAGATGACGGATGGACGACGGGACTGCGTGATACACGCGTTCTGCAGGATGCGGTTGGTGAAGCCTGCGGAGAAGGTGGTCTTCTTGCAGCTCGCAGAGCGATGAATGTGACCCCTGAAGTCCGATGGAAGCCAGATGGTGACGTCTGCGTCGGACGAGACGTTGACCTCGAGCTGGAATTTGGTTGTTCGTGTGGGGGGAAAATTTCGGCACTAAGCACAACGACACGTTGCGTTAGTACGATTTCGGTGGATCGGCAGCGCACGCGGACTTACGACTTTGATCTTTACCGATTCGCTGGACTCGCTTCCAACATACATAGCGAGCCGATGGTCCAGCGGCTGACTATGGGCACGATAGTGTGGAAGGACAAGCGAGAGGTCGATTGGGCGGCGGTCTGTTTCTAGTGCGAAGTCCCACTTCGAGTGCTCCCCTGCGCCGCGATATTTGACGCGATGTGACCCAGTCGGTTGGTCAAGTAAGCTTTCCGTACCCGCTGGGCATCTAAAGTCCTGAAATTCACGATCACGATGGGAATGAATTTGACTGTCCGCAGTGATGCGCTATCATCGACTTACGTTGAAGGAATGAAAACCAGGCATTGTGACCTTGCGAACGAAAAGAAGGCTGGCCGTGGCCGAGGAAGACGAATGCAAATAGACGTCGGGCACGAATGGGGAGAACGGTACATCTCGACTAGCACATCCTGGTTATATCACTGCTCGCGAGCGGTTGTGTTTCAGTATAAGTACCGCTTTGTGCCAAATAAGGCAGGCCTTGTTTTCGTTCCTCGGCTATGAGTCAACACGTGCTAGGCAGCCGCCTCGACAAGACAACAAACCCATTGTGTTGGATGTTGACGCAGACAATTGCATGGGAATCTGAATCAATATCAACAATAAGACCGGAGTCCATCGTATCTCGTCGACTCCGCGTGTCCGCTGCCCCGCGTTCGCGTTGCCCGCTTCCCAGCTCGCTGCGATATCTCGGTGCCGGGTAAACCGTTCGACTGTACTGGCATGTTCCGTCGTGTCTCGGTGAGTTTGTGTGGCTGACAACCGTGTCTCTCTGACACACTTGGCGCGTTTCGCTGTGTTCTAGATTTGCAACAAGGTTACGCTTATGTTCTGAAAAAAAAAGCGTCAAATTGTCCCAATCACCGTGCAATGGTGTCGATTTGAGCCATCGTACAGATCTAGTAACGTGAATGGCGTTTCCTAAAGGGGGCATCCCGGATAGCACCTTGACTGCGGTGTAGAATTGCCGTGTCTATACGACGATGTGTCCTTCCATTGTACGGAAGCCATTTAACTGAAGGTAGTGAAGTGGTAGCATGGTCACTGCGGACCTGCGTTCAGCCATGTGTGGGCGGTTTCATGGCGGCGTGCCGGTCGTCAAAAAGCTAGATCAGGCGCGCACTTCACACCTTGTCTATGTCTTCGGGTCATTTGTTTCTGTTGGCCGATGGCAGTCTCGCCTTCCAACCGCCGCTTGAAGTGACGAGCGATGCGCTGACGTATCAGGGAAGTCGGCCACGAATCTCAGGAGGTTCACAATCTCCAGCCTTGCTACCCGACCAGCGTTTCACGTTTGCGCATATCTATGGGAGCTGAGCGAGACCTTTGCTGATACGTTCACCCGCCGAGTGAGTGATACTGGAATCATACGGTCTCATTAAGTTTTGCAGCAGCAGACTTCCAAGACAGTGAGCGTTCAGCGCTCAGCAGGTGCGTTGTTCCCTTTCGAGCAAACAATAAATAGAGGTAAGTGCAATTGCAAGCGGCGATTGTTCTGCTCCTACCACACCGTCCGGACAATTGAACCGTGCAGGGGCATAAAGGATGATGACGAACGGTCATTGGAGCGACAGTACAAAGCCCATGGAAGATGCGGTAGTAGAGCGTGCTCAGTTAAAGATGATTGTTGTCATGAGAAGCTGCAACGATTTTATGACACGTATTATGTGCGTCAGCAAGCAGAATTACTCAAGACTGATACTGCCGTTCCGAGTCGCAATCAATTCGGGTCCTCCATGCGAATGCCAAAGCATTGTTAATTGCCTTTCTAATATTTTTGGTTCATACGAATGCGATTCAGAACGTATGATGTGCGATCCAGAAGTGACACAGCACTGATCGTGGGACATGTTTCAATGGACTCGGAGTACGGCATTTCGTGCTCGGGTCCCGGGCTCTAGATCTTCATTGAGGCTGCGCGCAATGTGCATATCTAGTCGTGACACATCTGTTTATGAGCGTATCAAAATGCCCTGAAATTCCACGTTACTTCACTACGTTGCGTTCGGCGTGCGAGCGTGTCTAATCAAAGCCAAAGCAGTTTATGAGATGTGTATCGGACAGACAGCTCGCATTCCTCACAAGCGGAATAAAATGTTCACTGGCAATACATCACACCACTCGCCAACACATGGGGTGGTCGTTCTATGACACACAGGATCTGCGGTCACACACTCGACAACACGAGCTTGTCACATGTGGATAACGGCTTTCCTCGTTTGGAAACTTTCCGTCACTCCGATCACTCGGTGATAGCCGCGAACCACGTGGCCGCGTTTGTACGCGAGGCGTGCCACTCTGCCTTTCTCTTTCCGCAACTTTCATCACTATAACCATATTTTCTCGGCCGAACATGGCACCCAAGGTCAGTCGCAGTCATAGATAAGGTCATAAGGAGCGAGTCTGAGGCAAGGCGCATGTAGAGGAAACGCGCAGAAGCCGCAGGTGAACCCAGTGCGCGCGTTACGCGTGCATCATCGCGCGCTAAGGGCATCGGAAGTGGTGCTATCGCTTCAGAAGGAAGCGTGGTGCCTGAAGCAGCAGGATTAGAGAGACTAAGCGAGGTAATCCCTGCAATGAATGCTGAACGCCTTGGGTTGATTGAGACTTGTCGCGAAGTCCGACGTACCCGTGCTCAAGAAAGCTCGGAAAAGTAGGGCAAAAGGCGCTAGCACCAGAATCAGAGGCAGAGATGGAAATAAAGCGTGTGTGATTCCTCCTCCTCAAAACCGCATGGGACGCTTACTTGGATTCTATAGCGATAATGAAGTACGTGATATTCCATTTATGGGCTGTATGCGTGACCAACAATTGTTCAGCCACAGATCGAGTAAGTTCTGTCCAACCACGTTGCCAGGCGAACCACGTTGTCAAGTGCGTTTACTTGCAACACTGGACTTCACTGCAGCCTTCTTGAGCAGTGTCCTGGTTGACATTGCTCACTGTTATCACGGGCTGGCTTGAATCCTCATGAATATTTCCTCCCTCTTGTGTTGCGTTCCTAATAAGAAAACTCGCAGTACACAGGAGTCTGCGTCTCCTTCAACAGATGTTACTTCCAAAATAATCCCACTCTCAAGCCCTCAATATTACACTGTCGCCAGTGCTGGAGCTCTTTTCCGCACGTATGCGGACCCAGACGACCCATCTGTTGTAGGACCGGAGGGCTTTACACGCCTCTGCTCTGACACGGGAATATCGTTAGACGGCGCGCTTCCGTTGGTGCTTGCGTGGCAAATGGGTGCAGCTGAGATGGCCAAAATCAATTTGAGCGAATGGGAGAAGGGTACGGCAGAGCTTAGGTTGGCTTCTCAATTCTACTACTGTCGAAATATGATCCGCTAACAAGATCCGCGGGTTTTCAACATTGACCTTCTCCTCTATACTTAGAATATCTGATTTGAAGGTGTTGTCTATTGCTCTACATGACTTGGAGGATCTGCTGCTCTTGGGAAAGCCACCAATGAAACCTTCGCTGGCTACGCAAAACCGGAAGAAAGCGACTTCTTCATCTCTAGAACCCTACAATCGTGCACGCTATTACAGATACGCTGAAGATCCTCAAAAGGCATTCAACGAGCTTTATTCATTCTGCTTCGCCCTAGCCAAGCCACCGTGAGTGTGAGGTTATCATAAGAAATGACCCATGCTTAACACGCGAGCTTGAAGTCAAGCAAGAAACATCGACATGGAGGTCGGTTGCCCGAATCCCGACTGTAATGTTCTGACAACTCATAAAAGGTGTTCTTAGACTGCGAGCGCATTCTGGTCGGTCTTGATCGTCCCCCGATATCCGTTAATGTCTGAGCTGCTCCAATTCATCAATGTACGTTCTTTCTGCGGTCTCATTCACTACTCCGCTGCATCGAGTTTGTTATGCAGGACAAAGGAACGTACAGAGGTGTCAATAAAGATCTGTGGAACATGGCACGTGTCAATGTCATCCGCAGCAACTATGGCATTGTTTTATTCACTTGAACTCTTAAGGCGCTCGAGTTCGTTCGCACAATCGATCCAAACCTATCCAATTATGACGCAGATGGGGTAAGTATTCCGTAATCTGACGGTTGGGTCATCTTATTCCTTCAACCCTGTAGGCATGGCCCACAATGCTTGACGATTTCGTTGCGTGGAAAACAGGCAAGAGCGCCGGAGAAGCATCGGCGCGAGCTACCGTCGACACTACGGACTAGCGACGAGTTATAATGACAGGACTGTTATGGAAGCATATCTAATGCCACGATCGCAATGGTCTAATATTGCTGCATCCAATGTCTTTCTATTTCCTCGGTTTCTTTATTCCACCTCCAACGTTTAGCTCCAAGTCCGAATGAGCGATCTGCAGGATGTCTTCAATCATGACATGCAGCTTCCCATCCGAGTCTGGTACTGAGCGTTGAGCGTGTTCATTTTCGTGCTGCATATTTTAAATTAGGCACCGCCTTTCCTTTCGATCAGTATTTTCGCGAGACTCATTCCACGCTACAATGTTCAGCAGACACTCACCTTCTTCCTCAGAGATGAATAGCGTCCCCAAAGCTGGCGGTGAATGGAAAACGTGTATAATGAGCCGCTATCGCCTGGAAATATGGTTCATCCGCCATCCCGCCATTACATCGTCAGGTGTCCATTCGAAATGCACACGTACCGCTGCGTGCATCTCAGAAAGAAGTCGAAGCTACCGTCGGATTGGGGTGGTAGACATCTTTCCTCCAATACCTTTGCCTAATGCAGTTTGACATGGTTCTTCACAGGGTCCCGAGTACGACCTTATGCATGCGAGCGGCACTTCGGCACGGAGACGGGAAGATGTGAGATATAAAAGCGGTCGGAACTATCATTTCGGCCTGAGCATCATGGGCCTGACGATCGTTACATTGGCCCTCATCCTGGGCACGGTACTTGCAACTGTGTACTTCCGGCTATCCTCAAACAAGGACTCTTTACCATCTGGCCCTCCAGGGCATTGGCTGCTGGGCAATGCACCCTCTGGCCCTCAGTATGCACTGACTCACGATTGTTCGCCTCAGCATGGATTGACTTGTAGTCTTTCAGTGCATCCCGTCGTGTCGCTGAGCTCGTTGAGGCATATGGGCCCGTCATCACGCTGCGATATGGAATTCGCCTTGTATGTGTCGTCGGACGCTATGAGGTCAGGTGCAGTTACGGATAAGGCGTGTTCGCAACCTCACGTTTCCATGACCTGAACAGGCCGCTGTAGACATTCTTCAGAAGCATTCGCTAGAGACGTCAGATCGACCACGGGCCATTGTGGCTAATGAGATTCTCTCAAAGGGCCTGCGCGTCCTGATGGTGCGGGCGGGCGATCGTCTGAAGAGAATAAGAAGGTACATGCATAAATGTCTAGGAAGGACATCCGCAATTGCTGATTTTGCAGCAGAGCACTTCATGCATATCTCCAGCCCTCTGTAGCAGTGACGTATACGCCCATTCAGTACAGGTACGCGAAGAAATACATCGTGGACTGCTATCGCAAGCCGGACGAGCATCTTGAACATGCAAAGAGGTGCGAAAGTTTAATAATGGTTTCATGATTTCTGCTAACACGACTCAGTTATGCGGCGAGCCTCGTTTTGACCATAGCCTATGGCAAGACAAGTCCGAGCTCATACTCGGATCCGGATGTGCGCGCGATTAACAAATACCTGCAGCGTCTGACTGTTGCACTGAGGCCTGGAGCTTATCTCGTGGAATCCTTCCCATTCTTGAAGTATATACCCGGATATCTCTCTCATTTCCACCGCTGGCAAAGGGAAGAGAATGCATTGTTTGCCAGCCAGCTTGAAGCTGTCAGAAGGAAGATGGTACAGCCCCCTCCATCCTGTCGCGGCTGTATGGAAGATGAAATTTCTTTTTTGGATACGATAGGAAGCAGGAGAAGCAGAGTCATGTTTTGCTGCATATCTAATAGAGAATCAGGAGAGATTGGGCCTGTCCTATGACGAGATGGTTTACGTGGCAGGTGCGGTTTTCGGCGCAGGATCTGACACTGTGAGCTCTTGTACTTGCAATTTGCCTGTTGCTGGCGCTGAATTGCTTTTGTCAGACGGCCGCGGCGCTGGGCGTGGTGACAATGGCTGCAGCCTGCTACCCCGAAGCACAGAAGGCAGTGCAAGCTCAGTTGGATCAGGTCGTTGGTCGTGGTAGATGTGAGTACTGGATTTCTGTAAGTATAACGCGCTTGTTCATGGTTTCCATGCACCAGTGCCTTCTTTCGAGGATCAGGATATGCTACCTGAAGTGACTGCCTTCGTGTTAGAATCGTTCCGATGGCGGCCTGTCAGTGTCGGAGGTTCGTCACTCGCTTGCTCATAGTAACATACGTCCCATAACCCATAATCGTCTGTAGGATTCTCTCATCGGACGATGAAGGATGTTATCTGGGTATGTCTGAAATGTAATTTGGTCATGAGCTCTCTCCTAATTTCCCATTGCAAGAGAAACTATGTGATCCCAGCAGGTACAGAAATCGTCGGGAACCACTGGTGAACATTCCATCAAACACCTTCCATAGCGATCTTGTTGATCTTGTTTAGGGCTATATCGCGAGACCCGGAGGTATATCCGGACCCTGAGACCTTCAACCCGAGGCGTTGGCTAGATGGGCAGGGCAGGCTCAGAGACGACCTCAAATTTTTCAACTTCGGCTTCGGTCGTAGGTGAGAGTTGAATTTGCTCCGATGGTGTTAACAATGTTACGACGAGGAAACCTGCCAGGGTATGCATTGGACAGCATGTCGCGAACAAGTACGTCGCTGCTACTGTCAGAAAAGCTATAAAATCTCACTACGTGTTGAGCAGCTCTCTTTTTATCAACACGGCCCTTATATTATGGGCATTCAGCATTACGCAGAATCCCTCCAAGCCGATCGATACGTTCGCATTCACAGATTCAGCCAACAGTCATCCCCTGCCGTTCTCAGTATCTTTGCAGCCGCGAGTTAAGAACCTTGAGGAGTTGCTTGGCATTACTGTGCATGTAGCATCGGTAGATTACTCTTGAGAGTGCCGAATGAAGGAGGATTCGAGGCTCATGTGCCCAGAGAGTTGCCTTATGTGGAGAAGTTTATAACAGCCACTTCGGCAAAGGGTGACTTCCCACGCCCCTTCAGTCTCAACTTCTTCAGTCTCAACTTCTTCCTAATGTCCAGCAGAGCCGGTGGACTCTACGGAGGCATCCAGTTCTCCTCTGCGAAAGCATTTTCTTCTTCATCTGCTCCGCAAGAGAACGTCGCAGCACCTGTCACTGCCGCAATCATCGAGAAACCCCAGGTCTCGAGAGCGGCACCGGCAGATGATCGGTCGTCATCAGCTCCTGCAACGCAGAATGCAGCAGCGAGCCCCAGTGCAGCAGCTGAAGCAGGCGCCTCAGTGAAGGCTACAGCCGGTATCTTCCCCTCTTTCGCGGCCTTGCCAATGTAGAGCTCGTTATTCACGAAATCATCGTTCATGCTATTTTCGCATCGCAATATCGGTTGCGCGGATGCTACCAGGATGGTCCGCCAGTCTCGCCTTTGCGCCAGTCCGTCGACATTCAGCACAAAAAGCCAAGGTTTCCGCCGTGCCACGGCTCCCTGTGGGTGCAGCGGTTACCGCTGCTCAAGCCGCGACCACCTCGCCTACCGCGGTAATCTCAAGCACTGCAGTTGTGTTCGCGCCACCGGCCTTGGTAGAACCCGCAAAGCCTGCAGAGTCTCAAAGCCAAGGGCAAGGATGGGGCAAGAAAGTCAAACCGCCTTCCATGATTCTGGATGAGGACATCAATGGATTCAAGGCGCGGCGGGGAGAGAAACGCAGCGGAGGCGGAAGGAAGAAGGGAAAGAAAGTATGTGGATGATTGTGTCGCAGTTTTGTTTCCGATGATGAAATACGTTCTCAGAACAAACATGCGGCAGTCATCACAGTATGGGAACCCAACGAAGCGTATGATCCAATGCGACCGAACGACTACAACGAATACAAAGTCTACAAGCGTAGGGAGCACGAAGAGCGCCGTGAACGCATGCTTGTTGAGAGGCAGCGTGTGGAGGAGCGCAAGAGATACCGTAGCAGTAGCTATTCCGACAGTTACGGCAGTGAATCTGAAGAGGAACGCCCTCGCAAAGCCGGTAGGCCTGCATTCCATGATGTAACGCATCTTGCATTCGCCTCATCATTGGTTTGATCGCCCTAGGTCGGTATGACGACCATGAGGAAGAGGACTATGACCGACCCCGCGGGCTTGGTAGTGTGGCACCATCCAATCCACCGCCGGCCCTTGTGGGCGTTAACCTCACCGGCGACGAGGCTTATCAGCGCCGTCTTGCCATGTCAGCTGGCTTCCGACCCGCATCTTCTCCAGTCCCTGTTGCAGCGCCAGCCCCGCACGTTGCACCGACTCCGACGTCCGCAGACAGGCGATCTCCTTCGTCTGTTACACCTCGTCTCCCGACAGAGGCCACAACTCCTACCCTGTCGGAGGATAGGGATGATGAAGACATTCCTGGCCTCGGTGGTTCTGGTTCTGTTAATGCCGCGGCACTGCCTGCAACCGCACTCTCAGCAGCAGAGACTGGGGAGGAAGCATATCTGCGGCGTGTCGCCATGTCTCAGCCCCATCCAGCACCCAGTGCGCCTATACATCAGGATCCTGAAGAACATCCGCTGGCGTACAATCCTTTTGTCCCTCCATCTTCCGCGCCTCCGCCCCCGGCACCTATGCCGGTGCTTCCTGCAGGCTTCTCGGAAGAGAAGGTGCGCAGCAGTCGGGAGGCTGCAGCGGCTATCGCGGCAAAATTGAAAGCACTCGCACCTCCACCTGGGACATCTGAACCATCTGCACCTTCTGCTGGCAGCGTGACAGAATCAGAACCCGCATCTGAACAGAGGTGCATTATCATTTCAATCTGCAGGATCTGCTGTTACTGACAAGTCTTCTCTGACTAGACCGGATCCGCATGGGTTCGCCGCCCGCCTAATGGCTAAGTGGGGCCATAAGGAAGGTCAAGGTCTAGGTGCAGATGGAGGCGGCATTGTGCATGCGCTCACCGTAGAGCAAGTTACTGGAGGGAAAGGCAAGGGCAAAGGCAAAGGCAAGGAGGCCGGTGGTAAGGCGATAGGATCTGGGCCCAAGATGGGCAAGATTGTCAACTTGAATGAGGATGCAAAGACCAGAGAAGACCGGGAGCGCTTTGGAGAGCCCAGTCGAGTTGTTGTACTCACGAACATGGTTGGTCTTGAGGATGTGGAAGACGAAGAGCTCAGAGATGAGATAGGTGAGTCAAAAGTTTCGTCGGCTTCTGGCATCGGGTTGACTATATATTATATTCATTTTAGGTGAAGAATGTTCGAAGAATGGCACTGTCGAGCGAGTCGTCGTTCATCCTGTCTACCCGCCTCCTGAGAACCCCGAAGAAGCTGTCCGCATTTTCGTTTTGTTCGCAGGACCTGCTGGAGCTTGGAAGACGGTGAGAGAATTGGATGGGAGGTACTTCGGAGGTCGAAGTGTGCGAGCGCGCTACTTCCCTGAAGCTCAGTTCAACAAGTTTGCCTTTGATATACCATTGTGATGCGGCCGGATTAGTTCTTGAATGTGTTGTTGTATTGCGTTCCATCTCTCATCTAATACAAAACATCCTTTTCAAAGGTTTCAAACCCAGAACTCTCTCGATTCTTTGCCATTCCTACTGAGTACTTGGTAGGAGGAACGTCCTGTATTGTTGTCCGTACTTTACATTCAGACTTCACTCCTTGATTACCGATGAATTTTGAGAATGCAGAAGGATAAGGACGGACGCAAAGCTGAAATACAACACATAACCACAGTCGGATCTCTTCCCCAACGAGCTCCATGTTCCCGCACACAAATCATCTAATAGACGCGCTTGAACGGCGGCACGTGCTTGCACTCGTTCTCGTCCAGTGTCCTGTCGTGAACTTTGCGGTACTTGATCGTGACGTCGGGCTTCTCGACGTCCGGCAGCCATGTCAGGGTATGCTTCATCCATTTCTCATCGTCACGCTGTCAGTTCGATGCATTAGTGCGACTATTACGCTACCACGGAGTGAACGAGGAGACCGACCTCAGGATAGTCCTCACGTGCGTGCGCACCACGAGACTCCTGACGGGCAGCAGCAGCAGTGATGGTCTGAACGGCACACTGGAGAAGGTTGCGAAGTTCAAGCGTCTCAATGAGATCCCTGGTATCGCAAAGTCTAAGTCCAATCAATCACGGGAGCTATCCGCGAGCTACTCACGAGTTCCAGATCATGCTCCTGTCCTTAATGCCGACCTGCTCGTAGGTTCGGTAAATCTTGTGCAGCTTCTTCACACCTTCGTCAAGAGTCGATTGTGTGCTATCGGCTTGCATGAGTAGCTGCGAGGCCATAAAACTTGTCATTACGCTCACCGGAAGACAGCGGCGTCAGCCTGCATGGCCTTCTGCATGTCGAGACGGATTTTCGCTGTGTGGATGGGGCCGTCCGATTTTCTATGCAGCACGCAATGAGGGATATGCCTAGATTGAGGAACGCGTCAACCATACCTGATCATGTCCAAGAACTCAACACTGTGCAGGCCAGCCTCCTGAGGGATCGCCTTGTGGGGCTTGCCAGGATTGAGCGTCTCCTTGATATGATGCGCGCAAGCACGACCGAAGACGACGATGTCCAGGAGTGAGTTCGCACCGAGACGATTCGCACCGTGCACGGACACACACGCAGCCTCACCGGCGGCGTAGAGACCCGGCACGACCTTGTCCTTGCCGGTCTGCACAGAGCATCATCAGAGCAGTTTGGACAAGGGGCAACTGCGCTCTAAGTACCTCGTCGACCGTCAAAACTTCACCCGTGTACTTCGTGGGGATACCGCCCACTGCAGGCAAAAGACGTCAATACAGTCCTATGCGCCACATAGAAATGACGTACTGTTGTAGTGGACAGTGGGCAGGACAGGGATGGGCTCCTTCGTTACGTCGACACCAGAGAAGATCGAAGCAGTCTCCGAGATACCGGGCAGACGCTCGTGGAGAATTTGGGGGGGCAAGTGGCTGAGCTGCAGGAAGAGATGGTCCTTCTCAGGACCAACGCCACGACCCTCGCGAATCTCTATCGTCATGCTACGGGACACGACATCACGAGATGCAAGATCCTTCGCGGTCGGTGCATAACGCTCCATGAACCGCTCACCCTCGGAGTTGATGAGGTATCCTCCCTCACCGCGCGAACCTGTACACATAGTCAGTCCGCGCGCACTTAGTGTAGCATATATGCAGTCACACCTTCAGTGATCAGACAACCAGCACCGTAGATACCAGTGGGGTGGAACTGAACGAACTCCGGGTCCTGGAGGGGAAGACCAGCGCGGGTAACCATCGCGTTACCATCACCCGAGCAAGTGTGCGCACTCGTGCAACTGAAGTATGCACGTCCGTAGCCACCAGTAGCAAGCACAGTTTTGTGTGCCCTGAACCGGTGAAGCGTGCCGTCCTCCATATTCAGCGCCATGACACCAACACACTCGCCATCCTGCATAATGAGGTCGAGCGCGAAGTATTCGATGAAGAAGTTTGTGTTGTGTCGGAGAGACTGGCCATAGAGTGTGTGCAGGAGCGCGTGGCCCGTACGATCGGCAGCGGCAGCGCATCGGTAGGCTTGGCCACCTTTACCGAACTTGAGGGACTGACCACCGAATGCACGCTGGTAGATTTTTCCCTCCTTGGTTCGGGAAAAGGGAACACCGAAGTGCTCGAGCTTAATAGGATGTCAGGGATCGCGACCGCGTTTGCGAGTAAATTGCAGACCATACTTCAATAACTGTGCGAGGCGCCTCCCGGCACATATAGTGAATCGCATCCTGGTCACCAAGCCAATCTGAACCTTTGACCTAGAAGGATGATCTCATCAACGCGTGAACTAATACGCGAAACGTTGAAATACCCTACCGTGTCATACATATGCCACCGCCAATCATCTTCAGTCATGTTCTAACGCGGATGCCATCATCAAAGTGAGATTTTACAAATTGAGGTCTCAAAGCTTACACCGAGTGCGGCATTGATACCGCCCTGAAACCATTTGATTAGGATGCACAGTGAACAGCGCGAAAGGTGACATCATACCTGCGCGGCGACAGTGTGGCTTCTTGTCGGGAACAATTTGGTGATGCATGCAGTGTTAAACCCGGCCTCAGCAAGACCGAACGCAGCTCGCAGACCAGCGCCTCCGGCACCACTAACATGAGGAATGCGCGTGAGATCAGCGTGCAACAATCACGGTGGTAAAAATGCGCTCACACTACGATAGCGTCATATTCGTGCTCAATCAAAGGATAGTTGCCTGAGGCCCATGACTGGCAAGCGAAATGAGAACTCGCCCGCCAGCAATCGTATTCGAGGAACCTACCGGAACCTCCTGAGCCTTCACCGGGTTGGTCGCAACAACTCTGCTCGCCGGCGCGGAGGTGTGGAATGACCGGTGGGATGCGCGCAAGGCCTTCGACAACGTTGTCCTAAACATGTCGCTGGAGAAGACAGGCCCGACGCTGAAGACAACGACGAAGGAGAGAGACGAGGTCGAGCGAGTTCGCACCTTGATGCGAGAGCCTCGGTCACGAACGACCGAAATTCCCGTCCGTCTCCGATTCCACGTGATTTCCCCGCGTCGCGTGCGCGGCGGCCGCGAGTCTCGATCGGCCAATCAGGATCCTCCAATTATTACAGGTATATTGTCTCTAGGACGTACATCCATAGCACAAACCAGAACACATGCACGCTACAGCGAGCATTATAGCAGTTACGACAAAGCTCCTAAAGGATCCTGCTGCACCGTGCGTGGAGCTTGATCGGGCGAAGTCGCTCGCTGCTGCTTGGACACGGGCGCAAGCGGAGAAAATGCGGACGTTGCGGGCTGTGGCCGCAGTGCCGTCGACGTCGGCGGAGGCACCCGAGGCAGCGTCGCAATGGGCGACTCGCGGCTGGAGAAGTCAGACCGAGTAAAGTTCCAGGGTGCGACGACCTTCGCATCCGCGTTTTGCCTGAGCGCGGAAGGGTTTGGTGGCAAAGACGAAGAAACGTGGAGCGATGGTTGGCTGGGAGAAGTGTGAATCGCAGAACGAGAAGGCGAGCCCGCCGTCATCTGGCGCAAGAGCGAATCCGTGGACCCGCGTGGACGATGAGAGGCAATCTGAACAGGCGAGGCTGTCGCGGCAGGCTGTGGCACCAATGGTGCTGCCCGCTGACGGTTCCTACTCTCCTCTTTCTCCTTCTCCTGCTGCTTCCTCAGCTCCTTCCTTCTCTTGAATTCTTCTTCACTAACCAAACGCTCTTCATCCACGTCTGTGACAGTACCCTTCAGAACATCCCGCACATACGCGAGGCACTCCACTGCCTCTCGTTTCCTATTCCGAACTGTTTTTTTCTGGTTCTCATCCCGAACGCTCTCCTCGTCTTGCAAAAGCGTGTCTACAATCCACGCAACCGAATCCCCAAGCCGTCTCTGAAGCGCGCGCCGATCGGAAACCTCACGCTCCACCTCAAAGCGCGAAGGATGCTCCCACAGCGACCGTTCAGAAGGAGGCCTTTCATCGACCAGAGGGTATGCCGCATAGGTGCTCTGCGGTGGCGAGAGGGGCAAGAGTCCAAGTGATGTAGTCAGATCTGGCAGATTCCGCTGGTGCATACAATCAGCCACGGGTTCCTCAGTAGACTTTGTTTCAACCGTACCTTTAGCTCGGAAACAGCATTCATGACAGTCTTGTTGATTCCAAGACTCTCACCACGTTCGAGCAAACCTCGAGCCCACGCCTCAGGCAGGCCCAAAGGCGTCGACTGCTGCCGCGCGTGATTAAGCCTGGAGATAGGACCTCGCGAAGAGGCCCGAGTGCTAGAAGACGTTGAGAACGAACTCCGCTCGCCAGGACGAGACCTCCGCGTCGGAGGCGCTGGCGGTGGCTCGGGTACCTCAACCGGGATATTCAGCATGTTCCTATTTTCATTAATGATGGACAGCCCTGTGGCGAGACCCGGCGACATCTGCAGTGTCAGAGCTTGTCGGAGTAGGAGATTCGCGCGATGGATAGTCAGTTTGTCAGAGCTAGATTGGGACAGTGAGGGAGGAGAAGGGTATCGCAGAAGGTAGGTCAGTTGACCGCTGTAGTCAGAGGGTATCACTGTACTTTGCTTAAGTGTTATGAAACAACGTGGCGCAGTGCAGTGGACGTACATTTATTGCGTATACGAATGAGCATTGCCACGCAAATCCACTGGGCCAAGTCGAAGGTAGGGTCGCAAGCGAAGAGGCCGTCCCAAATTATCATAGAATCGTGCATGTCAAATTCGCGGGTAAATAATAAACGCAGCCAACGTCTGTTCATGCACCATGATCAATATTAAACCCTCTTTTCTCTCATAAGATCGCTTACATTCCGTAGATCTGCGGCTCGATTCCAGCATTCTGCATGCTCTTCCACAGCTCTGGATCGACCGACTTCAGATAGATTGATTGGATCCGGTTGCATGCTTCGACGATCGGGGCAACGTAGGGCTTCAATGTGTTTCCTCCTGAGGATACGTTGAGCTGAACATGCGAAGCCAATGGCAGCTTCTCCGTCACCGTCTTGCTCTCCTGCCATTCATACCACCGGCCTACTCCTTTCATCACAGACGCAAAGAGCATCCAAGCATCCGCAGCGACCCACGCGCGCGAACAAAACTCTTCAACATCCGAGTCATCTAGGTCAGCATTGCCTTCGTCTATGGAATCGAAGTCGACAGCGTAGTAGAGAGGAGCGAGAAGTTCGTGCATTCCTTGGCGGTAACCTATATCTGGATGCATGACTGAATAGATGTAGAGGATGTTTGTCAGTTGCGTCTGCACTTCGGCATCTCGGAAGTACCCAATGTCAGGGAACCTGTGGCACAGTAAGCTGATGCATACTGCATAAATCAAAACCACGTACGTGCGCTCCACGTCTTGGAGGATAGTCTTGCGCAACTCAACAGATGCGAACCATTCTGTCCATGGGTTCTGATGTGCGCGTCACCTATCTGGAATAGTCCTGCAGAGCGGTGCCACATACCTGATCATCCAAACTCAATGGATTGTTCTTCTCAAGATCCTGTCGGGATTGTTGGATCCGAGGAGGCGAGGAGCCTGTTCCAGGAATAATCAGACCCTCCTCATAGCTCCCATCTGGTGCCCTCATCTTCTCCAGCAGCAATGCAGTATACTCCTTGCGGCCCGCTCTCAACGCTTCGAGAGGGGGCACGGCACCAACAACTGCCGGCGTCTGCAGCGGTTCGGCCTGCACAAGAAACAGCTGAAATCAGGTAGTTATCGTCGCGCCTCAGCGCCACCGTTACTGCAACAGACAGACGCGAGCACACCTTCCAAGCAAGACTCCGTCCGGGTACCCCAGGCGTATCGTCCGCAGCACAGAACAGACGACCACCGAGCGCAGCGTCCTTGATCTTGGACAGGCTGAGTGCGGAGTGGAATAGGTGGTCATATGCATCCCTGGTGCGACAAGAGGTTACGAGGCTAGACCTCTCAACCAAACGTCAAGCGTAAGACAGACTTGATTTTCTGCACTTCGGGTCTAGTCCGTCGCTCAGCCATGTCGACCGGGGGGTTGTTATATCAGGAATATGACTATATAATAGACAGCAGCAGGCGACGGCACTATGCGGAAGATATGTGGCAGTGCTGCCGAAGAGTGAGCTGGCCACGAGGAGGTTGCAGCGTATCGTCTGCCGTCGAAGTTGCTCGGCGCTAACTTTACGCGCTGGGGGAAGTTTCCGATCGAGATCGCTGATCGCATCGCAGATGGATCAGGCAATGGACACAGTGTGATTTTATACCAACGACAGCGGCAGTACAACAAGACAATCTTGTAACATACAAAAAGAGAGTCAAGGGACTCAATATCGATTAGATCCGAGTCCGTTCAAATCAGCCACTTTTCATCAGTACCTCAACGGAGCGCACGGGCCAGGGACAATGAACTTCGACTCCACCACGACGCCGCTATCAATCAATCAGAACCACATCGACACCGAGAAGCTCGTTTCTTCGCCACGCATCGCATGCCACCACCCCGGGGGGAAGAACAATAGGTCACCCGGCTCAAGCGTGACGCTCATCGCCCGTGGTACGACATCTTTCCAGAACAGCGGCAGCGCACCGCCACCCGCATCGTCACGGCGCTGGAACACGTCCACTCGTGATGTGTTGCTCATGGATGGACTGGCGTTATTGGCAGCTGGATTGTGTGGCTGGTCCGACGTGCTCTCTGAAGGCGGTGGATAGGGATACATGGACGGTGTCACATCTGGCGGGGAAAGCCACACGGTTTTCCGGCCTACGACTTGAGCTGCTGTTCCTTGAGCGCGCATAGTGACAAATCAGGAAAAATTGGCATACCATAGAAGTTGTAATATGGATCCTGCATCAGATGCTATATGAATGGTAGCTGACTATCCGGCGAAGAAAATGCTCACCGTGTGCGCTGGCGACACAGCGCCGCTGGGGCCCAGCCAAGCATTCAGTACGAGCTGGTCGTCATTTGCAGGTGCTACGTAACCAGGGAAGCCCGCAGGCGGGGGTAAAGAGGCGTAAGCGTAGTCAGGGATCAGAATGTCATTCCGCAATTTGGGGAACTGCTTAAGTAGATTATGCTGTGCTAAATACAGCGGCTGCTGCCTTGTCTGGCCATCATCAGGCGTTTTCTGGTCAAGGGCATCCAAAAACGTATCCCACGGCATCAATGCTTGAGTCCAGTCATCTTGCCTGTAATCATTTCCAATCTCGACTGGGACCAGTCGCCCAGGACCAGCAACGTAGCGCAGATACTCCACGAATTTCCACGGATGTTCATGCAGAGCGGGCCAATCTCGGATGTAACCCGGCAGGACGAAGGGAGACTGTGAGTATTGTTTGACGAACGCAGCCAGAGACGGTGGAGAGTCAAGTCGAGGGACAGAGCTTAAGGCACTCTCCAGAGTCATGAGAGGAGAGACGGAAACATCTCGAGAGTTTGGCGAAACTGCGTTAGCGACAAAGGCAATGTCCTCTACTCCCAGGCAATGAGATTGAATTTGCTCGATGATGTCGTAGATAATCTGTAGTCTTCTCTCCCCAGGAGCGCCTGCAATGATTATTGCTTTATCCAGAGAAGCTATAGCAGATCTGGCCGCTTGACGGTCCAGAGTTTCTGCATATTCGCATAGGTTCACCAACGCTCGGAGAATGGATGCATCCGTGTACAATCGCCTCTGCAGTGACGAGTCTGCATGAGGAGCTGCAGACATGGCTTCGTACGCTTGCTGGATGAGATCGTCGAGATCCACCAATATGGACTCATTGTAGAGCTCCTCGTCCAAAAAGTGCGATGTGACGTGATCATACAGGCGTCTATAGTCTAAGTATGTTTAACCGAAAGATACGTCAGAATCGATGATTGGGCGCGTTCTGCTGCTTGTCTCACCGGATGTCAAAATTTTTGAGCCATCTTTCAGTTCCTGGAGCACTTCGCCCACGAAGTACTGAGCAAATGACTTGATGGACATGATGAACGCCCATTAAAAAGGGTCTTGCCGAAAGCTGATGCACAAGATATGGACACACTGTGGTTGCGTCCGTGATCAAGTAAGCGAGGGTGAGTTTTGTGGACTCCGACGATCCGGCGGCCCGAGATTTTGGCCAAGATAAACACGAGATCTGCCGTACACGGATCTGATCAACGGTCTCGGCCGCACGTGGGCATACCGAGTGCGTGCAGTCCGGTGCCTCTGCAGAGATATTCCGCCCGCACTGCGGCACAAGACCCGTCCTAGGCTCTCGCCTGTGGGCTGGTGGCTGGATAGGCAGCACCGCCACAGAGGACGACGCAAAGAGCCGGTTGGTCACATGTGACAGGCGCTGTCGTAGATGACCGTAGAGGCGTCACGCGTGACGATGGCAATTTTCCGTCACAAGGGCAGGGTGATAAAAGGTGCAACGCGTCGCGGCGAGGAGCGTGAGAACGTCCCCGTATACTGCCTTCGATCCTCCTCACCGGCGCGTCCGGTCCGGCGCCACTTTCTATACAATATGACTTCCAGGCATGTGCGCCCTCACATATAAGGCAGGCGTAGTCGTACTCACCTCCCGCCACAGGTTGGATCGTCTCCTCCTCCTCCTCGATACCGGCTCGTCCAGCTCCGTCAGGAATACCGCAGCCAAGCAGCTTGCTCAGCTCGCCGCAAAGAGCGTCATCGGCGATGTATCTCTAGTCGAAGAGGATGTAAAGGCAACCCGCCAACATGTATCGGTCGCCGACCAGTCTGCCTGGTCGGAGCTTATGGCCGTTGTAGCTCGAGTGCGTTGTATTTTCAATGTCATTACAGTCGCGCCGAGGCTCAATAGGATTAGATTCTTCCATATTTACATTCCAGGTCCCATGAAACGCGCAGCGCTGCGTCTACCGCGCTCTCGCAAATATTCACTCTAGTACCGCTATGGCAACCATGTCCTGACGCGGACAGTAAAGATCTTGAACCTCCCACCTCATTACCGCCGCCAGAGTTCCCTTCGTTTTCTGTACGCGAACTGATGGAGAAGGGAACACTTCTGCTAGCATCCTCAGGGAAAGAATTCACAAAGCCGACCGGCATCCTAGCCAGCTCATCCGAAGTGAAGAAAGCTCGCAAAGAAGCAATGGGCCGCCTTGGTCTAGGCTTCCTCGATAGCTTCGGTGAAGAAGATGACATGGATATCGAGAAGGAACTGGTCGCCGACGAGGTTGACCAGGACGCCGACATGGAAGCTGGAACGAAGGTAGAAGAAGGCTCTCCTGTTTCGGATACTGTCTTCGTCAAGAAAGAGCCCTCCCCTCCTACGCGTTCCAGGACGACCACTCCGGCTGTGGCTATCAGTGATACCATCGATGTAGCCATGACAGACGACACATCCGCGCTATCCGCTCGCGAGCGGAACAGGTTGAAGCGCAAGCGCAAGGCGGGAAATGGAGCTTACGTTGCACCTCCGCCTCAGCAAGCTTCTGGGTCGAAGTACACCGCGACGACTGCTGGGCAATCCAAGTGCGTCATTTCGTGCTTTCTTTTAGGTACGTCAGCTAACCGTCCTGAAGGGCAAGGCTCGTCTCCTCAGAAGACCAGTCCGGAGGCCAATTCAGACGTGGTGGTCCGCTATCTCCCCGTGACAATTCTCCCCAAGAGAAAGTGGTCATCGACCCCTCAAAGGGAGGTGCCGTATCGCCCAAGGCCGAAAAGCAGTCGAAAGCACTTGAGGTTCCCCAGGGGTGCTGGGTATGGGACGGTCTTGCGAAAATCCTGGAAGTTGATTTGTTCAGCCCTGCCTGGGAAGTACGACATGGCGCCGCGATGGCCCTTCGGGAACTGTTGAAGCTGCAGGGCAAGTACGGCGGCATGCATGGTATGTTCACGTTAATGACTAATTGTATTGTCATCTGACGCCATCATTCGCGCGTGCAGCCGATATGTCTTGGGACGATAACAAACTCGCTCACGAACGATGGTGCAATGACCTCGCGGTGAAGTTCCTTTGTATATTTGTTCTCGACAGATTCGGAGACTTTGTTTCGGATCAGGTTCGTCCATTGATTCCTTCGATTGCCTCAGCAAGCTCATAGCCTCTGCAAACAGGTCGTCGCTCCCGTACGAGAGATGGTGTCGCAAACACTCGCCTCGCTCCTCCTGCACATGCCTCGGCGGTCCGTGCTTCACGTGCACTCAGTTCTTCTCCAGATGATCCGACAGGATTTCCCCATTCCCGCCAAAACCTCGAAGGGTAAGGCTCAGGATGGCAACGAGAGAGGCCATGTGTGGGAAGTCCGCCACGCCGGCCTGCTCGGAATAAAGTACGAAGTGGCTGTCAGGAGCGATCTGGTGAGCTGTGATATACCTGTGGATCAGGCCACCTCTCAAGATGGCAAGGAAGTCCTGAGGGGCGTTGTCGATGCGGCTGTGTTGGGGTACGTGCATATCTTGAAGGTCTAGATGGGCCATCAGTTGACAAGTGTCATGGAAGGCTCGGTGATCGAGATGATGATGTCCGCTCCGTCGCGGCATCTTGTCTGCTTCCGGTTGCAGGGCACCTGGTCGAACGCCTACCGGAAGAGCTGAGCCGAGTCCTGGCTGTGCTCTGGACTTGTCTGAGCTCAATGAAGGACGACCTCAGTTCCAGCGTCGGCGCTGTCATGGATCTTCTCGGTAAGTTTACCTCACCGGCAAAATTTTCTGCATTGTATGTGACTTTATATGATTCAGGGAAGCTCGTGACGTATGAAGAAGTCATTGAGATTATTGCCGACGAGTCGAGATCGTGCGTGCCGCTGTCATTGAACATACTAGGCTCACCTGACCTGTTCTTTTTTTTATGTTCCTGACAGACATCCCATTACCGTCCTCGCTCCGACTCTATTTCCGTTCTTCCGGCACACAATTGTCAATGTTCGGCTCGCTGTGGTGAAGACGCTGTCGACGTTCATGACGGTCCAGTCTTTACCGAAAGAATGGATGGACCTTCACCTACTCCGCTTGCTCTATCAGAATCTGGTGGTCGAAGAACGGTCGGACATCCGTGATGCCACCCTCGCAGCATGGCGGCTTGTCTTGTCGATTATGAGCGCCGTCGCTGGATGGTTGGAGTCCCTGGTTACTCAGCAAGTTCTTCTGGAATGGTACGCGGTAATTATGACGCCGCTGGGATTGCCACTCGAATCTTCGAGCTTCTACGATCCCACGGTGACCATGGAACACGACGGCGCGCCGGAGAGGCACAATGTTGACAAGAACATGCTCGCGCAAGATTTAGCTCTCGTGTCGGTAGAAACCGTTCTAAAGGCGCGAATAGCGGCAGCCTCGGCTCTGGCGTTCATCATGGCGTACTGGCCTAATACAGTCAGCACTACCAAATCCGTTCTTCCGTTGCTCTTGCTAAGCATCCTTGCCTTATTCTCCATAGGGTCAGGGTATGACGCTTGAGGACATGTTCAAACCGATCCTTGTTCACTACATCGACTCGACAAGCATGCTGCAAAAGTTCCTGGCGGCTATCGTCTCCGAGGAATGGGCAAAGGATTATGACGCTCGTGCCGGTCCTTCCGCTCCGTTGCTTACCAAAAAGTCCTCTCTCGCGGCTGAAGTCAGCGGAAAGACGCTCTCCTTTCTCCAAGCCGATCCTCCCGCTGCATACCACGAAATGGCGTTCACTCTCGCGCGCATCCACGGCGAATGCTACAACCTCTTGCAGTCATTCGCACACGATTGCAAGCTTCCTCAGTCGTCGATACCACCCCTGGGTAGTGAGGTGGACATCACGGGTACGAAGCCAGAGTGCTTCACTATCCAGACTGCACAGGACGCTGTCGGTGATATGTTCACGAAGCTGAGAGATAGTTTAGGCCGAACGAAGAAGCGAGAGTTGGCGATTATTAAGGAGAAGCAGGCGAAAGTCATTACCAGCATTGAGCGGTATATCGAGGTGAAGGCGCAGTATGACACACGGGTGTGTGCTGCATTTGCCGCTGCGTTCGTGGCGTTCAAAAGCACTCCGGACAAAGTCAGCCCGATCGTCAAAGGCATCATGAATAGCATCAAGGTCAGTTATGATAGTCCGTATGCCATTTAACCACTTACTGACGCCGCACCTTAAGAACGAGGACAACCAGGATTTGCAGGCTCGGTCTGCCGTTGCTGTCGCGACGTTTGTCGATTTCTGTACACAGCGCGGTCTTTTCATGCCTCCGGAGAAGATCGTCAAGAATTTGTGCACGTTCCTCTGTCAAGACATTGACCAGACGCCTACATTCGCCCAAGCGCGCAAGACTCTAGGAGGCATCCTGTCGTTCTCGAGGGGATCCGGGACAAATGGAAGCAGCAAACCAAACATAGAGAAACCTGAGCTCACTCCTGCAGAAGCGGCTCAGGCGCGGCTGTCTCGAAGGGGAGCGCAACTTGCATTCGTGGAGCTATCGAGGAAGTTCGGCCCTCGAATGCTGGATGTGGTGCCGAAGATGTGGCAGTCTATGGCTGGCGGACTGCTCAGCGCTTGCCAGACTGGTGCGTTGCTCTCGTTACAACCATTCAGGCCCGATCTTACGACAGTGGTTTCCGCAGACTCAGTGAGCAAGATGGACAAGGCCATTGAGAAGCAGTTCGGTCAAGATCTCATCGATTCCTTCAGCGTTCTTGACGCGATTGTGCCGACGTTCCATGAGGAGCTCTGGCCAAAGTTTGGCGAGCTGTTCCCTATGATCACTTTGGCACTGCGCAGTAAGTTTGCGATCATCCGCCAGTCGGCTGCTCGGAGTTTTGCGACCATTTGCGATACAATGACTGTCGATGCCATGCGATGTGTCGTTGAAGCTGTGCTGCCCTTCCTCGGTGATGAAGTGAACCTAGCGTACAGGCAGGGTGCGGTGGAATTGATTTATCGTGAGTGGCACGCAAGTCCGTCCTCGTTCTCTAGGCTGAAAAGAGTGGCAGACATCGTTCAGAAGCTCGATATCAAAGCATTGCCATACGTTATCTTTATGGTCGTGCCTGTCCTTGGGCGCATGAGTGATTCGGACGACGACATTCGTTCTACGGCGACGAACACGTTTGCTTCCTTGGTCAAGATGGTTCCATTAGAAGTGAGTAGTAAAGTTTCATGGGCTAGAACAAATGCCTGACGTACTCGTAGGCCGGTCTACCTGACCCTCCCGGCTTCTCGGCGGAATTGATGCAGCGTCGCGATGCTGAGCGGCAATTCCTCACGCAATTGCTCGATGGCAGCAAGGTCCAACAGTACAACATTCCTGTCACCATCAAGGCAGAACTCCGTAAATACCAACAGGAGGGAGTCAACTGGCTGGCATTCCTGGCGAAGTACCAGTTGCACGGCATCCTTTGCGATGGTAAGCAACTGGCAAATCTGTTTCACACTTCTCCGCGATGCTGATTCAATGACATAGACATGGGTCTCGGGAAGACGCTGCAATCGATCTGTATACTGGCGAGCAAACAATATGAACGCGCAAAGCGATATGAGGAGACCAAGTCGCCTGATTCCGTTCATATGCCATCGCTGATCATCTGTCCGCCAACCCTTACTGGCCACTGGTACTATGAGATCCTGAAGTATACCGACAACCTAAAGCCTGTCCTCTACACCGGGAATTCGAGAGAACGGAGCAGACTTCTTGGCAAGGTCGAGAAATATGATATCGTTATTACCTCGTACGAGGTTGTGCGGAACGATATTGCCAGCCTTGAGGACATGAACTGGCATTACTGCATTCTCGACGAAGGCCACATCATCAAGAACGCGAAGACAAAGTTGACCAAAGCTGTCAAGTGCATACGCTCTCACCATCGCCTGATCTTGTCTGGAACTCCGATACAGAACAATGTCTTGGAACTCTGGAGTCTATTTGACTTCTTGATGCCTGGATTTCTTGGCACGGAATCGCACTTCAACGAGCGTTTCAGCAAGCCCATTCTGTCGAACCGAGATGGGAAGTCTAAAAGTGGTGAAGCAGGTAACGTGTTCATCATATAGCCGTCTGACATTTCACTGACGACCGATCAGCCGCGCTTGCCCTGGAGGCTCTGCACAAGCAGGTTTTGCCGTTCCTTCTGCGTCGTTTGAAAGAGGATGTTCTCCACGACTTGCCTCCGAAGATCATTCAAGACTACTATTGCGAGCTATCAGATTTGCAAAAGTATCTGTATGATGACTTTTCCAAGTCCCGCGCTGGCGCTACTGCTGAAGACGTCATCCGATCCGACAAGGGGGATAAACACGAACAACAGCATGTTTTCCAATCGTTGCAGTACCTGCGGAAGTTGTGCAACCATCCTGCGTTGGTGTTGAAGGAAAAAGAAGCAATAATAGATGCGTTGAGCCACGCTGGGAAAAAAGCCAATTCGGCGGATTTGAGCGATATTCATTACGCGCCGAAGCTGCTCGCACTTCGGTAAGTAGAGATATGATTGCGTTGAAGGAGGCGCTTACACTGATTGCTATATGCAGACAACTTCTCATCGAATGCGGCATTGGGTCAACGCCAGTAGTTGCTAGTGACACCGTCAAGACGGAACTCGCAGATGCCGAGCCGACAACGACCGGGGCATTCTCGCAGCATCGTGTCCTCATCTTTTGTCAGATGAAGCAGATGCTCGACATCATCGAGAAAGACCTCTTCAAGCAACACATGCCCTCGGTGACTTACATGCGTTTGGATGGTGGCACCGAAGCCAACAAGCGCCATGCAATCGTGCAGACGTTCAACTCGGATCCCAGTATTGACTGCCTATTGCTCACAACGCACGTTGGAGGTCTTGGGCTGACTTTGACCGGAGCTGATACCGTCATCTTCGTCGAGCACGACTGGAACCCGATGAAGGATCTTCAGGCTATGGATCGGGCGCATCGTATCGGCCAGAAGAAGGTTGTTAATGTGTACCGACTCATCACGAAGGGAACGTTGGAGGAGAAGATCATGGGGTATGTAGAGATCGTCCATTTGCTGGAATGTTCGCTGATGATATTATTATCAGTCTGCAACGCTTCAAGCTGAATATTGCGAACTCAATCGTGACGCAGCAGAACACAGGGCTTGCATCCATGGACACTGATCTGGTCCTCGACCTGTTCAGACGAACGACGGAAAATGAGGACTCTGCAGTCAGCAAGAAGAGAGAGAAGGAGTCCTCGGGCGTGATGGGGCAGAAGAATGTCTTGCGAGGCTTGGAGGATCTTCCACCCGAGGAAGAGTACGAGGGTTTGGACCTCTCGAGTTTCATGAGCACTCTCAAGCACTGATGATTAATCTTATTAACTCAAATCCGGACTCTGCCATGCATTAGATAGATGTTGTATTCTGATTGTATTGATAGGATACCACTTACTTATCGCAGTATAATTGGTCTTACGCAACGTATCTCTCTCACCGTGGCTGTATCGCATACACGCTGTCTCTCTGATTTCTCAGTCGAGCTTGTCAAGTTTACTGTCATGAGCTATGTGCGTCAATTGCGGCAATCATCATGGATGACGATGGTTATCTTCGAAATATGTTGCGTATCCTGCACCGACGATCGCATCAGAACGCAAATATTCTTCCGTTCGAGACGTCCCTGAGTGGGTAATACTCCAATAGTATGGCTTTCAGCCATCTTATCGCATTCTACCTTGCGGAGGCTAGTGCACACGGCCGCCCATGATAGTAGAGTACCAAGGGTTGCGAAGCCAACCGGTATCTGACTCACCGTGTTGCTTATCTCTCGCACCGGCACGGCTCTGTATAAAGATGGTGTTGCTAATTGCATGTCGCTTGAGTTAACCTCGCAGTATCGCTCCTCCAGGTACCTACGCGATGTTCTCCCAAGCGCGGCGCACGGCGTTCTGTGGACTTGCTATGACGTTTGCGTCGGTGGTGGCGCAGGCACAGTTCCCTGCTAGTATCTTGAACTACGCGACAGGCGACGTTGTCAACTTCACGAAGCTATTCTCGTCCGACGGCATTTTCGTGGAAACGTGGACCCAAAAGTCGTGGAATGGACTAACTACGTTTGCTAAGTCGACGCCTCTCCGATGCTTTGGCGTCGACTCGGAGACGCCGTACGATGTGGCTGTCCTTGGTAAGTTACATCATACTAGTCGCTTAAGACTGCGCGTCGAGATTCTCTGGTATAGGTGCACCCTTCGACACTGCAACAAGTTTCAGACCTGGGTGAGTAGTATCATCATATGCACTTCTAACCTCAGTCTAGACCTCCAACAGGGCGCGTTTTGGCCCTAATGGCATCCGACAGGGCGGGAGGCGTCTTGATGTCTCAAGGATCAACGTTCCAATGAAAATGCGAGTCAGTGACCGTCTCGAAGTCGTCGACTGCGGAGACGTGCGTGAGTGTTGAAGCACCGAGGCCTGCGAATATTTTCTAAGGCCTTCTTGCAGCAATGGTCTACACCGACAACAAAGTCGCGTTGCGTCAGCTCGAAATTGCGAACGCTGCATTGCTTGCGAAGACGAGCTTGCGTTCCTACGAGGGCACCAGCATCGCAAAGGATGGAAAATTCCACCCGCGTGTTCTGACTCTGGTAAGCGCGTCCGTGATGATATCTTGTGGCTTGAACCGACCTTATATTTGAGGGTGGTGATCACACCATCACTCTACCGTTGCTGCGTGGAGTTGCTGGCGTGTATGGTCCAGTCAGGTAGGGAAGCTGCAACCGAAGCTCAAAGAGGCAGCATTCACTGAACTTCTTTCAGTGTTATTCACTTTGACAGCCACATCGGTGAGCTGTGATCCGTGTTTATGATGCGAAGCATGAATTGAGTCCTTGCCAGACACCTGGAAGCCAAAAGCTATGGTACGTCGAGAATGACGAGAATGACCAGTGATTAGTGATGCTCACAATATCAGGAGGATGACAGCCCGTGGCTTCCTGGGGAAGTAAGTTGCCTTAAAGCACGTCAATCAATCGCTAACACCGTTTTCCTAGGAGATCCCTGTCTCTCACGGCAGCTATTTCTGGTACGCGCACAACGAGAGCCTGCTTGCACCTAATAACGCCAACATCGTACGTGATCCATCATCTGTTCCGGCGCGACCCTCATTCCGTATGCATTTCAGCACGTTGGCATCCGTAATTCATTGCATAGCTGGGAAGACTACGACAACGATCATGAGGTCGGCTTTGTGATTTCGCACGCCGATGAATTGGAGGAGATTGGCTGGAAAGGAGTCGTTAAGCAGATCAGAGACACAGTCGGTGACAATCCCGTTTATAGTAAGTATCGTCCTATTTCGCCGTATCCGAGATGGCTCATGCAGCTTTCCCCAAGTTACGCTTGACATTGATGTCATCGATCCTGGCATGGCACCTGCGTGAGTCGTGCAATCCATTTCATATTCATATATACTAATTACGATCTAGGACCGGAACGTGAGCAGGCATTAATGATCAGGCAAAGCATGAACTGACTAGGATTTACAGACCCGAAATCGGCGGTATCACGACAAGGGTGAGTTAGATGAGGTCTATCTCGAAAGATGAATTAGAATTAACGTGATGATACTAAATGAAGGAGATCAAAAAGATCCTCCAGGGTCTAGCCGGCCTGAAGATCGTCGGTGCGGATATCGTCGAGGTCGCACCAGGTAAGTGCCTATTGCGTGTATTGACTTCGAACCCCAGCTCAATAGCGCTTATCGTGTGGAGGATACGACACGCAGGGTTAGTGTAATGACATTATCTTTGGCTATGGGTGATCACTTACAATTCATTTTTTCCAGACGAGATCACACAGATTACCGCTGCGAACATCGGATGGGAGATGCTCGCTCTAATGGCGAAGACTCCGCTGGTTGCCTAAAGCTGTAGATAGTACAGATATTATAGATGCGAATGATTATGCATTCACGGTGCAGAGCATACTCAACAGACTGTCGGCCAGAGGACATTCTCGAGCAGTATACTAAGAAGCACGCCCAGTAGCGTTGGTCCCGCGAGCTCTGTGACGCGCATAATGGTCTTGCTGAGGCTCTCGCAGATAGTAGCTGCTAGATTTTTCTCGAGCTGGGTCATGCTGAATAGCGCGGATAAGGGATGTTTCGCAAACAACATGGACGGACTCGGAGGACATGCCGGCGCCTAACGTATAACGGGCGCTAACGACGGCTAGAGCCACGTGTTGTGGCCTGTGGCGGGAATGCGGTGGTCAACTTTGCAACGCTGCCGTTCCCGCGTCCGCTCGGGCTCGGATGTGCGCTTTACGCATCGCCGCTGCCGAAGCTCAGATGCATAAATACACCTCTGATTTGCACGATGTCTTCCTTCATTATTCTGAGGAAGCAGGCTTCCCCACTTATCCGCACCCACCATCCAAACCTTCACACATCTCGCCATGCCTTCCACCAACCACCCTTCCCGTCGTGCTTCCCCTCTGCGCAGCTCCCTCGCTTCGAGCAGGTCCTCGTTGTCTTCTTCCTCTAGTCGATCGCCGAACCGAACCCCCAAGCGAGTGCGATTCTCTGCGGACGTCACAGCATCGGACGGGTGCTCGCTACGTTCACACACCCGGAGGCGTTCCTCCCAGTCCAGCGGACGCCGCGTCCGGTTCTCTGAGGAGCTGGAGCATAATGCACCCCAGACTTACCAGCTTCCCGCCCGTCCGGAACCACGGCATAATCCCAGGATTTTGAGGCCATCCGAATATTACTCCGAAATCGCCAGACGAAGTGCTCTCCGACGGAGCATCCCGACGGTGTCCCCTCCTCACCAAATCTCTCCTGCCATTCACCCACGCGTTCAATCTGAAGGAAGCGGAGATTCAGAGGACACTCTCTATGACCCAGAAAATGGGACCCAGGCATATGAGAAGCCCGACGAGAAGGAAGATTTGTCGAGATACTCGTTATCTTCTTACCGCCACCCGTACGAGATCCGGAGGCCCGAAGCGTATTATGCATCCCAATCCTCGGTCCCGGATCTCTTTAGCGGGCTCGTCACGTCGGCGCTCCCTGGGGAGAGGGCGTATGCACCCGACGCTAGGCCGCGCGATCGCCGTCGGGAGCTTTGGGAAGCTCATGCGCCAGTCGTTCGTGGTATGTTCGGCAGTGTCGGCACGCATGATGGCCAAGACCGCATGCTTGACCCAGACGATCCGGACATCACGGGCATTCGCAAAGAGCGCCTCGACGATCTTCACCACGATGAGAAGCACAAGTTGCGCTTGATGTCGTACAGGGAGCGACGCAAGTACCTCTCTCGTGCTAGGGTCGTGTTCAACAAGACCAGTATGTCTCGTATTCCTGCTGCTATATGCTAGTGCTGATCTTTTCTCCAGCGGTCGGACATCGGCAGAACTTTATATTGACCCTCGCCAAGGCCCTGGTCAAGTACGGTGCACCATCTCACCGTATCGAGTCGCAACTGCTCTCGGCTGGGAAAATCCTTGATCTCAAGTGCGAGTTCGTGCATCTTCCGACAGTCATTATTGCCACCTTCAACGCCGACCTGCACTCTCACAATGAGCGGTCGGAGGTGCACTTCATCCCGCGCAAGGGCTCGCTCTCCCTCGGCGCTCTGCACCTCGTCCACCAAATCTACCGTGGTGTTGTCCACGACGAGATCAGTGCAAAGGACGGAGTAAAGCGCATGGAGAATCTCTTCGCATCGCCCCCAGTTTACGGCCTACGGGTCCGCGCTCTTCTCTCATTCCTCCTTGCAGCGTGCATTTGCCCGCTTGCGTTCGGCGGCTCGTTCGCGGATATGTGGCTTGCGGGCGTGGGCGCTCTCGTGCTCTTTTTCGTGCAGACATTCATTGCGTCGAAGGCAATCGCCCTCTATGCCAACATTTACGAGTATGTACACCTTCTAGTCTTCGAGGAGCTTTGTCTAATAGTTCACTCAGCGTCACGGTCACAGTTGGCATTTCCTTTGTTGCCCGAGCGCTGAGCAGTATCCGCACAGAGAGCTTCTGCTACACATCAATCTCGTCGGCGGGTATTGTTGGGATTCTCCCTGGTTTCCTCATCCGTACGTCGTTCGACTCGTGCCACACCATGTACGTTTTGCTGATCAGTACTTGCAGTGTGCAGTTCTTTGGAGCTGGGATCCAAGAACATCGTGTGCGGGAGTGTGAACATGGTATACGCGCTGATCTACACCTTGACCCTCGTGAGATTAACTTCCCTTATGCATGTAATTGGGATTCTCTGATCGTCATCGTTTTAGGGGTTCGGTCTGCAGCTTGGCTCCGACCTCTTCTTGCTCGTTCATCCCTCTGCTCGTGACACCGTCGTCCAGGTCGTGACACAGGACACAAACCCCATCAATGGCATTTTCATGCGTGACTTCGGCCTTAACGCCACGAACATGTTGAACGGCGCGTTCACCTTCAGCAACACGACTCCCGTTGTGCTCGACAACGTCGTCATGGGCTGCTATCGCCCGGACAACCTGCCGTGGTATTTCCAGGCATTCCCGTGGTGGTCCGAGTTCTTCCTGGTGCCGGGCTTCGCTATCCTCCTGTCGCTTGCCAACGCACAGCCGTGGATGTCGTGGGACTTCTTGGTCATGATCCTCATCTCGATCGTGTCCTACCTCGCGAACAAAGTCGCGAACCACTTCATTTTCAACCACTCCGATATCGTCTCGTCCATCGGAGCGTTCGCCGTCGGTCTGTTGGGGAACATTTACTCTCGACAGTTTGGTGGGACTGCGTTCACGGTCATGGTTCCTGGAGTCTTGTTCTTGGTGCCGGTACGTATCGCGCGTCCTCTAACAGTGTCCGATATTTACTCACGGGTTGTTTCGCACAGTCCGGTCTATCACAAGCTGGCGGCATCACAGCACAAGGAGATGGTATCGAGATCGGTTATGCGATGATCACCGTCACAGTCGGTATCACCGTAGGACTGTTCTTGAGCCAGGCTCTCGTATACCTCTTCGGATCTCGAAAAAACGCTGCTATATTCTCTTTCTGATTCATATATTCAATGGCGAAGGATGCTGGTCATTCATGTTTGCAAACATTTATTTTTATTGATGCAATGGAACACCACTATACCCAATACGCGCTGGACGCTATCACATAGACTTCGCGCTGGGCGCTTTATCATAGACCTTCGGATCACATAGATGATGTTGTAGAAACACAGATAACAAAAACACCAATAAAATGGCAAAAATGATCAAACTCAAATGCACTTCGTGAATGGCCGAGATGTGAATGATACAAACTGTGGCCACTCAGGATTGATTAAACGGCGGCATATTCATACCGGAAAATTGAATTGTATTGTGCTTGCTTGTAGAGAACTGGACTGAGGGAAAAATCTGCTCAAGCTGACGGTGGGGGATTGATTCGAAACTGTGCTTGACAGCTTGAACAAAGATCCCCGTGAACCTGTCAATCACGGAAATACTTGTCGCACCTCGCCCGCGGATCATCTTGGCAGCCGGACCTTAGATTATAGATCGCGTCTTAGGGTCATGTACGTGCGTTTTTTTCTTCAAGCCTTCAAGCGTTCGCTATGATTGATACACGGTTACAGTCAATGCAAAACGCTGTTGCTTCGCATTGGTGCTCTCGCCGTCAATTTCATCAGGAAAACTCAAATCGACTTGCGAATCGAGAACCTCCTTCTTGACTTGTTCTTGCCGGTATTGGCTTGTACAAGTCGATAAGTGCACAATAAGAAGCTTCCAACCCAGGAAAAAGTTCAATACAGGAAGGTCCTGAGACTTTCTCGAACTTACTGTCTTTTTTGGTGACAGCAAGCGGATGAAAGTGTCCTAAGCCCGATTTGAGTTTTCCTGATGTTCTAACTAGTAGTACTGCGTCAGATGCCCATATATGCTCTCTGTACCGAGTCTTGCGGTCATCAACCATCGCCTATTTGCAACCGCCAACACCATCTCCGAGGACAGGAGCACGTACCATGTGTGCCTTGCAGCCGTAACAGACAGCACTAGTTCGTTTGTTGAAATGGTCCTCGATGATTGCGAACTCCCGTCGCCCACGGCTAAGCTGACCGACACAAGTGTACGTCGGGCTGTAACAAGCAGTCAGCAGCTTCAGTCCAGTATATCAAAGGAAAGTGGTAATCGATCCCTACGGCGTTTTGCAACACCGGAAACAGGTTGTTCTGGGGACACTTTGACTGTCAAATGCCGACGCGATGCGTTTAGTATCCAGCGCGCTCGGCCACTCCCCCGTAGCTTATGCAGACTCTGTCCGGAAGTTGGTCAGTCATCATCGTATGCAGCTCCCACCAGTGTCAAACAGAGCGGCAGACAGTGCACCCTTGTGGGTATAAGTAGCGGACGGTCTTGACTTGTGTGAGACAGCGCATCTATCCTCCCAGCCCCGGACCACCTTTCAACTCGAACATGTCGTTGCCATGCATTGAACTAGCAGAGACACCGTCCACAGAGGCCTTCCTCGCGAATCCGAAGGACAAGAGCCTCGTACAGCCAGCGCTTGATCTTCTCAAGAACTCGAAGGGCATTGTCAAGTGAGCTTCCGAGATGTCGAAATTCCTATCGTCGAAGTCCTGACCATTTGAATAGGATCTACTATGGTCTACAATCTGAGGAGAGAAAGCATTTCTATTTGTACAACGGTACGCTTACCATCGATCACAGCAATCGCCGATTGTTCACATTTGATTGCTCCGCCTGCAGTCTGGGAGAGGTTGCAGGACCACGAGAACCTTCAGGCAGATGCGGTCAACTACCCAATCCTCTAGCAGCACTGCTTGAAAGTGATGGCAGGCGCGCCGGACCCGATCCACATCCAACCTACGGCGGAGCCTTACAAGGTGCTCGGTGCTCCTGCGACCGAGCTTGCGCTCATCACGGCCAAGCCCGGAGTGTCACAGACAACAATCGGGGAGAAGACGAATGAGCTTGTTGCGATTGCGAACGCGCTTCCCGCAGAGTGGGGCGTGATTTCTGCCGTGTGGGGCCCTATTGTTGAGAAGGATGACGCTATAGCTATGATCATTGGATAGACATCGGTGGAGGTGGGAGGTCTTACTATGTCTCGATGTGCATAGAGAGCTGAATATGCTGCAGCATCACTGGAAAGCGGTGTCGACGGTGCCAGAGCTTATCCAGCACATAGAAAATATGTACAAGATAGCAGACGTCGCGCTCGCCCACCCGGAGCTGTCTGAGCGGAACTGATGGAGAGGCTGGTGGGCCGTCGTAGGATTTCGGGAAGCGACTCGAGTAAAACATCAGATTCTGTATATCATTAGTACAGCGGTGCTCTCCCAGCTAGGTGTGGCGATCTGTCCGGCTGCGTTGAATGGCTGTTGAATGTCGGCGTGAACGATGTCCAAATCATTTTGGCGCTCATCAGCGCGCTTGATCTGAGATGGTGATTCAAAATTACGCGACCTGCAGGCTGATCCGCGTCAGTTGCAGCCGTAACGACAGCTCATTAATCATTCATTGCCCCGTTTGTCGAAATGGTCTTTGATGGTTGCGAACTCCAGCCGGCGACGGCCAAGCTGACCGACACAGACGGTGTAGGCCTACATGTGGGGGTGTAGCAAGCCGTCAGCAACTTCAGTCCAGTATGTCAAAGGAAACAAGTAATGAATCCCTACGGCATCCTGTAATGGCCACAACAGTTTATTCTGGGGACACGTTGATTGTCAAATGCCGACCAGATGCGTATAGTATCATTCAGCAGGCTCGGCCACCCCCGTAGCTTACGAAGACTGTGTCCGGAGGTTGCTCAGTCATCCAGTGTCAGATCTGAGCTATGCTCTCATGTGGCTCCCTGTTATCGCTCCCGATCAGTGACCTCGTACGTATGCATACACGGGACGTGCCCTTGTGGGTATAAGTAGCGGACAGTCTTGCCTTGGGTGGAACAGCGTATCCCTCCCACCCCGGACCATATATCAACTCAAACATGTCGTTGCCGTGCATTGAAGTCGCAGAAACACCGTCCACAGAGGCCTTCCTCGCGAATCCGAAGGACAAGAGCCTCGTACAGCCAGCGCTTGATCTGCTCAAGAACTCGAAAGGCATTGTCAAGTGAGCTTCCGAGATGTCGAAACTCCTATCGCCAAGATCCTGACCGTTTGAATAGGAGCTACTATGGTCTCCAGTCTGAGGAGGAAAAGCATTTCTATGTGTACAACGGTGCGCCTTACCATCGATCATAGCAATCGCCAATTATTAACATCTGATTACTCCGCATGCAGTCTGGGAGAGGCTGCAGGACCACGAGAACCTTCAGGCAGATGCGGTCAACTACCCAATTCTCCAGCAGCATTGCTTGAAAGTGATGGCAGGCGCGCCGAACGTGATCCACATCCAACCTGCGGCGGAGCCTTACAAGGCGCTCAGTGCTCCCACGACCGAGCTTGGGTTCATCACCATTAAGCCCGGAGTTTCGAAGGCAACAGTCGAGGCGAAGACGAAGGAGCTTGTTGCGAATGCGAACAAGCTTCCCGCAGAGTGGGGCGTGATTTCTGCCGTGTGGGGCCGTGTTGTTGAGAAGGACGACACTTTAGCTCTGGTCATCGGATGGACGTCGGTGGAGGTGAGAGGTCTTGGTATGTGTCGGTGTGCACACAGAGCTGAATATGCTGCAGCAACACTGGAAGACGGTGTCAACGGTGCCAGAGGTTGTCGCGCAACTGGATGATATGCGCAAGGTAGCAGACATCGCGCTCACCCATTCGGAGCTGTCTGAGTGGAAGTAACGGAGAGGCTGGTGGGCCGTTGTAGGCTTCTCAGGAAGTGACTCGAGAGTAGAACATCAAATTCTGTATATCATTGTAGTACAATTTAGCGGTGCTATTTGAATGTCGGCGTAAACGATTCCTAAATCAATTTGGCGCCCAGCAGCGCGCTTGATCTGAGATATCTGCTGCACTGATCCGCTTCGTGCATTGGACTCTGGTTGAGTTTGTTCATGCAAATCTCTGACGGACGGCACTCGCGATGGCCACTACGTACCGGGAGATCGCTCCCATAACAGACCAGCGCGACATCTTTCCCCAACCCATCACAGCGCTCTCGTTTGATCCCGTCTCCGACACGCTCTGGACTGGCTCGAACTCTGGAAATGTCGTCGCGTATTACTCCGCGCAGGGCATGCGCGGAGTCGCGTTCCCCGTCGGCGGCGGGCTTGCTGTCAAGAGGATTGTAGCTACCGAGTCCGCCGTACGCGCATTTGGTGTCGCTAGTGAGGGGATCGGTACATGGGGCAAGGGAGGAGTGAACAAGTGGTATTGCAGGTATATTGCGCGTGCGTCCTACCATCCTTGTATATTGCTTCTTACAACAGTATGTCAGGTCTCACGTACCTATCACCGCTTGCTCGGCGAACACCTTCACGACATCCATCCTCGCTGTAGGCACTGCCGCGCCGGAACTACTCATGGTGAACGCACACACCGGAGACATTATTCGACGATCGCAGGCTCCATCTGTTTTCACACACCTGCAGTGGGCCATGACGTTCATCGTGTCAGGATCTTCTGATGGGTTTCTGCGCACCCACGATCCGAGGAATGCGATGGGTAGTAACACCAGTAGCGTCAAGGCGCATGCTAGTGCCATACAAGGCCTAGAAGTCAATGGATGCTACGCATACACTATCGGCATGGGTACCAGGTGATATCGACATCTCTCGGTGTATGCCTCTACTAATATCCAGAGCCAGACAGGGCCATCCGTTCCCCGAGCCGCTGGTCAAAATCTACGATCTGCGTACGTTGAAGCCACTTCCACCCCTTCCGTTTGCGAGCGGGCCTGCGTTTATCAGTCTGATGCCGAAGCGTCCCAACACACTGGCGATCACTTCGCATCAAGGCCTGGTCAACATCGTGGAAGCATCGAATCCTACCGTGAACGAGTTCTATCAGGTATGTCCCCTTCCCGGGTTTCACGAACAGAAAGGTTGAATGATCCTTGCTCATAGCTGGAAGCGCCGACCTACATCACGTCCTTCGCTGTGTCCCCTACGGGAACGTATATGGCTTTTGGCGACTCCGACGGTGCCATCCATCTGATGACCGCAGCGGAGGAGGGCGCGGATCTGCCCTTCAACGGATTCGAGGGCAAGCCTATAGAATGGCCTGACACGCCAGAGCCTCTGCCCGAAATCGAATGGACGGACTCGACGTGCGTGACATTCAGAGTGACCTGACCTCAGTCTCATATGGATTGCAGCCCCCTGAACGTGATCGGTATGCCATACTACAACGAGCTGCTGCTCTCATCATGGACGCGGGACTTCATCTCGACTGGCTTACACTATCCTCCGCCTCCTAAAATCCCGCAGCAGATCCTCAATACAATGAAGATCAAAGATAACGTAGCGTACGCTGCGCTGCCGAAAGAGCTTAGAGGGCGGCGGAATTTGGCGGTAACGGCTCCAAAGAAGAGCGGGGGGCGGTTCAGGAGCGGTAAGGCAAGGAAGAATGTACGTGGTTGCATTGGCGGCACGTGTACACCTATACTCATGGCGCATTTAGTCGGAACCAGAGACGCCGACATTCGAGTACGATCCAGAGAACATACCAAAGCCATATCGGAAGGTCGAGATAGAGTACTCAAAGTTCGGCGTAGAGGACTTTGATTTCGGGTAACTAGCAGTCAATCTCAATGGATGACCTACTTCCGGAGCTGACCACACACTCCCGCCCGCAGTTTCTACAACCGTACCCAGTACAGTGGTCTCGAGACCCACATCTCCAACTCCTATACCAATGCCATCGTCCAGCTCATGCATTACACACTGCCTGTTCGGCGACTGGCGAAGTCGCACATTGCGACAGATTGTCCGCGCGAGCACTGTCTGCTGTGCGAGCTGGGCTTCGTGGTGCGCATGCTTGAGGATGCGAGGGGCACGAACTGCCAAGCAAGCAATTTTTGCAAGACGGTGGGCGTTCTGGCGCAGCGTGAGTTTTACTTGTCTGGTCACTCCACATGATATTGATGCTATGACAGTGAATAATGCCATCGAACTTATCGACTACGGGCGGGAGTCGGCAGAGCTCAATTATGCGCATATGATACAAGCCTTCCACCGCTTCCTTGTCGATCATCTGAGTTCAGAGGGCAATTCTTTCCCGCACAATCCGAGTCTACTCCCGTCACCTTCCTCCTCTCCGAACTTGCATTCTCCTGCCCCTGCTCCAATCACGCAACTACTCGGAATTGATGCGAAGAATGTCATCACATGCACGCACTGTAAGGCGGTAAGGGAGAAGGAAAACATGACGCACGTCATCGATATGATCTACCCTCGAAAGGTGAATCACTTGTCGTGCTCAGCTACGTGTGAAGCTTACGCATCTAACCTTAGCCTGGCGATGTGACACCTGAGGTAGACTTTGCATCGATGCTCAGGCATTCGCTGCTACGTCCAACAACGCACAAGGCAACGTGTCAGACCTGCAAGCAGTTCTCCACCTTCGAGTCTCGGCGATCGATACGCACGAGAGACCTGCCGCCCATTCTGGCTGTCAACGCTGCCGTGTTCACCGAGGACACCTTCAAGTTTTGGAGGGACCAACGGAATCAGACGTTCTTGAAGCCCACTATTGAGGTGCGCGGCCAGGTGGAAGGTATCGATGAGCCGGAGGCTGTCATCTATGAGTTGAGGGTATGTGCGCGGAGAGATGCAGCATACATGCACGTGCTCATGTGCTCCTAGGCTATGGTCACACAGGTCGTGCCGAAGGAGCAAAATTCTCATCTGATTGCAATCGTAAAGAGTAAGGTGATCTTATGCACCTCGACATCGAGTCGCTAATGGGATTTCATAGTCCCTGAGATGGAGTATCCGGTGCATCCTGAAATGGAAGAAGGTCCATGGTATATATTCAACGACTTCGTAGTTCGGAACATCAGTGAGGAAGAAGCGCTGAGCTTCCCCTCCAATTGGAAGGTGGGCAGTCAGCTGCGATTCGAACTCTACGCTCAATGCTTCCTTCAATCAGGTCCCGGCTATCCTTTATCTGGAGCGCGTTGATCTCTGTCCCAACTTAGACTTCAGTGACTTGCCTCAAACAATAGACGAGTCCATCTTGTGCCGTGATACTAACGTTGCGCTGTACGTCAATCCGTTGCCTCTCACGAACACATGCCTCATATAAACGAATTCACAGTAATCGTGATAAGAGAATGATCAAGCATGAGCCGCTGCGTCATGATGAGCTGCCAATGCCCGGCACTCTCATTGCTATTGACGCTGAGTTCGTCAGTATGCAGCAGGCGAGTTGCAGTTCACTCACTAAATGTGTTATCGTGCTGATCGCCCTGAGTGCAGGAGGAGACAGAATACCGGTCTGACGGCACGAAGACGGTGCTTCGACCTGCTCGAATGAGCCTTGCCCGGGTCTCGGTACTGCGAGGAGAAGGTCCGAAGGAGGGTGTACCCTTCATCGACGATCATATACATACAAGTGAAGTGATTGTGGACTACCTCACCGAGTTTTCTGGTATCAGGTGTACGCCGTGTTCTCACTTTTCCATTTTGATCTTCTCAGCTGATATCACACTAGTTGGGGATCTTGACTTGAACATGACGCGATATACCCTCACTCCCTTGAAGTTGGTCTACAAGAAACTACGTCTGCTCGTCGATCGGGGATGCATCTTCATTGGACACGGCTTGTCAAAGGACTTCCGAATTATCAGTAGGCTCGACGACATGCAAACCTGAACCCTTCTCATAAATCACTTGCAGACATTTTCGTGCCACCAGATCAAGTAATCGACACGGTCGATCTGTACTTCTTGCCGCAGCGACAGCGGCGGCTTTCGCTTAGGTTCTTGGCTTGGATTGTGCTCGAGCAGAACATTCAGACCGATACGCACGACTCGATCGAGGATGCTTTGTCCGCGCTGAGGTTGTATAAAGCATACCAGTCCTTCGAGTCACAGGGTATCTTTGACCAGAAACTGGAAGAACTTTATAAAGAGGGCAAAAAATATGTAAGGATCATAAACTTGTTACCATATTGCCGCGCTCTAATCGAGGTACGCTCCGTTACAGAACTGGAGACCCCCACCGCCTCCGGAAGCACCGGCGGGTGCTGTCACTGCTCCTCCAAGTAGCACGGCGAGCCCTGTTCCGCAGTTCCCGACCAACCCACATTCCCTCATGCAACCGCCGTTTGCGCCTGGACAGTTTCCGGCTGTCTTCCCGCTGCCTACCTTCCAGATGCATACACCAAATCAGTTCTTACCTCCGAATTGGGGAGGTAGATGATAGGAATGTCAATTATGATGAGATGATAGAATGAAGAATGATTAGTTGTAGCTGCTATTAGTGCTTGGATTTCGCTGTATCGTAGCGACAGATTACTAGACGTGTTTGTATTATCGATCTCTCATTCATATGATGGGGTGTCAACTCGACAATGATCTCGAAGTACGCGGGACGACATAATACCCAGACGTCGTTTACATGGAAGTCATACCGAAGCTGATATCGTCAACGGGAGCCATTCCACCCTCAAGCCTTCTGCAAAGGACTCTAACCTACCATCCAGATCGCAGCATCACCCATGCCAAACTCGCAGTATTCCGCGTAACGGCTTTATCTATGTATTGAACAACCAGCCATCAATCAGCTTATCCTTCCAACGAGCACATAGAGACCAAGAAGAGAATCAGTTAACGGTTTTCTAGGCCGCCGCTCAAATGTTGAGCGTAGTGCGTAACATCTCGCGAAGTCAGAGCCCAGTGCGTTTCATCCTTCCAATGACCTTCATAAAAATATCGTAACGTCACACTCACCATGTTAGCGTGGTTTAGATGCTGAGGACATCGTCGGAGCAGTGTGAAGTCGATGGGGGGATGTCGCTGCGCCTCGCTCGAAGGCAGATCTGAGCGGTTCTACTACAGCCGCTGATGTTACGTCAGCATCAAGCCAACATCCCGTCCAAATTGGGAATGTACCCTTTGGAAACAGATTGTATAAGCACTATAGTTCCTGCCATATGTCCTGGTATTCTCTGAGAAGTTATGCATCCTTATGACATTGAAACTTGGGGGTGTCGGCGCTGCTCCGCACGCCCGGGTCCGAATGATCCGGGGATGATCGCCACAGCGTGTCGTGTGGAACAGGAGTCACAGTTCCAGTGGTTTGTATGTTACGATAGTCGACAGGCACGCGAGAAGAGTACGTCGCGGGTGACATGGTTATGTAAGCCCCGCCATGTATTTCTTTACTTTAAACCGAATGAAGGATCATTCGGAACTTGATCCTGAGCTTGAATGCATGACCACGCTTCCGGCGGACGCCTCTGTGCCAGTGGGCTTCCTATCATGGAAGAGTGCCAGTTGAACAGTTTACGAAACTTACAAAACAAACCCAGAGCAGCGGACGGTGTCCTCACTCTTCTGTGACACAATGAGGCCGGAATTGTATGGCCATTTCTTTACCTCCGGTGCGCCAAGTTCGAACTAGCCTACCGCTCGTCCTACCTTTACACCCCGGTGGCAGTGCTTGCGCGCAGTGAATGTGGAATCATGGCATGACACGAATTGCCAATCTGGAGGCACGATTATACCATGGGATAATATGTAGGCTACATAGTACTACTCTGGAATGCGTTATAGCCGCTCATAGTACATTTAAAATGCAGATGGGCCCGCCTTCTGTCTTTCACCTGAATCTGAACTCTAGTTCCGAGTCATGCCATATCAACAAAGATATGACATGAAAATGGATGGTTGTAACCATCCCAATTCTGTGGAGGAATTTGCTACAGAGTTTGCCAAGGATATTCTGTACAAGAAGAGATGGGGTTCCAGGTGCCACGGCGTACTAGAGGAAGTTGTTTGGCAAGGAAAGGTATGGAGAGGTGGATGCTGCGCAGGAGAAGTTGTTTGAACGTCCCGACTAATACCGCTGTGCCGATATATGCTCCATCAAAATAGCTCCGCTACGTATCGTACGTTTGTGCTCGTATGCGCATTGTTTTCTATCTGATCTCTCTCCAAGGGGGGAAAGTGATAAAGGCAACATGGCCTGCTCGATAAATAGCATACTTATTTTTGGTAAAGGTAATGGGCCAGATTCCGAACGCGATGCTCAAATCGGTTGATAGCCATTCTGAGAACAGGTGAAAACTATTCAGAAGACCACACAAATCAGCTGTGCGACTATGGTATTCTCAACCTCCAGCGCCATCTTTGAGGACAAAAGTGTGTACTATATGTATCTTGCAGTCGTAACGGACAGCTTTCATGACTCAGGTTTGTTAAAATGGTCCTCGGTGGTTGCGAGCTCCCGCCGGCGACGGCCAGGCTGACCGATACAAGCTGTAGCAAGCTATCAGCAGCTTCAGTATGTTAGTAATCGATCCCTTCGGGATTCTGTAACGCCAGAAGCAGTTATTCTGGGAACACGTTCACGTTGACGTCAAATGCCGACGCGATGCGTATAGTATTCAGCAGGCTCGGCTACCCCCGTAGCTTATACAGACTCTATCCGGAATTTGCTCAGTCATCATTGTATGCATCACCCAGTGTCAGGTCGGAGGAACGCTCTCATGTTGACGCTCGTGATCAGTGACCCAACGTATGTGCCCCACAGAATGCGCTCTTGTGGGTATAAGTAGTGGACGGTCTCAGCTTGTGTGAGACAGTGTATCCCTCCTACCCCTTGACCACCTCCTCACTCGAACATGTCGTTGCCGTGCATTGAAGTCGCAGAGGCACCGTCCACAGAGGCCTTACTCGCGAGCCCGAAGGACAAGAGCCTCGTACAGCCGGCGCTTGATCTGCTGAAGAATTCGAAGGGCATTGTCAAGTGAGCCTCCGAGATGTCGGTATTCGTATCGCCAAGATCCTGACCATTTCAATCATAGGATCTACTATGGCCTACAGTCTGAGGAGAGAAAGCATTGCTATGTGTACAACAGTGCGCCTTACCGTCGCATAGCAATCGCCGATTATTCACGTTTGACTACTCCGCATGCAGTCTGGGAGAGGCTGCAGGACCACGAGAACCTTCAGGCAGATGCGGTCAACTACCCGATCCTCCAGCAGCACTGCTCGAACGTGATGGCAAGCGCGTCGGACATGATTCTATTGTCCGAGGTGAAAATTTCCGAGGGCTGTAAGACACGTAGGAACGAGTGACTCAGCCTCGATGTATGATGCGAGTGCTCTATAAATACCTGTAGACACATAGGAAAGCGAGTGACTACAGTATATCAGTAAAGACTAAGTAAAGGAGTCCAGTAGGTACTCACCTCAGCCTCGATGTATAATGCGAGTGCTGAGGTAGTAGGAAAAGATTGAGCGCGCTTGTGGCTATGTGATTACATAAGCGAATGCGCGCGGAATGTCTAAGTCCGTGTCCCACTGGACATAAAGTCCGTATGACTTCCAACACGCCCACTCAGTGGGAATGCGGACCTACTTTTAGAACACTAATTGAATCCTTCATGCTGCTTGTGCTGTGCGCGACCGACGGTCTTCGGAACATACTGTGACTTGCACGGATTGAATGGTAAGTGCCTGTGGCGTAGGGTTTCTTGAGTCCGTCTGGGCGGATAGAACCCGGGCTGCTGTACGCTGTCTGCGCCGTGTGACTTCGCCTGGATCGTGCCCGATTGCGGTGTGTGGATGGTCGTACTCGTCGTTGAGTGTGGCCTTGACGAACGGGATAAGTTCTTCCTTTGTCGCTAATATCCGTTGATCCGCGTCTGACGTTGATTCGAGGTTCTTCGTCAACTGAGTGACCCGTAGCGCCCGCGCGAATCTTGTCGCGTTCGACTGCGCCCACTTGACGCGCGTTCTTCCCTCCTCTCTTTGGCTGTTTCCCTTCGCTTCTGGTTCTCTGCTGGACTTCTGGAGTCTCTACTTCCCGCTTCGTCTTGGCTCCGAGGCCTCCTGGAACTGTCTTGGGCTTGTATGCGCCAACAGAGGACCACGGATCGTCATCGCGAATCGGCGCTGGACGCGCGCATGCGGATTGACGGACATGGCTCTTTGCAGCCTTTGGAGCGGGAGCAGGAGGGGCTGCGCGTTGAGTCCGAGTGCGAGAGAGGGATGCTGTAGCCTCTGAGATGGCAGGTAAGTGCTCCTTCTC